ACAGCAAAAAAATATTTAGTACATCAGAAGCAGGAAGCTGGCTAAACAATCAATGGGATCACTGGACAATCAAGGTGTTAACGGAGCAGTCAAAGATAAGGCCATTGCAGAGAAACTAAACAAATTATTTATATCAGTCTTCAGTGCACAGGATGTGAGAGAGATTCCCACACCTGAGCCATTCTTTTTAAATGACAAATCTGAGGAAGCTTAGGGAACAAATTGATAAATTAAACAGTAATAAGTCATCAGGACCCGATGCTACTCACCCAAGAGTTCTGAAGGAACTCAAATGTGAAATTGCAGAACTACTAACTGTGGTATGTAACCTATCACTTAAATCAGCTTCTGCACCAGATGACTGGACAATAGCTAATGTGACACCAATTTTCAAAAAGGCTCCAGAGGTGATCCCAGCAATTACAGGCCAGCAAACCTAACTTCAGTACCAGGCAAATTGATTGAAACTATAGTACAGAACAGAATTATCAAACATAGATGAACATGTTTTGTTTTGGAAGAGTCAACACAGCTTTTGAAAAGGGAAATCATGCCTCACCAATCTATCAGAATTTTTTGAGGGAGTCAAACAAACAAGTGGACGAGATCCACTGGATACAATATACTTTCAGAAAGCCTTTGACAAGGTCCCTCAACAAAGAATCTTAAGTAAAGCAAGCAGTCACGGGATAAGAGGGACAGTCCTCTCATGGATCAGTAACTGGTTTAAAAAGACAGGAGACAAAGAGTAGGAATAAATGGTCAATTTTCAGAATGGAGAGCGGTCAATAGTGGTGTCCCCCAGGGGCCTGTACTGGGACCAGTGCTGATCTACACATTCATAAATGATCTGGGAAAAGGGGTGAACAGTGAGATAGCCCAACTGGCAGATGATACAAAATTACTCAAGATAGTAAAGCAGACTGCAAAGTAATGAGCATTGGAAAACATAATCCCACCTATACATACAAAATGATGGGGGTCTAGATTAGCTGTGACCACTCAAGAAATATATCCTGGAGTCAGTGGACAGGTCTCTGGAAACATCCATTCAATGTACAGCGGCAGTCAAAAAAGCTAACAGAATGTTGGGAATCATTAGGAAGAGATACATAAGACAAAAACACGGAGGAGTTTGGTGGCACCTTAAAGACTAACAGATTTATTTGGGCATAAGCTTTCGTGTGTAAAAAACCCACTTCTTCAGATGCCTCACCTGAAGAAGTGGGTTTTTTACCCATGAAAGCTTATGCCCAAATAAATCTGTTAGTCTTTAAGGTGCCATCTGACTCCCCATTGTTTTTGTGGATACAGACTAACACGGCTACCCCTCTGATAGATAAGACAGAAAATATCCTAATGCCTCTATATAAATCCAAGGTGTACACACATCTTGAATACTCCATGCACTTCTGGTCACCCCATCTCAAAAAAAAATATATTGGAATTGGAAAAGGCACAGAAAAGGGCAACAAAAATGACTGGGGTATAGAACAGCTTCCATATGAGGGGAGATTTCTTAGACCTTGGAAAAGAGATGACTAAGAGGGGATATAATAGAGGTCTATAAAATCTTGACCGGTGTGGAAAAAATGAATAAGGAAATGTTATTTACTCCTTCCCATAATACAAGAACTAGGGGTCACTCAATGAAATTAATAGGCAGGACGTTTAAAACAAACAAAAGGAAGTACTTCTTCACACAACGTACAGTCAACCTGCAAAACTCTTTGCCAGGGGATGTCGTGAAGGTCAAGACTAGAACAAGATTCAAAAAAGAATTAGATAAATTCATGGAGGATAGGTCCACCAATGGCTATTCTGTTTGCCAGAAGCTGGGAGTGGATGACGGGATGGATCACTTGATTGCCCTGTTCTGTTCATTCCCTCTGAAGTTCCTGGCACTGGCCACAGTCAGAAGACAGGATACTGGGCTAGATGGACCACTGGTCTGACCCAGTTTGGCTGTTCTTATGTTAATATTTTTGTTCATAACAGGGACATTCTCCTCTGATCCACTTCCCACAAACAGCTCCAGAGAGGGAAAAGAGGCATGAAAATATTAAGGGGCAGTTTTATTTCTGAATTGCTTTGAGCTCCTAGTTCAATTAACTCTCACCAGGGCTCACTTCTTCCCAGCTCTCCTGCACGCCTGACTCAAGCCATAGTATATGCTCTACTGTTCTCTAGTCTGCAGTAGGCACTTGTAAATCATGCCTCTAATTCTGCACCCAAACTGCAGGCTTGAGCTTGCATGCAAAGCTCTAGAGACTGGTTTGAACATTTAGTCTTCCCTGCCAGCACTAGCTGAGCTATTGTTACCTTGGGGACTTCTCCATTAGTGCCTGGGGGGAGCCTCAGGATCCAGAAGTTCCTGTTCTTCAGCAGGTTCTCCATGTTCTCCAGCCTCCTCTGCAGCAGCCCATACTCCTGGATCAGAGTTCCCAGCGCAGCACATTTACTCTCCAACTGGTTGCCAAGTTCCACTGCTGTTTTCTCACAGTCTATTAATTTCTTCTCAGCCATCCCAGTTCTCCCCTCCAGATCCAACAACCGTGTGGCATGAGAATCCACCTTCCTCTCTACGGCTTGAATTGCTGCCACAACAGTCAGGGAAATCTCTGCAGTCTGAGTTTCTCTTTCAGAAGTTCGTTCCGGGACAAGGGGAGGCAGTAAAGGAGATGGGCACTGTGTCACTGCATCCAGTTCTGGACCCTGTTTGCAAAGACAGACATTAGACATGGAGTCGTGGTCACATGGTTGGCTACAGAGCGAAACAGGGCAAGAGTCTCCTGCTCTTAGCAATACCTGCTACTGGATCTTAAGTCTTATGGGGACATTCCCATGGGTTTCAATAAGCAGTCAGTGCACATGTCCAGTTACAGCTCATATCTAAGGGACCCACAGACTTCAGTTAAAGGAAGAGTTATTTTTCAATCTTTTAATTGATTAGAAAAGGGGAAATGAACTTCACTCTCTTATATGTCTGTAGTCCCTTTCCCCGATGTGTGCCAGACTAGTAGTATTTAGATTGTTGAGAGTCACAGTATGGATTTGAAGCCATTAAGAAGCTCACTCCTATACCATCCTTAGGTTACATTCTCACTGGAATACACAAAATAAGGGATATCTCTTGTCAGTTCTCAGGAGGAAAACCTGCAAGGGAGACCCTGGCTGCCGCTGGAAATGGTTTTGGCGATTTGGTTCTGTACTGATGTCTAAGCAAAGATTCATCAGAAATTCAAGAGGCACTGTGCTACTGAGGTGCCATCTTTCAAGGTATGTCTACACTGCACCCTCCCTATGGCAGTGCACAGAGTACATACAATACCTGCCCCCCAGCACAGGTAAAAACAGCAGTGCAGATGGTGAGGCACTGCTTAGGCGAGTAAAAACATGGCTGTACCCTACACAGCTCTCCACAAGCCCAAGCTGTGCCCTCCTTGTATATACCGCTATTATTTAGCAGTGTAGTGTCCCACTGTCTCCTTGCTGCTGGAGTGTTCCCCACCGCAAGGAAAGGCTCTGGAGGAGGGAAGACAGTGGGGAAAGGCTCCAGCAGATCTCTGCAGTGACGAAAGGCTCTGGCAGGGGGAAGACAGTGGGGAAAGGCTCTGGCAGCAGGGAACTGCCGGAGTTTTTCCCCGCTACAGTGAAAGATTCCAGCCGCAGAGAAAGGCTCTGGCAGGGAAGAGGCAAGAGGAAAGGTTCCAGCAGCTCCTCACTGCAGAAGCCTTTCCCCGCTGCTAAAGCCTTTCACTGCTGGGTGTAGCTACATACTGCAGGGTGGTTGCAGCCTACCTTTCACTGCACCGTGCAGCTACACACACCCTACAAGCCATGGCCAGTGGTGTGCAACGTAGACATACCTTCAGATGAGAGAGAAAAAAAGAGACCTGACTCTTTATAGTCATTTAACGTTCCTTAATACTTTCCGTAAGAGTCATGGTATGAATAAGAGAATTCTGGACTTTCCTCCTTTGTAGATTTCACCCACAGAATTAGTTTAATACAGTCATTTTTGATATCCTGTCCTCGACTTCGTGTACACGTTTTGCACATACTGGTAAAGAAGTTCCACCTAGAGGTCTCTCTGTTTAGGGATCCCCGTAGATATGTCTAGTTTTTATGAAAAGCTTTTGAACTCTGGGGGATTAAAGTAGCTATACAAAGAATAATAAAATCCAAGTAATTAAACTAGAGAAACAAAGCCGCCATTACTAACAAAACAGAGCCCCTAAGATCTGTTATAATGTGAAAAATAAGTCACAGAAATGGGGTTGTGGAGTTATGCTTCAAGTCAACAGACACTTTAGGATTTCAACCCTCCAGGCCAGACTATGAGAGAAACAAAAACAAAAAAAAAAAGCTCAACACCTAAAGTGTTGTGAAATAAAAGAGAATGTATTATTAACCATCATCACTAAGCATAAACATTTTCCCCTTAGAGAGAGGGACTCTCCAATAGTCACAAGGTCCCATAAAGCTCATTTCTGCCACCTCTGGAAGGCGGCTGCGATGCTACTGTGTGTGTGTGCGCAACACAATACCCTGAGTTATGGTTCAACAACCAACGGGTAGGAAGCGCTCTCCTCCAGCCCCGCAGCAGAAGCCCGACCCTGCGGTCCTAGCCAGGCGGGAGCGCTGGCTGCTGGCAGGGCGGGCCCGCCTGGGAGGTCGGTCCCCTGCAGCGGGGCGAGCAAAGCAAAGCAAAGCCCCGCTCCCTGCTCCCCGGACCAGCCGCAAAGGGCCCCGCAGGAGCGGAGCTGCCCCCCGTGTCCGGGAAACACCAGCTAGATCACGGTTGCTCCCGCCTCCCGCCCGGGGGATCAGGACCCTCCTCCCCCTTCAGCGTCCAGCCCGGGCCCTGCCCGGCCCAGGAGCCAGCGGGCAGCGCCGCGCTCCCCGCGGGGCCGGAGAAGCTCGCGAGGGCCCCCTGTCCAGGCTCCCCCCGCCAGGCGATTTCCCGCCCCGCTCGGGGGCCCCCGCCAGGCCCTTACCTGGGCAGCGGCCCGCTCGGCCATGGCCCTTTGTTCCCGGCCCAGGCGCCGCCGGAGCTCGCCCCTCACCGCGGCCCGGGGGCGGACATGAGCGTTTCCCCGCCCGCCCGCCGGGGGCGGCGCTCGGGGCCCGCGGAGCTCTGCCGCCGGCGGGCCGGGCTGGGGGCGGCTGCTCCGCAGGGACCCGGGGGAGTCACGACGAGACTCGCCCGCCGCCCCGCTCAGGGGACGAGCCGCGCGGCTGGATCCCAACGGGGCCCGGCCCGGCCCGGCCGAGCCCGAGCTCCGCTGCCGCTGCGGGCTGGGCAGAGTCCCGGCGCCTCCTCGCCACGGGCCGGCCCCGCTGCCGGGCGGAGCAGAGCGAGCGCAGCCGGGAGCCGCGGCCTCGCTGGCAGGGTCCGCGAGCTGCGTGCGGGGCGGAGCGGGCCGGGCAGCGGGGCCGGCAGCGGCCCCTGGCGGCGGGTGGGGCGCACGGCCCCGGCCGGGCGGGGAATCGCCTCCCGGCGTCCGCCCAGCGCAGGGGCCCCCCGCGGGGCAGGCGGCGGCCGAGCCCCGCCCCTTCCCCCGCAGCCCGGCTGGGGGGGGGGGGTGGCTGCGAGCCCCGGCTCCCGGAGTCAGGGGATCGCGGGCGGAGCTCAGCCTCCATTCACAACGTGCTGCTTCGGCCAAGGGGCTGTGCCAGGCGCTGTCTCCCCCAGGGCGGCCACGAGCTGCCTCGGGGAGTCGGGAACCCGGCGGGACCTCCCTAGGGGGCTTCGGGGCTCACTCCGGGACTGTCTGATCCCTCCTACACCCCCCTCGCCCCCGACCCGGTACGGGCGGAGCAGCGATCGCTGCCCCGTTGCCCCGCGCTGACCCGCGGCAGGTGGGCTAGCAGCGGGTGGGACAGGGACACCCTCCCCCCCCCCACGCTGGGCTCCCCAGTCCCGGTCCCTCCGCACCCCCGGGCTCTGCAACTTGCGGGGGCCCACGGACCTGGCGGAGGCAGCGCAGGCCCGAGGCGGTGAGGAGGGGCCGATGGCGGGGCGCCCCGCTCTCTGCGGCCGCCATCGGCCTGACTCCGGTGGGCGCAGGGGGCGTCAGCGACCAGGTGCTGTCCCCCAGAGTAGCTCAGCAAACCCCCGTCGGGGCAAAATCGGCAACGGGCAGGGGAGAGGTCCTGGGGGTCACCCGTGCGTCTCCTCCGGGGCATCGCCTGTGCCCCCCCCGGCACACAGCGGGAGGGGCATCCCCACCCCCTTCGGCAGACGGGAGGGGGAGGCAGTTGGGGGGGGTCGCCCACGCTCCCCTCGGGCGGGGGGAAGGCAATTGCAGGAGGGGGGCTGCCTGCATCCCCCTCCATCATGGCAGCGGGGGAAGGCAGGCTGGGGGGGGGGGGGGTCACCTGCCTTCTCCTCCAGCATAGGCGGCGGGGGGAACCGCCCATGCCCTTCTCAGGCGGGGAGAGAGTCTGGGGATGGGCCGTGCCCCCCTCGGGCAGGGGAGAGAGACAGTCACGGGGGTGGCGAGTGCCCCCCTCGGGCAGGGGAGGGGGGAATCGGCCCGCCGCTGCCTTCCCCTCATGCGGGGGGGGGGGGGGGTCTCGCGCTCCCCTCTGGCACAGCTGGCCTCCTCTCCTCCCCCCCTCCGATTGGCTTAGGCAGCCCTCCATCCCCCAGGGTTCACCCAATCACAAGGCTCCAACGCCCTTGGCCAGGTGAGCACCCTGCAGCCTTCCCCCACCATCTGCCCGGCAACAAGCCTGGCTCCATTCTTCCTCGCACCCATTAACCCGGGTGAGGCTGGTAACCCTGAGGGCTGACCCGGAACAGGGGGCCCAGGGGCCTGCCCCTGCAGTAAGATCCGCCACCCCTGTCCTCACTTCTGGTTAACACCGCAGCCAGCTGAGCTGGGCCTGCCTTGGAAAGCCCCTTGCCCCCAGGGCCGGCGGGCTGTGTAGACCCTTGACTCTTTCGCTTGGCTGAGACGGAGGATCCCCAGCCCCGTGGAAGGGCCGTGGAGCTTGAAAGGACATAAGAAGGGCCATATTGGGTCACACCAAAGGTCCATCCGGCCCGGTATCCCGTCTTCTGACAGTGGCTAGTTTCTTTTCCCACCAGAGAAAAGATAAGACCTCACCCACCTTCGCGTAGTAGTTCGGGCAGCACCCCTGGAAGTCCCAAGAGAGACTGGGACCTGGGCGCGGTACAGTCACCGTGTGAGAGATGGTCTCTGTCCCCAGGGCTTCACAATCCAAGACAGGGAGAGGAAGAGGCACAGAAACCGGCCCAGGAGCACCCAGCAGCTCAGAAATACACCCCTCAGTTAGCTGCCCTACTCCCTAGTCCTGTCCTTTTAAGCAATACCCAATGTTGCTCAGCAACACTAGGTTTTTCCTATAGTGCCTCTCACTGTATTATGGGAGTGCCAAATGGGCAGTTTAGATCTGCAGAGCATTGTCCACTGCCCAGCCAAGCTAGGTCTCTGAGTACCGCCCAGAATGACTGGCTCTGGGCAGCTACACAGTACGTCAGAATCCATAACCCTTTAATCTATAACTTCACTTGGAGTCCCACAGTCATGACAAGCTCCCCCTAGAGATGACCGACAGTCAGTCTCATTGCCCATTCAGAAGCTCTGCAGCCACAGTCCTCATGCCAGGTTCCCACCACAGTTGGGAACTAAAAGAAACTAGCACTAGGTGGGGTCCTGAACCCAAAGTGGCATTCATCTCAGTGACAAGACTTAGACAGCAGGTCCCTCCAGTGGGATAGAACAAAACATCTGGGTCAGCAGCCTGAGTCCTCACTTCCCCTTTTCTGGGACAGGGCCTGCAGTTCCAGGATGGATTCTAGGATATCAGCGATATCCTCATCCCCAATGCATGAACTCCACTGGAATTCTGCTCGCCACAGTCTCCAGTCCTGGCCTCCAATTCAGCAAGATTTCAATCAATCAAATTAGAATTTCTGACGGAATGAACCCCATCTCTCCTCCATGTTGAGATGAATATAGGAAACGGCAGCAGTTCCCAGGGCGTTCCAGGACGCTCAATACAAAATCCAAGAATAGCCTTCCGGCCACACACAGCGTGGCAGGTGTCACAGGATTTACCTCTAGAGTGCCCCCTTTGGGGAGTGGGTAGGGGCATAGAATCATAGAATATCAGGGTTGGAAGGGACCTCAGGAGGTCATCCAGTCCAACCCCCTGCCCAAAGCAGGAACAATCCCCAATTAAATCATCCCAGCCAGGGCTTTGTCAAGCCTGACCTTAAAAACTTCCAAGGAAGGAGATTCTACCACCTCCCTAGGTAACGCATTCCAGTGTTTCACCACCCTCCTAGTGAAAAAGTTTTTCCTAATATCCAACCTAAAACTCCCCCACTGCAACTTGAGACCATTACTCCTTGTCCTGTCCTCTTCTACCACTGAGAATAGTCTAGAACCATCCTCTCTGGAACCACCTCTCAGGTAGTTGAAAGCAGCTATCAAATCCCCCCTCATTCTTCTCTTCTGCAGACTAAACATTCCCAGCTCCCTCAGCCTCTCCTCATAACTCATGTGTTCCAGACCCCTAATCATTTTTGTTGCCCTTCGCTGGACTCTCTCCAATTTATCCACATCCTTCTTGTAGTGTGGGGCCCAAAACTGGACACAGTACTCCAGATGAGGCCTCACCAATGTCGAATAGAGGGGAACGATCACGTCCCTCGATCTGCTCGCTATGCCCCTACTTATACATCCCAAAATGCCATTGGCCTTCTTGGCAACAAGGGCACACTGCTGACTCATATCCAGCTTCTCATCCACTGTCACCCCTAGGTCCTTTTCCGCAGAACTGCTGCCTAGCCATTCGGTCCCTAGTCTGTAGCGGTGCATTGGGTTCTTCCGTCCTAAGTGCAGGACCCTGCACTTATCCTTATTGAACCTCATCAGATTTCTTTTGGCCCAATCCTCCAATTTGTCTAGGCACCTCCCTTTGTTCCCACTGCCTTCCTTTGGGTGCTGCAGTTGCTACAGAGTTGATCAGAAGAGGAGCTGTGTGTTTCCAGATACAAGTATCAGGGGAGTAGTTCTGCCCTCCCCCTGCAGTAGTTCAACAAAAAGGGCAAAGTAGAACAGTCCTGCAACCCCAATGCAGTGTGGATCATAGAAGATTAGGCTTGGAAGAGACCTCAGGAGGTCATCTCGTCCAATCCCCTACTCAAAGCAGGACCAACACCAACTAAATCATCCCAGCCAGGGCTTTGTCACGCCAGGCCTTAAAAAACCTCTACGGATGGAGATTCCACCACCTCCCTAGGTAACCCATTCCAGTGCTTCACCACCCTCCTAGTGAAATAGTGTTTCCTAATATCCAACCTAGACCTCCCCCACTGCAACTTGAGACCATTGCTCCTTGTTCTGTCATCTGCCACCACTGAGAACAGCCTAGCTCCATCCTCTTTGGAACCCCCTTTCAGGTAGTTGAAGGCTGCTATCAAATCCCCCCTCACTCTTCTCTTCTGCCGGCTAAATAAGCCCAACTCCCTCAGCCTCTCCTCATAAGTCATGTGCCCCAGCCCCCTAATAATTTTTGTTGCCCTCCACTGGACTCTCTCCAAGTTGTCCACATCCCTTCTGTAGTGGGGGGACCAAAACTGGATGCAATACTCCAGGTTGGCCTCATCAGTGCCAAATAGAGGGGAATAATCACTTCCCTCGATCTGCAGGCAATGCTCCTACTAATGCAGCCCAATATGCCATTGGTCTTCTTGGCAACAAGGGCACACTGCTGACTCATATCCAGCTTCTCGTCCACTATAATCCCCAGGTCCTTTTCTGCAGAACTGCTGCTTAGCCCGTCGGTCCCCAGCCTGTAACAGTGCATGGGATTCTTCCATCATCAGTGCAGGACTCTGCACTTGTCCTTGTTGAACCTCATCAGATTTCTTTTGACCGAATCCTCTAATTTGTCTTGCAAGGCAAACAAGTCAGAGTCTCTGAGTCAAAGCTGGGTTTCTTTAACCCCTGGTCAGTCTGAGAGGCCCAGGCTGAGCATCCTCGGCTCTAAGAAACTAGAACAATTTATCCAGAGGACTTGGGCAGCAGAGGACCTTCAGCAGCCTTCCTAGTCAGCTGGTTCTGTGGATTCAGGGAGCTCCGGGCCCTGGCTCTCCTTCCCTCTGAGTGTCACCCTTATAGGGCTTGGTGTCTCTCTTTGAGGGAGCAGGTTTCACATATGTGCCAGTGTGGGAACTGATTGTGCCTACAGGTGCTTATTAACCCCTTCCTGACTGAGGTGGGCACTTGCTCCACCACATCAAGTGCTTCCCACACCAACCCCTCCTCCCACTCTGGGGAGTTGTGCTAAACATGTATGGGATAGGTAGCACAGTGCAGTGGTACAGAAATGGCTGGGGGGCAGCATGAATGTCCTGCACACAACGGCACAGCTAACACTGGTGAGTGATGTGGACACACTGAACTGTTGCATTGATTCTGGCAACACTTAGCTTCACCATTTCAGCTTGAAGCGATGCCTGTCTCTCCAAAGTGTGGACCTAAAGTGGTGCAGACTGTTGCACTGGTTCCATCAGAGACAAGCTAGCTTTGTTGGCACAGATGTTACACTCAGCAGGCATGGATCTAGACACAAGGCTTTGCACAGACATAGCAGGCTTAAACCACAGCAACCCGTAGTAAATAGCCCTGAAGGAAAGGAAAATCCTCTAGAGCAGGGGCTCTCAACCTTTCCAAACTACTGTGTCTGATTTTTCTTGTGTACCCCAGGTTTTACCTCACCTAAAAACTACTTGCTTACAAAATCAGATATAAAAATGTCACAGCATTTATAAAATAAATAAATTGGAATATTATACTTACATTTCAGTGTATAGTATACAGAGCGGTATAAACAAGTCATTGTCTGTATGAAATTTTAGTTTGTACTGACTTCACTAGTGTTTTTTATGTAGCCTATTGTAAAACTATGCAAATCTCTAGATGAGTTGACATACCCCCTGGAAGACCTCTGCATCCCCCCAGCGGTATGCAGACCCCTGGTTGAGAACCACTGCTCTAGAGGGATCCAAGCTGGATTATTACAGCCCATGGTATGAGAACATACAGGTCTCTCTCACTCCATGGGTGAAACTGGGAATGTCTGTGCTGCAATTAGACACCCACTACTGGCTCGTGCCAGCTGACTCGGCTAAGGGGCTGTTTAATTGCTGTGTGTAGACATTCACCTCTCAGGGTCGTAGAGGCCAGACTCCAGCCCAAGCTTGAATGTCTACACCGCAATTAGCCTAAGCCAGCTGCCACGGGCATCTAACTGCTGTGTAGACATACCCTCAGTGGCTTCAACCTGGCAATAAAAGGAAGAAGCTGAATATCCGAACCTTCTTGAGCCAATTGATGCCTGGGAAACACCTGCTAAATACCAACTTTGGTGCAGCCCTGCCTGGCCAGGGTATTTCCTAAACCCACTCACAGGTTGCAGACCCATGTGATGGATCAGAAAAATTCTTTCCACCCCCTCTCTCTGGGGTGCAGGAAGCTCAGCCCGCCTCCCTCAAAAAGCAGCTGCTGAGACATGGATACCCCCACTCTGTTCTGCTGGGGGCCTTTCTTCACTCATGGCCACAACAGAACACAGCCGGTCTTCCTGAAATCTCGTTTGGAGGTCTAGTGGTCAACTAAGACTTAACATGGCCAAAATAGAGCTCCTGATCTTTCCCGCAAAGCTCTCCTCTCGCCCTTTGTGACATTTTTGACTCGTCTCTCTCCTTTAAATCAGACATCCAGGCCATGTCTATATCTTGCCACTTCTTACTGCACCACATCTCTAGTATCTGACCTTTCATCTCTGCCCATGTAGCCAGAATTCTTGTCCAAGTCTTGATCATCTCACATCTTGACTCTCCCTTCCTCTCTGGCCTCAATGTCAGCAATCTCGCAGCCCTCACACACATTCAAAACAGTGTTGCTAAAGTCCTTTTCCTGGCTCATCACTGTCATCCGCTCTTTCCCTCCACTGGCCCCTCCTCTTCAGTCGCATCGAACAAGAAGTCCTCCACAGTGTAGTGCTATCCTATTGGACCTCTTACCTCAGCACACTGTTGACTCTGCCTTTGCTCCACCAATGGTGCCGGCTTCCATTGCTGATTCTCCACTTCTCCCACAACACCACTTACATGTGGGGAAAGCTCCCAGTCAAAATCCATAAAGCCACTACACCTTGTCCTTTAAATCTCTCCTCAAAACTCGAGTCTTCCAAAATGCACGTGAGAAACTGCAACCTGATAATGGCTGGGCAAGTGGAGAGCATCCGGCTAAGAATTTGGATAGTCTCCCCCGCTCATTTGTCTCATCTACCTGATGCATCTTGTCTTGCAGACTGTAGGCTCTTTGGGGCAGGGACTGTCCTGTATTACGTCTGTACAGTGAACAGCAGAATGGGGCCCTGACCTAGGTGGGGCCTGGAGGTGCTATCACAATATCAATGTTATAATTTAACAATAAAGGAGCCTGGGGCCAGGACACTGCTCATGGAAACCAGCTTCTGGCTCTACATCTGCGTGAACAACATGGCGTAGGTGAGTCTCAAAGAACTCTACATGCACAACCAGCTGTTCTCAGCCCCACCGTTCCCTCCCAGCTTGTGTAGGCTGGGCCCACACCCTCTGGACTAGATTTTGAACCCCTTTCTCTCACTGGTGAGCACTTATCCTATGCTCAGTCCCCTGGAAATCAATGGGGCCAGTAACTGCTCCACTATGGGGGTATGGGATTCACAATCAGCCAGATGTGGAGGGTACCAGCCCTCCTAGGATCTTAATCATCTGACAATTATTTCAATAAGCTTTTTTTTTTGTAATTATCTCAAACTCGTCAGGTAAGAATTCCTTCTGAATCACTCCCCATGCATCGTGGTATTTCAGACCGGACGGATATGTGCAATGGAACATACTGCTGCTGCATGGCAGGCTGAGCTGCACTGGCAGACGGTCAGTTTCTGACGGTATCTTTGTTTGGCTCTTGATTGTACATTTTATTATTGTGCATTTTGAAAAGAGGATTTGAGAGAACGTACATGTGAACTACTCGCACAGCCACAGCTCTACCCACGTGGATACGAACAGAGCAGTGGTTCTCAACCTATTTATCATTGTGGGCCGTATATGCGGCCCACAATGTGTTACCGGGGCCACAGGTTGAGAACCACAGCACACGCCTCCCTCCCCCTCCCCCCGAATTTCCCCCCACAGACCCCTAAGCCCAGCATCTCCCACTCAGAGACCCCTCCATAGAGTGGGGCCAGGAGCAGAGCTCTGGGCGAGGAGCCAGGTGACAGGGACCCTGGACCCCACTGTGTGCGGTCGGGCAGCAGCCCTGATCCTGGACCTGGCCACATGGGACCAGGTGGCAGGGCAGCTGGGTGGCAGGCCTGACGCCAATCCCGCGGGGCCGGCCAGCAGCCCCAACGCCAACCCTGGACCCTATTGTGAGGAGCTAGCGGGCAGCAATGGACCCTTGCTGTGCAGAGCCAGCCAGCAGCCCTGGACCCCCAACCCCGTGGGGCTGGATAGCAGCCCCAACCCAGACTTTTTGGGGCCAGGTGGCAGCCCTGGACGCCAGACCTCTGCTGTGTGGGGCCAGGCCCTGGACCCCCGCCTTTAGCGCACAGCTGGACTGCAGCTGTGTGTTAATTCGGCCACATGCGGGCCACGGGTTTAGAACTACTGGAACAGAGGAACGTAAATATTAACCAGCTACTTCCCTTGGGGGATGGGTCCAGGTGGAAGAGTCCCCGCTCCACCCCATTCTGGAAAGTCAATGGGACTGAGTCACTCAGGTACTGCGGAAAATGTCCCCCAAGCTGTCTGTTACTTCAATGGGCTCATGGACAGTTATCCAGATTTCATGATGCTCACAGGTTAATAGCAGCCCTGTGATGTCTCAAGCACAGAATCCATCATTTGAATGGTGCCCGAGACACAGCCCCAAGGGAAAGATGTCCACTCCCGTCAAGAACACTGAACATAAGCTAGTGACAGTGACTAAACATTGTAGAAGAAAGTGAACGTGTTCCGTTAACTGACAGAGATGGCTTCCCCTTTCCAATGGGCACCTTACCTGCATACCACCAGCTGGGAATCCTGATTGACAGGTCAAACACCTATGAACACTGAAAAGTAGCTCTCGTTGGCTTAAGGAAGATGCAACTACCTTTAGTGTGATGAACTAGCAAGAGAGAAACACAGGAAAAGAACGACAAGCTTCCCAGGGAGCACTGAGCCTGCCTAGGTGTTTTTTGCCCTAGTGGGAATGGACTCAACTGCTAATAAACCAGCAGCCTAGACCTCTCCACGGATCATCCTGCTGACATTTAGTTCTCTGTTCAACACCCAGAGCCTTGGTCTCTCTCCTTTGCTCAGATGCCATCATGATTGTCCCCAGCCAGAGTTCCCTGGTAGCACTTAACACAGCATCTACGGGGGGAACTCCTTGTGCATCAAGGGCAGCGACGCAGGCTCTCCCCTGTGCGTTTTGCCTGGCAGGTCGTGCAAGCGTCTCTGTGCTGCCAGGGTCCCCCAGAGTTTCTCCCCCGTGTGGATGCGTTGGTGTCCCACCAGGTGCTGCTTCCGGGTGAAGCTCTTCCGGCACTCGGGGCACTGGTAGGGCCGCTCTCCCGTGTGCAGGCGCTGGTGGGTCAGGAGGTGCTCCTTCCGCATGAAGGTTTTCCCACACTCGGTACAGCCATACGGTCTCTCCCCAGTGTGGATCATCTGGTGCCTAATGAAGTTCGAATGGTGGTTAAAGCCCCTCCCACATTCGTTGCAGATATACGAGCCCCTGCTCTTCCCCGCGTGACTCCTCTCGTGTATCATGAGGTTGATCTTCAGCCGGAAGCTCTTCTTGCACTCAGCACAGGTGTGCGGCCGGTCCCCCGTGTGGGAGAGCTGATGTTTGCTGAGGCTCGACTTGTGAGGGAAGCTCCGCTCGCACTCAGGGCAGCTATAAAGTCTCTCCCCCAGCTGAACCTCTGGGCAGGATTTGAGACAGTGGTTTTGCTTGAAGCTCTCCCTGCGCTCAGGAGGCGTGTGGGCTCCGGCATGGATCCTCTGGTGCAGTACACACTGCTGCTCATAAAGGAAGCTTTTCCCACATTCAGAACAGACGTACGGTGCCTCTCCTGGGAGGCTCTCCTCTTGGACAATGATCGTGGTGAAGTTACTGAAGTCTCTCTCGCCCGCAGCAGAGTCCTCCAGACTGTTCCCGTCAGGGTATTCCCCCTGGATGCTGACGTTGCCCTGATCGTCACAGATCGGTTCCTGCTCAGGGTACTGGAAAACAGTCTCTTCTGGTGGTCCAGGCAATGTGCTGTACAGCTCCAAGCTCACTGGGATTCCCTCCTCAGCTTTGACTACAACCTCGTTGTCTGCTGGACTCAGAGGAGAAACCAAGAGTTATTAGTTTTCTGTTCCTTGTCCATCCACCACCTGCCTCTCTTGCACCCTGCCATCTTTCTGCTTCCAGGCACCATCTGCCTGAGAAACCTGTGTCACCAACTTACTGCCCCGCTCTAAAACTCCTACACAGGCAGACAGCGAGCAGGGACTTATGGTGCAATCACAGTACCTCAGTGCCAGCCAAGGAAAAGAGACGCCAGGCTAAGAGACTTAGAGGAGAATGTCCCTTTGGCATAAAAAGGAGAAGAACCAATTCCGTTCCAACCCACCTTCCAAAGAGCCCAAAAAGAGATGGCTGAATGGAAATCAGTCAGGCCTGGTGGGTAGCTGTGACTGAGCCCTGCAAAAGTGATCTGAGAAATGCAGTTTGAGAGAGAGGACTATCTGACAAGATGGGACGCTAAGAGCTGACAAAGGTCTCCCTTGATTGACAGATTCCTGTTGCACTCACTGTTTGAGTCATTCCAATCGCTCACTCACCTGTGCTGGGCTCCGTAGAGATCTCTCTCTCCTCCGAGTCCCACTGATCCCTGATGTACAGGTCTTCTTGTTTTATCCACGATACAGTATCATGAGTAAGGCTCAGCGATTCTGTTTGCGAGAGGAGAGAAATTACATTGTGATTAGCTAACATCCACCCATTCCCATGTTTCTATTAGCTAACATTTACACAGAGCACCCAGGTGCTATACAGAGAGAACAGAAAAATAACCCACGCTGAAAGGTGCCTACAGTCTGGGCTTGGTACAACACGATGCAGGGAGAGATGAGAGCAAGCGAGAGGTTTGCAGAAAATAAGGCAGTGAAGATGCAGCTTGTGTTGGTTCCTGATTTTTATGTCAATAGAGAAGTTTGGTGTGTATAGTAGGGAACCAGGCTGGATTTCATGGCTCTTTGCACTTGCACCCGAACATTATGGTACTCAGGGTCACTAGTCCCTTTGGAAAAGCTTGGCCAGTGGGCACAGGGAGTATGAAAAGCAGCAGTCCTTACCTTCCTCTGTCTCTGCTGAAATATGGTTCCTACCTTAATCACGCACCTAGTACAAACCCTCTGTGTTGCATTTCTTAATTCCTGGCTCTATGCTCCAGAGAAGGCACATAAGCTTTCCTGGCTTCTTTTCCATCTCTGAACCCCTCCATGGCTCTCTCCATCCTGGCTGGCTGAAGTTAGAGCAAACTGCTTCCAAAACAGCTAACTCTGTGGCTTCACTCAGAGCTCTCTCTGTGCCATCCGGCGTACCTGATCAATAAAGAACCACCTCACACCCCACAGCTGGAGGGAGCGCCTGTTCTTGCGGTGCCCCTCCTTCTCGATCTGTGCATCCAACTCTGTACAGCACTATTTTACCTACCTATCCTGCTTGCAAAGCCTCCATTGCTATAATCTGAGAGTCCTCACACCAAGTATTTATCCTCAGAACACCTCTGTGAGGTAGGACAGATAGGGCATATAGACAACAAGGTCGCAAAGAACGTCTGTCGTAGAGAAGGAATTGAACCTAGGTCTCCCAACTCCCAGGCTAGTGCTCTAACCACCGAGCCATCCTTCCTCTCCTACATCTGGCAGCAAAGCACCTTATGACGCTCCAGATAACTCACCTGTGCTAGGCTCCATTGGGATCACTCTCTCCTCAGAGTCTTCCTGAGCCCCCCTACACGGCTCCTCCCCCCGTTCAATCCTGGACAGAAGGTCAGGTTTGGAGATGGCGTAGTCTGTTCATGTGAGAGGACAGGAAGGGGTGGGAGGGTTAGTCATTGGTACTGAGTATTATTTACGGACAAGCAAGGGTGATTTTAAACCAATCTGCCCTCCCGGTTCAGGCACAGGGAGGAGCCCTCCATTCCTGCAGGCAAGCAGCACGGTGAGAAGCCCAGACCCACACTTTCCTGTGTGCCTATTTCAAACCGCAGCGCCCTCACACAAGCAGGGAGAGAGCTGGCTGCTAGGAGAGAGGGGCTGGTGGGTTGCTTCCCCCGCCCCCCAAAATTCAGACATCCAAAGGCACAACAGAATAAAGCTATAAGATTTATAAGATTTGCTGTGTATCAGTTTCCTGACTATTGCATCTTTCCTTCTGCTGAGTTTTTAGCTCGAGGTTGGTGATACCAGAAACTGGGAGACATTTTAAAGGCTGGGAGCTAAGGGAGAGAGCGAAAACCCAGCACAGCAAAGTAACGGCAGCGAGCAACCGAGTCGTCACTCACCACCCTGGGCAAGAGCACCAGCACCACGAGTCACCGCCCTCCGTCTAGTCTAGCAGCAATGTCAGGGCACATTCACAATGCACAGAGCAGGCCTGGGATATTCCAACTGTGTCAGCAGCAGGGTGTGTAGGCTGAACATGTGCAATGATATGGACCTGTTATTCAGGGCTGGAAAGCTGCAGGTGAGCAGTCACTGCAGATCTCTCATTCTCTGCGGAATGGAAGGAACGAAGCACAAACTGAAGGCTACAAGTGCTGCTTCGCTGGAACCATCACTGCTGGTGAAAGGTGCCTGTTGCACCTTCATCCCTACAGAATGGACAGGGCACAAGCAACAGCGCTGCAAGCTTGCTCTCCTCTCCCAGTCCTCGGAGGACCATCTCTCGGGTTTACTTCAGCGATCACGGACATTCTAACAGGTGAGTGAAAGAAAACTGATCCTTACCCAGCGAGATCAATGATTCATAGTTGCCTTTCATCACATTCTTGTAAAGGTCTTTCTGCCAATCGTCCAATTTCCCCCACTCCTGCTTGGAGAAATAGACGGAAACATCATCGAATGTCACTGGCACCTGAAATCACAGGGGTAATATAAGTAAAGAATTAAAAACAAAACACGATGTTAACATGACAATATCCACTTAACTTAGGGTTTGCCCTTTGTTTATGGGCCTTCCCTCAGTTTTCTATCCAGGTAACAATGCTAGTATCCAGTCAATCTAGATGAATGCTTGTAGTATGAATACAAGACACTAAATTATACGCTTTATTTGTGTTCAGACAGTGCATAAGGGGCCCTGTCCTCCAAACCCTCAATCACGCAGAAAGTCTTTACTCATGTGACTTCAGTGGGGCTACACACCCTGAGTTGGTGTGCTAAATCAGATGAGAATCTTGCGAGTCAATCTAAAAAAAAAAAAAGAAAGAGCAAATCCATGTGGCAAAATATGTCCTTTGTTAAGTTTCAGTGCTTATTGCTTCTGTTCCTCTTGGCCCCTAGGATTCATGTTACCTTGACCTGCTCAGATATAGAATATAGCCTCTTTACCTGAAATTTGTTTTAATATACATCAGCAGCTACACCATCAAGGCTTTCCTTGCTTCTTCACTGCTCAAACACCTTGTTTTATTTTTCTCATTAAAGACAAATTTAAACGAGCAATTCAGCACTTCTGCCATTTTAAACTCCTGATCATTTATCAATTTTTTTCTCCTCGGATAAGTTTGCAAAAGGCCTTCTTATTCCTCTTAGCGCCACAGAAATCAGACTGCCTACAGACGCAGGGATGGAGCAGAATCCAAATAACTTGGTAAGCGAGGATGGAAGCAGCCAGAGAGTGGAGGAGGAAAACCACACACTACATATTATATTAAAATAAAAGAGTACATAAGATACAAAATAGGATCATTTCTCTTCAATTCTCCTTTCAATATCTAATCCAACTTCAAAACTTTATATCTCCCCCTCAGCACCAGCTGGGATATCGTTACCTTGGGGACTTCTCCCTTAGTGCCTGGGGGGAGCCTCAGGATCCAGAAGTTCCTGTTCTTCAGCAGGTTCTCCATGTTCTCCAGCCTCCTCTGCATCAGTCCATATTCCTGGATCAGAGATCCCAGCATGGCTAGTTGGTTACTAAACTCCATCATTCCTTTTTCTGTGTCACATATTTTCTTCTCAGCTGTCCCTGTTCTGCCCTCCAGACTCAGTAACTGTGAGGCATGGGAATCCACCTTCCTCTCCAAGGCTTGAATAGCAGCCACTACAGTCCACAGGGAGATCTCTGCAGTTTGCAGCTGCGTTTCTCCCACAGCAGTTTGCTTGGGGACAACGTGGGGTTGCAGAGGAGCCGAGTGCAGGGACTCCATGTCCCATTCCCGAGCCTGGGTGCAAGGACAGAAATTGAGAGAACTGAGGTCTTGGTCCAACCTAGGAGAGTCTCCTCCAGCCCTTGTCTCCATGAGATCATTGTACCAATTTAACTAAATCAGTTAAGAAACTGCAGCCCCCATGTGAGGGCACTTTGACTTCAATGTAAAAGTGCCCTATATCCATGTAGCTTAAGTCAGTTCCTTACTGACAGACAAAGGGTGGGGGTAGATTTCTTAGACCACAGTGTGAGCATCTGAGATTTCAATGTCCAGCCTGCTGGTTTGCCTGCTATTTTCTATTTTGAAGCCAGAGAAATAATTGCACATCTACCTAATCCCGGGCATGTTTTTACAGCTGTTCATTTTAATTTTAGTAAATCTTTTTTGTGGACACTGTCCTAAACCCGCTAAGATAGCATCCCCCCCCCCCGTCAACAGGCGGCGGTAACATGGAGCACTAGGAGGATGGGAAACACACGGATCCGTTCCAGGGGGTTCGCAGAAGTTTGCGGAACGTGGACCGCGGCCCTGCGCATCATCGCGCTTCCTACTGGCCATCACACACGAAGCGCCCTGGAGGAAAAGGCAGCCGCTGTTTACATGGCAAAGTAGCCCGAAGACAGCAGCGCTGTCACGTTTGCCTGTAGCGCAAGAAGGCGAAGATTTGCAAAGTCGGGGCTCACATTTTGGCTCCGGCACGCGGGTGCCCCGGTTTGAAAACCCCCAAAACCAGAGCAGGCAGGGAAGGCTCCGCACAGGTGTAGACGGCCTTTCGGGGCGAGAGGAGAGCGAGGCCCAGGTGACCAGCCGGGTGCTCGGTGTCTCTAAGGCACAAAGACCGGGGCGTTTGCCGCGCCAGGCAGCCTGGCCCCCTTCCTGCAAACCCCTGCCCGGCCCTGGCTCGCCGGCCCCGCTCGGCGCCCAGCGCTGCCCGCCCCTGCACCGGCCCCAGCCCGGCCGGGCAGCACCGCGCTCCCGGGGCCCGGGCCGGCCGGGGAGAAGCTCCCGGGCCCCGAGGCCCCCCCGCCCGCCGGGTCCTTACCTGGGCAGCGGCCCGCTCGGCCATGGCGCCCCCGGGCGGGGCTGCTCCCGCGGGCCCGGCCCGGCCGAGCCCCGCTCCCGCTGCGGGCTGGGCAGAGTCCCGGCGCCGCCTCGCCACGGGCCGGCCCCGCTGCCGGGCGGAGCAGAGCGAGCGCGGCCCGCAGGGAGGGAGGGAGGGAGCCGCGGCCTGGCTGCCGGGGCCGGGAGCGGCGGGGCGGGGCGGCGGGGAGCGGGGCGGCAGCGGCCCCTGGCGGCGGGGATCGCGGCGCCGGGCGCGCTCCGGGGCGGGGCCCCCCTGGACCGGCGCGCAGCCCCGACGGGCTCTGGGGCGAGCCTGGGCTCGGCCCGCGCTCGCAGCGGGCCCCGGCTCGGCGGCAGCGTTGCGCCCCGCAGCGATGGGGGCCAGGGGCCTGTCGCGCTGCTGCTTCCTTCCGCCGGTTATCGAGGTCTCCGTGGGCCACCCCCCAGCCATGCCCGTTGCGAGCCGCTCCGCCCGCGGATCACACCCGCCCGGGGTCACCGGGAGCGCTGAGGGCGCATTGTCCATGGCCCCGGCTGGTCGGTGCCATCCAGCAGGCAGGGGGGCGGGAGCCGGGAGCAGCAGCTGGAAAGCTCGTCTCCCTCGCCCGCAGAAGTTGGCCCAATAACTGAAGTGAGCTCACCCACCCAGCCGCTGGAACAGGTTTTATAGTGGGGGCGCTGAGAGCCCTTGAACCAAACTGTGCAACCCCGCTATGCAAGGGGTGTGCGTGTGAACACGGGCAAGTCCTGCTTTCTGGGCAGGTCCCCCCCAACCCTCCTTTCCAAAGCGCATTGGGGTCTATAGAGGCACCCGGTGCTGCCGGTCACATTTCATAGAAGGGAAACAAGCCCCAGAGGCTGGGCATGACTTGCCTCATTTGCTGTGTGCTGCGCTGGATCAAGACACTAAACAAGCAGCCTTTCAACTAGTGGGGTTCTGACCCTTGTAAATGCCATAAGGTCACATGGCCTCAGTGGATCCATCCTAAAGCAGAGCTAGTACGTCTTCCGGTTGGTCTGAGATCTGCCGATGAAAGGAGGCTTTAGTAGGACATCTGCTCAACGTGCAGCCGCCGCCAAAAAAGCCAACAGACTGTTAGGAACCGTTAGGAAGGGAATATAGTTAATAAGATGGAAAATATCATAATGCCTCTATATACAGCCATGGTATGCCCACAGTTTGAATGCTGAGTGTAGTTCTGATCACCTCATCTCAAAAAAGATGGATTAGCATTGGAAAAGGTACAGAGAAGGGCAACAAACATGATTAGAGTTATGGAACAGCCAAGGAGAGATTAATAAGACTGGGACTGTACAGCTTGGAATAGAGACGACTGGGGGGGGGGGGATATGATAGAGATCTGTAAAATCATGACTGGCTGTGGAGAAAGTGAATAGGGAAAGGTTACTTACCCCTTCACATCACACAAGAACTAGGGCGTGACCCAGTGTGCCTAGGGCAACCCTCACTGGAAATGCCAAGGTCAGGGCAGGCTGCAAAAGGGAGAGCAGATACTCCCAAAACTGGTGGTTAACACTGAAGTTAAACTCCCCAACCAGTCACAAACTGCGCTTCTGATCCTTCATACTGGTTATCACGAAGCATAAAAAAGGAATCACACAGTCCTCTCATTGCACTCCAGTCTCTGGCTCCCAATCAGCGTCTAGGTTCAGTAAGGGGAGGAGTAATTTAAAACTCTGCTCACTATACAACATGTTCTTGACCCTCAAAGGGCCAGCCGCATTGCCAAGTTAGTACTAGTTTGGATCTTAAATCCCACACCGCCAGCCAATCCTTTAGTGTCTGAAACTAAAGGTTTATTATCAAGAAAAAAAGAAAGAACAAGAAGAGAGTTGTTAAATGGTAAAACAGTCACATACATACAAAGACTTCAAAGTCCATAGATCAGGTTCTTAGCAGTATTGCATGAGTCTGCAGGCTTGAAAGTCCCTCTAGAACACATCCACAGCTGGGATGGGTCATTCAGTCCTTTGTTCAGAGCTTCAGTTTGTAGCAAAGTTCCTCCAGAGGTAAGAAGCAGGAATGAAAACAAAATGGAGAGGATGCAGCTGTCTTTTTATAGTCTTTTGCCATGCAGCTTGTGCTTCCTTTGTTTCAAACACAAGCTGCCCAGCACATGGCATGGAAACCTTAGAGTTCTGTCCATAGGCGTGTCCCTGCATGCCTTGCTGAATCATAAGATGTAGCCCCTGAACCTTTCAATGGGTTCATTGTATAGCTGATATCCCTTGATGGGCCATCAAGCAGGCTGTTGCCAATCTGTCTGGGAGCGTCACCCAGATGCAGAGCACAAGTTTGGAAATACAGATATACCATGCATATCTATAACTTACAATACAAAGGTGATACAAGCATATATTAAAAAGATTATCATACTTGGCAAATTACAGTATAACATTTGTACAGATACCTTACATGGCATACCTGGCACAACTCATTGCAATTTTACAATATTGGTATTCATAATATCCTAAAGTGTCCCCCAGATTCCATACAGCATCACAAAAGGGTCACCCAATTAAACTAACAGGCAGCAGGTTTAAAACAAACTTCAGGAAGTACTTCTTTACCCAATGCACAGTCAACCTGTGAAAATCATTGTGAAGGCCAAAAGTATAACTGGGTTCAAAAAATAATTCAATATGTTCATGGTGGATAGGTTCATCAATGGGTATTAGCCAGGATGGCCATCCTCTAGGTGTCCCTAAACCTCCAACTGCCAGAAGCTGGGTATGGGCGACAGGAGATGGATCACTTGATAGTTGCCCTGTTCTGTTCATTCCCTCTGGGTCACCTGGCATTGGCAACTGTCAGAAGACAGGATACTAGGTTAGATGGACCTTTGGTCTGACCCAGTCTGGCCGCTCTTACATTATGTTCTTATGAGATTGGCACAGGCTGAATGTTTCAAAAGCAACTAGTGATATGAATGTGATGGGGTACCCGGGGTGCAGCTTGGGACTGTGGGACTGCTGTGCCCCCCTGAACTCTCTCCAGCCTGGGCTGTCTCTCACAATGCCTTGCTAGTGACCAGCAGCAAACCCCTCCAGGCGCTGTGATCACTCAGCATAACCACATGTGGAGCCCCCACACCCAGCTAGATGGCATGAATGCTCCCAGAGCCACTCATGAATCACCCAGAGAAAGGCACCAACATAAGAACACCAGCCAGATCCCCCCAGCTCCTAGCACTGTACCCCAGAAATATAATGTCTTGCACTGCTCAAGATGAGCAATGCAGATTTATTAATTGGTTCACCACTTCATCAATGGAAAGTGGACATACACCAGCCTTTGCAGAGCCTGAGCAGATTTACCAAACACTTCATACAAACTCACTGGTAAAGATAAACAGTAAAACAAATTTATTGACTACAACATATAGATTTTAAGTGACTATAAGTGATAGGCAAAAAGTCAGTGTTAGTTTCCAACAGAAAATAAAATATAAGCACGCAGTCTAAAGTCTCTACCCTATTAGACTGGGCAACATCTAGATTAAGCAGTTTTTCTCACCCCACTGGATACTGCAGTTCATAGTACACAGATTTCACCCTTGAAATGTACGCCAGTCTCCTCTGTTGGAGTCTTAAGTCTTCTCAGTGTCGTTCCTTGCAGCATCAGTGAGGGCAGGAGAAAGATGAAGAGTGGGCCTGCTGTGTTCTGTTTTATACCCTCAGTCACATGTGCTTGGGGAGCACAAGTCCAGGCCTGTCTGGGTGCATTGCTGAGTCTCCAGGCAAGGATGAGCAATTCCCTTGGTGTGGCCTCATGCAGGTGAGTCACTGAATTGTAGCTCCCTTGCTGGACAATGGCGGTTGATGGGTTGTTTGATACCCCGCCTGGGCATTTAATACTTTCCTTGCTGTTGCCTCTGGGGAGCTAGTATCTGGCAGATTCCCCGATTTACAGCATGTTTTAGTGACAACCATACTACACAATTCTCATAACTTCCTGTGCATTAATGATATACATATATGGATAGAGAAATGACTTTCAGCAGATCATAACTTTCTCCTGATACCTCACACAGTCTGCTTTATATGCAAGATCACAATTATATACAGATGAGGAATATGGGGGTTACAAGATGCTCCCCCCAAGGTATAGTATGTCACAATGAGGTGACGTGTTTGGGTGTCCAAATTGAAATATGTGAATGGGGCCCAAGGTTTTTTAAGTGCTGAGCAACCTCCCTCTGAAAATCAGGACTCTTTCAGACGGCTCACATTGGGCACTTGGAAATCAGGGCACCCAAAATCCCCCATTATTGATGAAAATTGAGGCCACAGATTTATTATTAGTTTTAGCTACAGTGGTTTATTTTGGGGGCTTGGTATTTTGCAGTCACTCTGCACCCCTAGCATGCAACACAGGATTTGCATAAACCTGGCTCCTCCCCCTCCCCCAGCCCTAGCCTTCCCCCGTCATCGCCTTCCACCCTTGCCTGTGTGGGTATGGTGCAGAGATCCTGAGTGAAACTATACAGGGCTTGCACTTGTGCTGTACAGGGGTGGGGGGTAATTGTTGCTTTTATTTTAAATCTAGGAAATTAAATACCAAAAATGGCATTAAAAATGTGAAGGATGCAATGTGAAACACTTGAAGATCAGGAAACGACCAAGTTGCAGTTGTGTGAAATGGAGGTTTAACTCCAAGGAAAAATTTACATTTAAAGGACTGGACATTGGATTTAACACTCGCTATTAACATAAAAGGAAAAGACATTCACACACACAGATCTCACTGATGATGAAGTAGCTAGGAGCACACACCAATATGTATTTAGCCAGGATTTAAAGGCTGAGAGTATGTCATGTAAGGTCCTGCACTATGTTTCCAGGAAGAGTGGGATCCTTCGGGAGGTCGGCCCTGTCTGATCACCCCGAGATTCCTGTTGGGGGTGGCTCAGACCGGAGATGAAAACGGGAGCTCAACTGGCAGAGACGATTTTACTTGAACAGTTCTCCCAGATATTCCCCCCTGGGGAAAAGGACGAGTCCTATGGCATCGACCTGAGACAACCTGGCAGCTAAGACCCCTGTGATGATGACGCCTTGCAAGGGGCCTGTTAGGGCTAGCACAGGCCAATGAGAAAACTGGCCACACCACAACAAGGGCACAGATAAGGTTGTTTGGTCTGAAAAATGACCATGCGCCATCCTTACACCTGCTGGCTGGTGGTTGGTTTCACCAGCTCTTCCGCCAGGGATGGAGGCAGCTTCTCTCTCATGTTTTGTATTGAATTAAAACCAAGGCCTTGCTCTTGCAGCAGTGGGATCCACACAGGCACAAGGACCCATCTAAATGCACCAGCTGCAGGATGCGTTATCGCTGTGGGTGGCCAAAACTCTGGGATACCTCTCAGGTTTTCCCCACCAAGCTTCAGAGAACATTATTCCAGGGCTCCCCCGACAGGCATGGTCTGTTCTCCCCTCTCCCGCCATATGCCACCCCTTTTCTCCTTCCCCTGCATGTTCTTCTTTTCTCACCTTCTCCATCTCCCCCCAACCCTGTGTGGGCTCAAGGGTTTCCAAAGTCTGGATCCCCCTCCCTGTTCTTCAAAGTTCACCCCCTCCTTTCTCCCCTGTCCTGCAGTTCTTCAGCCCTCCCATCTAACCCCCCAGCCCATTGCCAACCCTGCTCCTCACTTCCCCTGGAAGAAGCCCAGACCTCAGAGCTGTCTCCAGCTCAGGAGATCTGCTCAGCCTAGCTAGGGGTTTAGGTGTGTTATTGTTACAATGTCAGAACAGACAAGCTAGTTACACCGTAGGGGGAATAATCATCATTTATTAGGTGCCAGGACACAGAAGACGCGGTCCCTGCCCCCGAAGAACTTACAGTCTAATCAGCCAACACAAACACATCTAGCCATATCCACAGCTTACACTGGTCATGGGGGAGGAGGGTAAAGGTGGAGTAAGTGTGGGGAGTAGCAGATCAGCAGTGGGGGAAGGGTACGGGGTGGAGGCTCTCAAGGAAACCAGGGGGTCAGAGTGGAGAAAACTGCAGAAAGGTAAAAGAGACAGACTAGCACCCGACAGGACCCGGTCCCAGAGGGAACCTACCCCGTCACAGCTGGTTCATAGCTTCCCTCCATCTCCTGGCATGCTTTGGAGAGCCTGGTTGGTGGGGTCACTTCAAAGCTGTCTTCACTTTAGTTTCGGGCAGATGCTAACCAGCAGCACACCAATGGGCTGCCCCCAGCACAGAAATCCTTCAGTGACCAACCAGCCCTTGGTGTCCGTCCGTGGAGACTGCGAGCCGGACTACTGCAGCAGGCTGGGGGCAAGTCACACTGGATTCAGTCATGAGGCGGATTTTTACCATCCTGTGTGGCCAAAAACAAATCGAGCCCAAACCAGACTCTTGCTGCTACCAACCTGCCCCCCTCCTCCAAATGGCAATGAGAGGCAGGATGGCCCAGTTGCTAGGGCACCAGTCTTGGACTTCAGTGACCTCAGTTCAGTTCCCTGCTATGCCACTGACTTCCTGAGTGACCCTGGGTGAATCACTTAGCCCGGCCCTCAGTTTCCTCAGCTGTAGAGTGGGGGTAATAGCCCTGCCCTACCTCCAAGGCTGTTGTGAGAACCTCATCCCATGGACCTTTCAACCCACCAAGTTCCTCCCTCCTGGGTTTCTGCCCTCGTTTCCCCTCCTCTCTCTGATTCATCCCACCCACCTTGGTCCTTCTCAGGTCAGTCCCGCAGGGGCGCTCTGCTCTCGTGTGCTTCAGGCAGCGTGGGAGCCATGCCCTGCTCAGTGACGCTGAAGCACATGGGGTGGGATCAGTGCCCCTGTGCTGCAACAGGCGAAGCGATCTGCCCCATCTCACTGAAATGGCCTTAGAGAGCGGGTGGGGGAAGGTTACAATGTATATGGGCTTGTGACCCGCAGACTCCTTGGTGCCACCTGGCAGAGGGCACAGGGTTTTTCAGGGATCCCCTAAGTCGGATGTATGCATCAGAGTTCATCGAAGGTCTCTACGCAGAGCCAGTAGCCTACCAGTCATCAGAATCATTGCATGACGTATGTATGGAGAATGGTTAAAGAGAGCTGGCTCTGGACTGAAAATGACCTTCTTAGGGTTTTGGAGGGAACAAGGCAGGTCCCCAGGAGGCGACACACCTTGGAAATGCTCATTTCAGGCAGGAGGTAGCAGACCCCGCTCTCCCCCCAGCCATGTGTGACTGGGCAGCTCACACCACGGGCCGGCTGCACACCGAGCCACAGGCAAAAGGGGAGATTGTGAACATCCTCTCTCGCAGATTGCACACGCTGACACAAACAGCAGTTGACGTCCTGTTATGAATAAAGACAAAGGATGGGACTGGTAGAGGTTGGGGGGCAAGGAAACACCCGGAATCCCTCACCTCGGAGGCAAGCACCTAGTGAGGCTGTAAAATGCTGCCAGGATTGGGGTGCGAGCAATATTCTCGCAGCCGTGGGGGCTCTCGGCAATGAAAAGGCAAGGTCCTACAACACTGGTTATGATTTTACTTTGGCTGGAACCATCTGCTATCACTTGATGCTCTGGGCTTCATTAAATAACCTTATCCTCGATTTCATGATGTACCAATCTAAGTGCTGGGTGGGAAGCGGAGCGGCAAACTGAGGGGCAGCGGGGTGTGGGCTGTTTCTTGGGAAGCAGCAAATCTGTGAATCCTGCAAGTGAGCGGCAGTCCAGGGGCTGGACGCGCCAGGGAGATGCTGCAGGCTCGAGGGGGCCTATCGGTAACCAGCAGAGAGGAAGGGGCCCTGCGAGGCCTAGCTGGAAGGGCTTGTGTTGCCCGCTGGAGTTGGGAAGCTGACCCCTGGCAGGCACAGATCAAGCTTCCCTACGCTAAGGGCAGGGGGTAACAAGGTACCCCAGGGAAGCACCATAGGGCGCTCCAGCCAAACAGCAGGCAGGTGGGAAAATTAACTGCAAGAAGGATCACCACAGGAACGAACTGGAGGAGCCCAGGGAAGGAAGGAATCCCGAGCAAGATTCCCAGAGGATCATGGCTGGGTCGTCCACGGCCCCTGCTATGAGAATACACGGATCCCGCACAGATTCCCAAGCTCCAATGGGGCAGCAAAGTGTGGGAGCGGAATATCTGAACATTCATGAGCCAGGGGATCCCCAGGCAACACCCACTGAAACTGAGCTGGGTGCAGCCCTGCCTGGTGTGGCGTTCCCTAACCCAGGCCATAGGCCATGGTCCCACATGGTGGGTCAGAACCATTACTGCCAGCTCTTCTCCCTGGGCTGCAGGAGGCCCAGGGCCTGCGGCGGGGACGCCCCTTTCCCTGCTGCCGGGGCCCTTTACCACTCAGTCACAGCAGGACACAGAGGCTGGGACACTGCAGAGAAATCAGTGCCCAGCCCCACATGAACAACTCGGTGGAGGTGGGGCTAGGAAGGCCCCATGTCCCCTTCAAGCCACCCCCCATCGCCTCACCCTTCCCTCCCAGCTGGCCCTGAGACCAGAACAGGGACCCTCCGCTCCTCCAGGCTGACACTCCTACTTCTCTTAACAAAAGGCTGCGTTCAAAATATAGCTTAGTTCCCGTAACAATCGAGTCGCTGCGGTGCCTTAGCTGGAGCTCCCGGGCGTTGCTCTCGGAGGGGGGCAGCCCCCTGTAAGCCCCACGGAGCGTGGATTCTGGCCCTGCTGTTGGTTTACCCCACGTGGCCCGGCCCGGGGTCCAGCACGCCCTGCAGGGGGAAGCCCTTCCCGGTGTGGATGTTCTGGTGGTAATAGAGCGATCGCTTGTAGCGGAAGCTCTTGCCGCACTCAGGGCAGCGATAGGGGCGCTCGCCTGCATGCATGCGCCGGTGCTCTACCAGGTACTGGTTGCGCGTGAAGCTTTTCTCGCACTCGGTGCATTTGTAGGGCCGCTCCCCCGTGTGGATGCGCAGGTGCCGCGTCAGGTTGGAGTGGTGGCTGAAGTACCTGCCGCATTGTGTGCAGATGAAGGAGCCTTCGCTCTTCCCCGAGTGGATCCGCTGGTGCAGCACCAGGCTCACCCTCTGCTTGAAGCTCTTCCGGCACTCGGCGCAGGTGTAGGGCCGCTCCCCGGTGTGCGCCAGGTGGTGCTTCCGCAGGCTGGACTTGTGGCAGAAGCTGCGCTCGCACTCGGAGCACTGGTAGGGTTTGCCTCCCGCCTGGGCCCCGGGGTGGGGTCTGGGGCCATGTTTAGGCTGCAGCAGGCAGGCCCCTGCTCCTGCGTGGTCCCTCTGATGCAGGGTGAGATGCTGCCGGCTGCGGAAGCTCTTCCCGCACTCGGCGCATACGAACAGCCTCGCTGCTGCAGGGCTCTGCAGGTGACCAAGCAACGGCTCGAGCTCCTGGGGGTCTGTCCCGCACAGAGACGGCTCCTCCAGGCCGTTTCCGGGCAGGTCCGCTGGCTCCCTCTCGGGGCTGCACAGACTCTCCTCATGGGTTGTTCCCTGCTCCGGACACTGGAAAACCTCCGTTTCCGGCAAAGTCCTTTGTAGCTGCAAGTTCTCCGGCTCCTCCTCAGGGTTCTCCTCCTCCACTTTGACCACCACCTCATTACCTGCTGCAATACAAAGAGAAGCCAGGCTGTATTCACTGCATAGGCGGAGGATGGAGGCAACCTCCTGAAACTATGGTGTCCTGGATTCCCAATGCAAGCCCATGGCCGGGCTGGGACTGACCACGGCCAGGGAGCTGAAACCCCTGGTAAAGCGGGGGCAGTTATAAGTGTTCTGCTGATCTAAGGCCTTGTCTGCACAGAGCTCCAGGCAAGTCTCCCACTGCCCCGGTTCAGCGCCATGGGTGCCATCCGCCTTTCGGCACCAGCAGCATCTCAGCCACCCTGTCACTCTTCCAGCGGTGAGTGGGCAGTTTGTACCAGCGCCCCTTGGGAGGGGAGATCTCCCTCCATTGTCAGCGTGCGCACGGCGGGGGTGGGGGGCACAGGTGCAGGGAAATTGCTGACTGCATAACCCAGGGTAGGGGTCCACCATCAGCTGCGCTCTGCAGAACGTCAGCTTTGCTGGGAACAAGCAGCTTTCTCCCCCTGCCGTTAGGATGCAGCCAGCACGCAGAAGGCTGGAGAGCCCCGCCTTGCAGACCACACGGCCTCAGCAAAGGGCCATACGCTGTTACTCGTACCACTGTAGGTCACTGACAGCTGGGAAACGAAGCCAGGCCCCTTTCATAGATCCCAAGACCAGAAGGGACCATTGGAATCACCCAGTTGGACCTTGTGTATCACACAGGCCAGAGAACAGCCCCAGAATAATTCCTACAGCCGATCTTTTAGAAAATCACCCAACCTTGGTTTAAAAATGGTCAGTGGGTGGAGACCCCACCCTGACTGCTGGTAACGCCTTCCAGTGGATCATTACTGTCACCAGCAAAAATGGACACCTTGTTTCCAGTCTGAACTTTTGTAGCTTCAACTTCCAGCCATTGGATCCAGCCCGCTTCTTAACTCCCCTCCAGTGGCCTCTCCACTGGATCCCAGGGTGTGAACTGCCCTCCCTCCCAACCGGAGGTCAACATCAGGGATTGAAGGAAGCCATTAACACCCTCCTGTGTGGGCCAGGGGCTTGAAATATTGCCTGTCTGCCCCACTGTGATGGGCTCTTTACCCACATGCTAACTCTGCTCCGCTTTCAATCTCCTCCTTCAGCTCTGCACAGTGGCTCCCTTGCCGGTCTGCCTGGCTCTCACTCCCGAGGCCTGCGAGAGTGTGTTCCCTGTTAGTCCCTCTTAGGGTGACCTGACAGCAAGTGTGAAAAATCGGGACGGGGTGGGGGGTAATAGGCTTCTATATAAGAAAAAGCCTCAAATACAGGGACTGTCCCTATAAAATCGGGACATCTGGTCACCCTAGTCCCTCTACGCCCCCCTCTCCTGTCCCTCTCTCCTCCCGCCTCCCTCCAGTCTCCCCTCTCTGCCACTGGTTGTCAAGAACGTTCACTCATGGATTTCCCAGCCCATCTGCTCTGCACACAGTTTCCCCTCCCCACCCCCAGCTCAGTTCAGCACCTTCTCTCTCTCCTACCTCTGGCCAGAAAGCATTTTGTGAGGCTGTCTATAACTCACCCGAGCAGGGCTCCAGAGGGATCTCTCTCCTCTCGGAGTCCTCCCGATCCCTGACACACGGCTCCTCCCCCCGGTCTATCTGGGACAGGATGTCGGGTTTGGAGATGGCGTAGTCTGTTCGTGGAAAGAGATATCGACACTCACCGGCTACCCGGTACACGGAGCGGGAACGGATTTCAAACCAGCTCCCTCTGGTCGCTGATGGCAATGGGATGGGGAAGAGGAATGGAGGCAAACGCGACACCAGCAAAGCTGCTCTCCCCACCCCGATGGGTCCGTGAGGAACCGCAGGGAGTGGAGCCCTGCTTGGTCCATCTGGGCTCAGATCACATGACTGCTCCCCAGCTGGGCTAAAAGCAGAAAGGGCTAGCTGATGGGACAGCTGCCAGGACTCACCTCCACGCAGGGAGGGAATGGCACACGGATCCCCTAGCCCCACTGCAGGGAAGGAACAGACAGAGGAGAGCACCATGTGTATGCTCAGGACCCTCCGGATCAGCAGCTGGGCCAGGCCCATGCCCCACATGTGTGTAATGTGCTCTGGCTGGGGCCCGTTCTCCCCAAGCACCTCTGATGAAGTGGCCAAGCAACGTGTCAGTTGTGAAGGCTGCGGCTTGAGATGCGGGAACCCTCCTGGACTGACACCAGCATTTAATTCAATCGACCCTCCAGCCCTGTAGCACGTCAAACCTGCCGGTGAAGGACACCGTGCTGCATAAAGGACGTTAAATTCACTTGACTCTTACAGTCCCTCAACAGCCTCCGGAAGGCAGAGACCTGAAAATATCCCTCCCCCAGAGCAAAGGTCACAGGTTTTATGAGAGGATCCTTACCCAGCGAGATCAGGGTCTCGTAATTCCTCTTCATCACGTTCTTGTAAAGCTCCTTCTGCCATTCATCTAAGTTCTCCCACTCCTGCTCGGAGAAATAGACGGAGACGTCATCAAATGTCACTGGGACCTGCAACCACAAGCATTGCACGCTCAGCAGCGGCTGTCAAATCGTAATGGCAGCAGCAGGCGCGGTCACGTGACACTACACACGAGACCAGGGGAGAATATTTAACACACGCGCCACGGAAACGCTTCACAACTTTTCTTCTTCTTCTTCTAAGCACGTTACTGGACAAAGTGCTCAGAACAACTCGCACAGGGAGGAGGAAATAAACATCATCACATTTCATCCCTTTTTGTCACCTAGGGCTCGATTCTGATACCCTTATTCCTGGTGAATAGGGTATGCACTCAGGTGCTACTCAATGTGAGTAAGGGTGTGACAATCCGGGCCTGTTTCCTCTCCGGAATTCCCTGTCCCCTGCCGGATCTGTCAATGCTCGTCCTCCCACTTGGCCCTACATGAAGAGGTGAAATCACCCTAGGAAGCAACCCTGGCAGTAGGATCCTTGTCACATGGTAAGTGACAGCGAAGAACACACAGCGGTACAGCCCTTCCAGAGGCTTTCACACTTTATCCCTCTCCTTTCATTGGCTGGAGGGTAGGAAGGAGCAGAATGGGGTTAATCAGCTCTGACCAGGGCTTTGCAGTGCCCTCATAGACTGGTTTATATCAGATCTATAGATCACCTGGGTATAACTCCCCTTCTATTACTGGAAGCCCCAGCTGCGCTCAGAGTCCCATTGTGCTGAGTGCTGTATACACACTCAGCCTCCTCCCCACAGAGCTCACAAGGCAGTCATAGGGTTGGAGGGGAAAAAGGCTCCAAAGGAAGGGATTTGCTCCAGGTCACAGACCAGGTTGGTGACAGACCTAAGAACAGACCCCAACTCTCTGGATTCCCAGTCCAGTGCATGCTCTGATATGGTTCAGGATCATTCCCTATTTTTAAAGGGGTGCCCTCAACTTAAAAAAAACCCCACACACTTCCTTCTTAATATGCAACTCTTACGGAGCCCAGAACCGAAAGAGAGGAGGTGGGCCTTTTCCTCTCTCTTTTTTGAGCCTGTTTGCTTTGTGCACGACAGCACCTTTGTGTGAGTTGCACTTCTGTCATCTCCCTCGCAAAGCCGGCCAGTTTCCCTGTTGTTTGTGTGGGTCTCCCACACCGCCACGGCTTAAAAGGAAGGAGCGATTTTCAAACCCTCATGAATTGGCCGGGGGATCAAGGGGCGAAGGACAACCTGAAGCCACTTTCAAGTGGTTTCTAGCCATTGATTCTATCCTAGTTATTTGTATCGTGATCGCCCCTAGTGGTCCCAGTCAGGAGCGGAGATTATAGACCTGGCACTACACAAACATCCCACAGAAGTGATTCTCTGCTCCAGAGAGCTCACTGACCCCGTGGGGGGGAGCCGTGACTGGCGTGTGTAGAACCCAGTGGGAGGAGGAGAGGGGGCTGATGGATGGAATCACAAGGAAACAAGAAGCAGATGCTGCTTCTTAGCCAAAAAACAATCGATCAGTGTAACACCTGTACATCCTGCATGGGGCTGAGTGGGGTGTTACATCTGGCCCTTGCATGTGTGGAGGAGAAATTGACTCAATTACCTCATAATTTCCCTCCATCTTTAATCAGTATGATCTAGCCAGCTGGGATAGTTACCTTGGGCACCTCCCCCTTAGCGCCTGGGGGGAGCCTCAGGATCCAGAAGTTCCTGTTCTTCAGCAGGTTCTCCATGTTCTCCAGCCTCCTCTGCAGCAGCCCATACTCCTGGATCAGAGTTCCCAGCACGGCCCACTTACTCTCCAGCTGGTTCCCAAACTCCACCACGGTCTTCTCACAACCTATCAATTTCTTCTCAGCCGTGCCTGTTCGCCCTTCCAGGTTCATCAACCGGACGGCGTGAGCGTCCACTTTTCTCTCCACGGCTTGGATTGCAGCCACTAGAGTCAGGGAGATCTCCGCAGTTTGCAGCGGGGCTTCCCTCACAGAGGTCCGTCTGGGGACAGCGTGGGGCTGCGAAAGAGCTGAGTGCTGGGACTCCACGTCCCATTCAGGAGCCTGTGTGGGGACATGGAAAAAGGAGTTTGTCAACAGCAGCTCCAGAGAGCAACAGCCACTCGCACGCTACAAGCTGCTCGATGCTTTCTCAGACCCCATTTTTATTTTTATTGAATGCACACATAAAACCTCCTAGAGAATTAGCATGATGTTATGCAGAGGTCAGGTGGAGAAACTAAGCACTCAAAAGTACGAGATTCCAGAAGCTAAGGCTGAAAGATCAACTATCAGGCACATTTCTGCTTTGAAACCTGTTGTTGCCACAGGGAAGTTGTGCAAACCAGCGGGTGCTGGGCTGGGCGACAGCCAGTGGGAGGAGGGGGGTGTCCGCAAGATACACACGGTATTAAAGATGTGGGCGACACCATGGAAAAGTTTCAGACCCCCTGTCTAAAGTGCCCCTGCCGCCCACTTGAGAGACCAGCTGAGTATTTGTAAGCACCTGACAGACCCAGCAAAGTAAGAACTGGAACATTTCCACGCTCTGGAGGCCCAGCAGATCCAGCATCCTTCCAGGGCTTTTCTATTCAGAGCTAACCATTGTGGCAGCCCTGGAGGATCTGGGAAGCTTTCAGCCAGCTGTAACCAATCAGAATTCGTCAGCGGGTCAACTACAAATAAATAAGTTGCTCAGAGTAGGGAAGGAGAATCTCTGGTCAGGCTGCCTTTTATAAAAGCATTGGGGGGAAGGGGTAGCAAAGCCCCCCCTGAGCTGCAGCGACACCTCCTTGGGCGGGCGGTATCCAGTCCGATCCCCAAACACGTGTCAGGGCAGAAGGGGAGGTTTGTGTTTTGAAGGGTCTGAAAATCCTCTCTCTGCCCCAGAGCCCAGCCCAGCCCCAAGGGTGCAGGAAGCGCTGCCCTTGTTCCCGTGCCGTTAGAAACCCGCGGTCTGGGCGCCCAGGACCAGAACTATCCCCTTCCCCCGGGGGGGGCTCCAGGAAAACCGCCCCGCAGGCTCCCAGCAGGGACAAAGCGCAAAGCCCCCGGGCGGGCGGGCAGGCGGAGCAGATGCCCCAGGTTAACCTGCCACCGGGCCCGGTCTCGGTGTCACGGGCCGCCCGCCTGCCCGCTGCTCCCCGCCCCGACGTGCGCCCGAGCCCGGCAGACACCACCCGGCCCCGGGGCCCTCCCCAGAGCGTGCGGCCCCGGGCGGAGCCGAGCCCCGGCGGCAGGAACCGGGTGCGGGGCCCTGCCCCCATCGCTCAGCCGAGACCGACACCGCGGCTGCCGGGCAGCAAAGCCCCGGTCCCGGCTCCCCGCGGGCCCGGGAGAAGCTCCCGGGGGTCCCCCGCGACAGGCGGTTTCCTGCCTCCTCCCCCCCCCGGGCCCTTACCTGGGCAGCGGCCCGCTCGGCCATGGCCCTTTGTCCCGGCCCGGGAGCGCCCCTCACCGCGGCCCGGGGGCGGCCCTAGGAGCTCCCGCTGGCCGGGCTGGGGGCACCGGGCGAGGCTGCTCCGCAGGGAACGAGCCGGGCGGCTGGATCCGGATCCGAGCCCGAGCCCCGCTCCCGCTGCGGGCTGGGCAGAGTCCCGGCGCCGCCTCGCCACGGGCCGGCCCCGCTGCCGGGCGGAGCAGAGCGAGCGCGGCCCGCAGGGAGGGAGGGAGCCGCGGCCTGGCTGCCGGGGCCGGGAGCGGCGGAGCGGGGCGGCAGCGGCCCCTGCCGGCGGGTGGATCGCGGCGCCGGGCGCCCCGGGGCCTTGTCGGACGCTCTGCGGGTTCGGGTCGGTCCTGTCCCCACGGAAACGCGGCGCTCGGGCCGCACCCGGTTCAGCCGCCTGGAGCTCGGGCCGGGGCGGGTCCCTGCAGCGCCCCGGGCCCGCTGCAAGGCCGCTCCCGCCGTCAGCTCCCTACGGTGCAAGGCCGGGCCGCGGGGCGGAGTAGCCCCCACAGGGGGTGGAAAGCCGGGGCGGGGGCCCCAGCCGACGGGCCCCTCGCGGAGTTCGCTCCCCGGGCCGGCAGGTTCGCTTGGATGCCAATCCCCGGCTGCTGCCTGACACCCAGTGCCGCTCAGGCTCCCAGTCAAACGTCTCCCAGCCCTTCAGCGCTACCAGCCTCCCCCCGGGCCAGGAGCAGCTGCCGACCCCTCACCCTGCGGGGAGCACCCCCTACACAGCACTGGCCCGAGCCTCCCCTTAACGCCACACAGATCCAGCTGGGTGCAGTGCTGCATGCAGGGGGGAGATCCCAGAGCCACCCCAGCACCATTGCCATGGGAATCACAGGTGGGTTCCCTTTCTTACTGGCCTGCCACTCTAGATGACATGGGATTGTCTCAGCTTCACCTTCAGGAGACACTGACTAGCAGCAGTGGACGCTTCTTGTGGCCGTCGTCTCACACTCGCTGGTGTTTTCCTTAACACCCACTTTCTGAGGCCTGGGCTGACCTGACAGTCACCACTTTCACTTACTAGTAAAGGAAAGGTTCTAATTGTCAGGAAGAGCTTTGAGAAAACACACACACACATCTCCATCATTTATTACTTTGAACACCTGGTGAGGCTGAAACCAACCTCATGATGGGGGGGAGGGGGGCATGACATGATTTTTCAATGCTTGGCCATTGACAATATTGTTTTCATTGACTACAAGGGGGAGCTAGTTCAGACCATGCAATTGACAAACTAATTAGGTTGCTCGGAAAGTGCTAGGAAAACTTGCAACTCTTAACAGGTACAGCCAAGCATGCTTCAGCCAGGGGAGCGGGGGAAAAGGGAGAACAAACTATACAGCAGGGAGAGGATGAGACTGGCGGGGAGGTAGGACAGAGCTCCAGCCACTGATTCGCGGGACAAGGGCTTCAGAATGGAAACACTGTATTGACAGATTTTGCAAACAAGGTATTACAAAAACACAACCAAGACCAGCAGCTGACATTCCACAGAGAAAGAGACATCTAGTTACAGTCACTCCTTAACACCACTTATTTCTTATGTAATTCAACCAATATTTACAAAAGTCTGAAAATCTTGGGTCAGTTATTTCATACATTTAAATAGCTTAGATCGACTGTGAAATATAGTGCCACACGTTTTATTGTATCTTAGAATAATATCCTAGTTCTGATATAGCATTAACTAAAACCCCCCCTCCCAGGATTTAGCATAAGTTGCTCTCACCTGTGTCACTTACCCTTGTGACCAGTAAAATCACCTTCAGTGGCAGTTCACATGAATGAATCATAGGCACCTTTCCATTGGGCCAAGTCCAAAACAGAGTCTAGAGCCCGCTTGGTGCATAATTTCACCCTCTCAGGGGTGGAATGAGAAGAGTATCTCCACAGTCACATCCTCCCCAGAGTTACTCTCCCACCCAACAGCCTTCATCCATGTCCATCTGCCTCCCTCCCGGTCCCCTCTGCTCCAATCCCCTCTATCTTCCCATTCCAGGACTGGTTCTGCGTCCACTTCTTCCAGCTTGGGGTTTTTCTGTCCCTTTCCCCACCCCTGCATCACCTCCCCAGCCAAGTTCTTCTCTTCCACTAGATTGACTGGCCTGCTGGCTGGGAATGGTGCCCCCTCCATGCTTCCAGCATTGCAATGAAAGCCTGTGGAAAACAATGACCATGAAAATTGGTATCACTCCTATAAATATGCACCAGAAGCAGGGTAGGTGGGGAAACACCTACGAAATGCTGTCTCCTGCTGGCAACCCGGGGAATAGCTCATTTATTCTCCAGGGGTAAAGTCCACAAGGCCTATTAAGTCCCATGCAACCCACACAGGGTTTAAGTGGTGCACAGGCCTCATGCTGGCCCCCTGCATGGGGTGGATTTCACCCCAGTAGTTAGGAAGAGGAACTCCATTTAAACGTCAGTGAAGCAAAGCTTTGTAGCATGGCCACAAGGACGGGCCGTGGCTTCCGTTCATTCGCCGTTGTGATGCACCTCCCATGCTTTCTTTCATTTTAAATGCAACAGCCCCTCAGTCCCCACCCAGGGTGGAGCTACTGTTTATTTTCTTTTTTCACACCGAGGAGGGTGGTCTGGGTTCCCGTCTCCAGCTGCTGTGAGCCCTCCAGGGGCTGGGGGTTCCGTGTGTGAATTTTCTGGTGGCAGTTCAGCGACTCCTTGTAGCGGAAGTTCTTCCCACAGACGGGGCACTGGTACGGCGTCTCCCCCGTGTGGACCCGCCAGTGCTTCAGGAGATGATCCCTGCGGATGAAGCTTTTCCCACACTCCGTGCACTGATATGGTCGCTCTCCCGTGTGGATCCGCTGATGTCGGATCGCTTTGGAGAGGTCCCGGAAGTCCTTGCCGCAATATGTACACGTCAGGGGCCCATCGCCCTTCCCCGTGTGAAGCTTCTGGTGTAAGATAAGACTCACCTCCAGACTAAAGCTCTCCCTGCACTGAGTGCACGTATAGGGCCTCTCCACCATGTGGTTTGCCTGGTGTTTTACAAAGCCGTATTTGAGATTGGAGCTTTTCTCTGGCTCAGGGCGCTTAGGGGGTTTTGAACGGACGGGTGCCTGGGTTTTTGGAGGAGTTGTGATTTTGGGTTTCTGTCTAATGTTTTCTCCATGCTCCAGAGAAGTGCAGGCTCCCCCTGATGCATGGATTCTCTGATGTGTGGCAAAAAGCTGTTTGTCTAGGAAGCTTTCCCCACACTCGCAGCATATGTACGGCCCCTCTGCTGCGTGTGCTTCCTCAGAGACATTTTTCATTAAATCTCTTCCACGGCGAGCAGATCGCCTCAGCCCAGTCCCAGGAGGGCTCCTCTGCAGCATCGCTGAGCTGGACTGGCTCTCCTTCGTCAGTTCCTCCTCAGGACTGCAGAAAAGCTCTTCCCAGTCTCCTGGTAACAGGCTAGGAAGATCTAGGTTTGCAGGACCTTCCTCACCACACTGCTGCTCGTCTGCCAGAACAGAGAGAACAGAGACATTCACTTCATCCAGTGGCCTAACAAAAGCCTCATTATGTGCACTGTAAACTCGCTGGGGCACAGACTGTCCTGTTAGGTGTGTGCACGTGCCTAGCACAATGGGGCCATGACCCCCAGCTGGGGCCTACAGACCTTACTGGCATGCAAATAGACCAAAACATTTCTGATTCACAACTGAAGCCTGAATCTATGGCGACGAGGCCCAGCTAGATGGAGATGGCGGGTTTCTCAGGAGATGAAGCACAATAAATCTTGGAGAATAAGGCATTTACACTGGAAAAGATACAAAATATTCTTGGGGCAGGGCCCCATCTTTGTTCTATGTTAGAACAGCACCTAGCACAATGGGGTCCTGCTCCGCTTCAATGTTTGGCAGTTATCAAAGACACTGGAAAGAAACACAGAGACAGGACTATTGCAGACTCAGCCATTTTAGGTGAGAGCTGAACACATCCCTGATTTCTGCAGAATTTAAGCTTTGATTTTAAAAGTAGCCACAGGTGGGGCTGGGCTGCCAGCATCACCTATTATTAAAGTTGCCCAACCCTTTCCAGTAGAACACCCTCTTTTCAGTTGTTTAGAACTTTGCCAAATCTTAATGGTTCTAGCTGAAATGTTCCATGCTGTGTATCTGCCTCAGGCTGAATTTTGTGTGTGGGTAAATTTTCAGTCAAAACAGTGCAGCCATTTATGAGAACAAGGCTGGGGAAAATATTTTGGTTTTCAGTGTTAAAATCCTAGCAACCTCTCTTTTTGAGAAGCTCTGGCACTCCTGTGCTTTGGGGCACGGACTGGAAATTTGGCAGCAAGAGGTGGGTCCTTTGAGCCAAGGAAGTGCTTTTTGATGTTCCTGTGAAAATCACCCAAATCTGGCCAAGTTAGAACCCTCTGAAAATTCTACATTTGCACACGCTCACTAGATTTCTCACAGCTTCACTGGTCAGTTAGTCAAGGAATCTGTCCGTGCTACGCATGCTCCAGACCCTCCTAGCTTGTGTGTGCTGGACTGTGCAAGCAACCATCCCCATAGCGCGACTGAGCAGTGCACAAGCAACCATAACCCTAGCGCTTCCTAACCCATGAGTGCTTCACTTGCAACCTTAATGTACTTCTAACATGGTTTGTGTGCGTCCCATTACAGGTCCAACGTCCCTTTAAACAGGCTTTGCAGGAAACCCCCGCAAAAGTATGAATTCCACCCTCCTTCACTTCCCTGGGATCCCATCAGCAGAACCCAAGTATGACACAAGGTAGTGCTCAGCTGGACTCTAGATACTTTTAAATACTATTTTATGTGTCCTTGTCTCTCTAGGCTGGATTCTCCACCCTCACACATCAGAGAAGACATACACTGTTCCTGCTTGTAGTCCTGGCTACACCCACTACACACTACCACAGGCTGAAGTCCCCTCCCCCCAGTTCCATTACGGCTCTCCACAGCTTTCCTCTCAAGGCTAGGAGCCTCACTGCTTATCTTCTACCCTGCAGTGCTATTCTACTCTTCTAAATCTCTACTCCCCAAACTTCAGGGATCAGGCAGCCTTGAAACCAAGCAACTCTTGCAGTTCTAGTATCACCCCGCCCCCTCATTCGCTGGTTTCCTACATTTCCTCGGATCCCTCAGCAGACTCTTTCTTCCCTAACACTCTGACCTTGTGTCTGCCTATCACTCCGCGTACCAACTCCATCCACGTGAAACTCCTCCCCTTTCCCTCTCTCTTGCCCATCTCTTTTCCACGGAGGCTATGATCCGTCCAAAGCTCAGAGCCCATGGCCTCTCTGTTATTGCCCCCTCCCTAACTGCAATCAACCACTCTCAGCTTCCCCACTTTCCTTCTTTGTCCGGGTGCAGACTCAGAGCCTAGATCTACAGAGCGCCATCTCTGTTCCACCTCTGACTACGTAGAGCTCTGTGATGCTCTGTGTCTAAAACTCACATGTGCCAAGGTCCGTAGGGATCCCTCCCTCTTCAGAGACTCCCTGATTCGTGACAGGCGGCTCCTCATATTTAGTCCACAAACTCTCACTGGGAGTAGAAACGGGAGATCCTGTTCACAGGAGAGAGAATTACGTGTTGTTTTACTAACATTCATTAGATGCTATAGAGATGATTTCAGGAGAGAGGTCAACATCAGATTAGAACCAGAGGTAGCTAGAAAAGGCTTGACAGGGGGGAGGGATAGCTCAGTGGTTTGAGTATTGGCCTGCTAAACCCAGGGTTGTGAGTTCAATCCTTGAGGGGGCCATTTAGGGATGAGATGGGATAGGGGAAATTGGATAATTTAGTTGGGGATTGGTCCCCCTTTGAGCAGGGGGTTGGATGAGATGACCTCCTGAGGTCCCTTCCAACCCTGATATTCTATGATAAGAAAAACATTGACAAAACTCATCAGCAGAGATATGCATGAAAGACTCAGGCAGACTGCCCCAGGTTTCAGCATCTCTCTCATATGGTTTATGAGGAGCTTTAATCTATTACTCACCCAGGCCGGGATCTGCAGGGATTTGTCTTTCCTCAGAGTCACTCTGATCTCCCACACTGGGTTCCTCCCCTCGTTCAATCCGGGACAGAAGATCGGGTTTGGAAATGGCAGCATCTGCATGTGGAAATGGATATTGGGGGCAGAAACTTTTATTCATACTCACGCAGTGCAGGTCAGAATACACACAGACCCTTAAAATCACTGCCGGCTACCCCTATTTCACTGCTAAGGGTGACGGGAACAGAGGCTAAAGAAGATGCTCTCATACCCACAGTCTGAGCAATCACACTCAACTGCACACGGCTCGCTCTGCCTGGCTCAGGCACCAGGAGCGTTCCCAGGAGTGCTCCCAAGGAACACGCCCTGCAGCATGGGGAGGAGAGTAGGAAGATTTTATCTGTGCTTATCTGAACATTTCCTTTCTTGGAGTAACAAGGTTACCAGATTAATTACAACAAGTACTAGAGCCTGCTTGCAGCTTGGGGGCAGAACCAGCCTGGTCAGACACTGACGGCAGGGGAACGCCCTGCACCATGAAATTCCCTCCAATTGAGGTAACTTCCACAGCCAGGATAATTTCATTCTATTTTTCTAAATTACAGACTGTGTTAATTATACTTTGGGGAAAAGGCACAATGATTTCTCCTACTGCAGAACATGGTAAATTCCACCTAACAACAAACCTGAATCCCTGGAGGTCAATTTCCAGCTCTATTCTGGAGGATGCATTTGTCTCCAGGGGGTGGGGGAGGATCTGTGGACCTCATTACTCAAAGAATCGCTCAATCTATGAGTTTCCTTTCGAGGCCAGAAAGGACCACATTGATCATCCAGTTTGAACCCCCTGGATAACACAGGCCAGCGAGCTTCCCCTAAATAATCCCGAGAGCAGAGCTTTTAGAAAATATCCAAACCCAACTTAAAAATTGCCAGTGATGGAGAATCCACCATGACCCTTGGTAAATTGTTCCAGTGGTTAATTAAGAACAATATTTAATAATTTGTCCATTATTAAATATTGTCCCCCATGTAGATACTTAGACTGTAACCAAGTCACCCCTTATCCTTTTCTTTCTTAAGCTAAATAGATAGGAGTTCCTTGAGTCTACCACTCTCAGGCAGGTTTTCTAATCCTTTAATTGTTCTCGTGGCTCTTCTCTGACCCCTCTCTAATTTATCAACATCCCTCTTGAACAGCGGGCACCAGAACTGGCCCCCAGGATTCCAGCAGCATTGCACCAGTGCCAAACCAAGAAGGAAATAACTCAAGATTCCCCAGCTTATGCATCCCAGGAAACCTACGTGAAAGATGTGACTGTCACTATTCCCCACCCAGGGGGGAGTCCTTAGGCCATGCAATGTGTAGACTGAAAAGGACCATACTTGCACTACTGTTCACCCATGTCAGCACTGCTTGTGAAAGCGTGGGGGACAGTTTATATTTGTTTATTTTGGTTGGATGATGTCACCTGAGAGCTTTCATGCCCAAGCAGGGGCTGAAATGACCCCTGCCTGGTCTTGGCTGCCTGGGAAGGGCCTGGAGAGTGAGAAGTCCATTCTTCCAGGTAAAAATCTCCCCCGGTGAGAAACACTGCATCGCCTACCACCAGGGGAAATGACCACACTTGTCCTCATAGCGATACCAGGGGAAATTGACTTGTGCACAATAAGGAAACTTATGGCCTTAGAAAATGGAGGCTGAGGGCAGGTAGAAACCAAGAAATGATGGGCCAAGAGGCACGTTCCTGCCTCCTGATTCTTCCACAGCCGGGCTGCTGTCCCTCTCCTCACTCCACAACCATCTTCTGGGGAGCAGCGGGGAGGTGGTGAAGCATGGGACCAGCAACACAAGCTGGGAACAATACCCAAGACGTCAGCAGCAGTTGGGGACGACAGCCCAATGCTTTCTCAGTCTTTCAGGAAAGGCAAGAAATCCCTGTCCTCCATTACACCTTCCCAAGGTGCATGAGGCTATATACAGCTATAGTTTGTCTGGGGAAGCTGCAGACCCAGCCTGCAAAACTCCACAATACTCCATTCACTCTGGCCAGGAAGAGTCTATCCTGTTTTGCTTCTTACTATTTGATTATTTCCTCTGCTTTAGGCTGCTGGCCTTCCTCTCCTAAGCAGGGAGAATTCCCTTTGTAGAGGAGCACGTGTGCACATGCACCTAGAGGAATCAGTATATTTCCACAGCCTGGTGGTTTCTGCATCGCTGTGCCCTGCTGCATGCTGGGAAGGTGAGTGTGGAAAACAGCGCTCATTTTATTTATTCATTTTCCCCTTCAGAAATAGTTCCCCATAGGGCTGCTTCAGAGGGAGGCATACAACTGGGCTCAGATTGCTCTGAAAATATTGCCAGTGACCGGTGATCTCCCCGTCCGCAGAGGCTAGGCTTCCTTATCTCCCCTTCCCCACATGTCTCTTGAGTCTCTCAAGGAAGGTACTGGCCTGGGGCTCAAGGATGGGCTCCCCAGAAGTTCTACTGCTCTCTGTGGCATGGAATCCACAAGGGCAAGTTAGGTCTCGGTTTACTTTGGAAATGTCAGTCTGGGATATAAGTGAGGCTCCAGGCAGGGGCGGCGGAGGGGCTTTATAGATATGACAAAAGGGGGAAAGCTGGGCCGGGAGCCCCTTTCCTGCACTCTCTGGTGTTGGCAGCATCTGTTGCTGTGTCAGTTCCCTCCATGCACAACCCGTGAGGAAGTGGAGCGGGAGGTGGCGCAATCAGAGGCATGGCTGCTGGTGCAGGCTGTGGGGATGATGGCGGCATGATCTCCATGCTGGTTCACTGCCCTTCTAGCTCCATCCTCTTCACATAAATGGGGCACCTGCTTGCCATTGCCTTGTCAGCTCTTTCCAATCCTACCTGCCACCTCTCCTGTCTGCGGAAGCTGGGCCCAAGGTGACCCCACCCAGACTGGCTGTGAGCAAACTGCACTCCGCACACAGCACCAGCTCAGCACCCAGCAAGATGCTCAGTAATGAAGTGAAGCAGGAGACAGACCTTTCCTTTTGCCTCTGGCTGTTCTCAGCCTAGCTCCGTCCCTGAAGCCTGGAAGGACAGCAGCCACTGCAAATGCCTCCAAATGGGAAGCAGAGCTGAGGGAACCAACTCCTTCAAAATCCAATGCTGCCCTGGGAAGCAGACAAAATACGGAGCCCAGCTGTGAGGCTGAACATTTGAAATGAAGCCTGGAGTTCTCTCAGCAATGCTGTCCAGCAGGGACGGCTGGGGGATGCCAGGCTGCTGGGGAGGCAGAAAACTGGAGGGACCTACAAAGGATTATTGCCAGTGACTGACAGACAGTTCTGACTCCAGCAGGCAAGCAGACTGAAGTACCCATTTTAATGGATTTGGACCTTAGCACGAAGATGACAGGTAAATTCCCCTCTCTCCATTCAGAGCACCCCTCTTCTACCTGTGCCCCAGCTCTGTGATAACTGTTGTCCGTCTCCACTCCAGTATCCAGCGTTCACACCAAGTTCTGGACTGCCTGTCAAGCTGAGGCCTGGTCTACACTACAGAGTTAGGTTGATGTAAGCTACCTTACGTCAACCTAACTATGTAAGTGTCTACACTAGAATGGTGCTCCCACCAATGTAAGTCGCCCACGACATCCACCTAAAAACTCCACCTCTGCGAGAGGCGAAGCACTTAGGTCAATGTAGTTCGGGCGACACATTGTCCGTGTTACTTACATCGCCTGTTGGTTGACAGCCCAGAGTCTCCCTGCTACCTCCCGGGGAGGGATTGGGGGGGGCGAGGGGAAGAGCACCTGTACCCAGCTGCCACCCAGGCTCAGACTCTCCCCCCTTCCCCATCCCTGACTGGGAGGTGGCTGGGATTGGGCTCTCCTCGCCCCTAACCCAATCCCTCACTGGGAGGCGGCAGCAGGATTCCTGGCTGTCAGTCCTGGCAACAGGGCTCAAAGTGGGAGCCCCACCCCACCCTGGGGCTAACAGTCTGAGCTGTGAGCCCAGCAGTGGGCTCCATCTCACAGGTGGGAGCCTACCAGCATGAACTTGACATTCTTGTCAGTTTCATAGCTGCTATTATTTCACATTTTGTCTGGGCTCTGGCTGTCAGCCCCAGAGCTGGGGGTCTCTAGCTGTGAGCCCTGCTGTGGGCTGACCGCCTGAGCCAGAGAGGAAATGTGACATAGCAGCAGCTGTGAAACTGACATGACTATCAATTTCACTGCTGGTAGGCTCCCTGCTATGAAACTGAGCCCAGCCTCAGGCCTGGGTGGGGGAGCTCTAGCTATGAGCCCTGCATGGCTGTCAGTGCCCCACAATGCTCTACTTCAGTCAGTGCAACATTCCTGGCGAGGACACACACCACCGGTAGAAGGAGGGCAGTGTGGACAGCAACAGCTGATTTCATTACTGCGGTGGCTGTAAATCGACCTAACTTAAGTGGACCTAATTTTGTAGTGTACACAAGCCCTGAGCAAGGTGCGCTAATTGTGCGGGTTCTTTTGTGATGGACACACCCATCCACTGACTGTCACTAGGTACTCATAGTGCAGCCTAGATAATTAACTGAACACCCCGCTATTGCGTCAAAGTCTCCATATCCCATTATCAGACCCCCTCCAAGACATCCAGACCCCTGATCCACCAGGGTGCAATGGAGCTTGCGTAAGTCAGACTCTGGGGAAATCTGGCACTTCAGAGACCACACAGCTTCGAAGAGAGGAACAAAAGCCCAGCCAGTCTTTACCCAGCGAGATCACAGCCTCGTAGTTGCCCTTCATGATGTGCCTGTAAAGCTCCTTCTGCCATTCGTCCAAGCTCTTCCACTCCTGCTCAGAGAAATTAAACGAGTTGTTGTTGAAAGTCACTGGGACCTGCAATTACAAGGATGATACACTCAGCACCTTCTGCTCCCTGTCTACATACCACCCCTTGTTTCCTCCAACACCCCATTTTGCCCTGTCTTCTCCCTCCCAGTGCTCCCTCTGTCACCGTATTCTCTTCTGGATTTTGTTGTTCCTCCCCATTCCCATCTGCTGCTCCCCAAGATTGGGCTTGGCTCCCATCAGCTGTACACAGCTGAAATCCATTCCCCACTGAAGTCTGTGACAAAACTCCCATTGACTTCACTGGGGCCAGGATTTCACCTCATCTAGTCCTTGCCTCTTCCTACAGCCAAAGCCTTCTGTATGATTTCCATCGCAGACCCTTTGGACAGCCTGCTGCATGCTTCATCCTTTAGTTGTGTCTATTGCAATTGACCCTTGATCCTGTAAAGGGAGGGACATGAGCAGACCCTGGTACTTGTGCAGAGCCCCCCGAACTGCACGAGACTCTGCAGGAGCAAACAGTCAGCCCACACAGATCTGACTGCAGGATCGGTGACTCAGACTGTAAGTCGCTCAGAGCAGCAGCACGTCTTACCTATGCATTATCAAATGCCACGCGTACACCAGACACTATGTAGGCTGAGCTGCCTTGGGCACTTTGACCAATCAGTATCCAAAAAAAGATGCTTTAGTTGCAAAGCCCTGTTCCAATTGGCTGAGTTGGCTTCTCTGGGGATGTCACACCCTGCATTTAAATCTCCCATTAAACACAGCTCTGCCGTTGCCAGCCACACTGTTACATTTACATTAGAATTCTCCAAACAACCAAATATATGAGTGAGATGGGCACGGAAGAAACACTGCTGATTTTATCTCAGTGGTTGGTTAGTTAGCCTGTTCCCTTTCTCAAATTGTTTGTCACGCGATTAGTGAAAGCCTCCCCCCTTCACCTTCGCCTGAGCTAAGAGGTCAAATTTCCAAAGGAAGCAATATTAGAAGCAGAATCCATATACCTTGGAAACAATGGGACAAAGGGAAGCTGCTGAGCAGGCGAGCAGCAAGAATGGGGATGGGAACACCCACAGTACGACTCCCTTTAAAACAAATATACTTGTGCAGAACATTCTGAGTGTATGAAAAGCTCCTTCAGTGTCTGGTAGAGGGTCTGGCTTTACATCCCCTCAGCACTAGCTGGGACCTTGTTACCTTGGGGACTTCTCCATTAGCACCAGGGGGTAGTCTCAGGATCCAGAAGTTCCTGTTCTTCAGCAGGTTCTCCATGTTCTCCAGCCTCCTCTGCAGTTGCCCATACTCCTGGATCAGAGTTCCCAGCGCAGTCCACTTACTCTCCAGCTGATTCCCGAACTCCACTGCTGTCTTCTCACAACCGACTAGTTTTGTTTCTGCCATCCTCATTCTTCCCTCCAGATTCATCAGTTGTGCTGCCTGAACCTCAACCTTCCTGTCCACAGCTTGGATTTCAGCCACGACGGTAAGGGAAATCTCTGCCGTCTGAAGATCTGTTTCTTCCATAGAAGTTGTTTCGGGGACAGCAAGAGGCTGTTCAAGTGACAGGTCCTGGGACTCCATGTCCCATTCAAGAGCCTGTTTGCAATGACAGATATTGGAAAGGAGGGGGTCACATTCTCACATAGCAGAGTCAGTGGAAGAGAGAAACGACAAAAGAGCCACATGCCACAGCCAGCTGAGAGCTTTCCGAGTCTGGATCTTTACTACTACAGGGTCACAATGAGAATGTGAAACTTGAAATCCAACCAAACATGCATTAAGAGTAATTTCAGTTCCTCTCTCTGTCCCTGCAACCCCACCAATGTTTGTGTTTTTCCAGCTGTATTTTTGATTTTCTCTCTCCCCCCACCCTGGTGCTGTGTGAAAGCCTCCCCGTCCCCAGCAATAGGGGAAACAGACCACCCGCCCAGAGAAAACAGCGAAACTGAGTATACACAAAGGGCTGTCAAATGCACAGGGCAAATAACTGGGGAGAAAAAAAATACCATCCATTTTCCCCTTCTCTAATCAGTGACTTGTAAGAACATTTAGCATCACATGTAACAACAGCCGGTAAGAGCTTTTCAGGCAGATGGCTCTTTCCGTTGATGGAGCCTTCTGCCCTAGAGGTTTCTCCGCCACAGCAAGTCTCTCTGGGCTACAAAGGCGGTGGGAGCAGCCCTAGTCACAGCATTTGCTGCCATAGAAACACACAAGGCGGGGGGGGGGGGGGACCGGCTCTTGCAGCTTGAAAAGCGGCAAAGCTCCATTCCCCGCTCCCTGAACCAGGGACCCCCCCGCAGCCCCTTGGGCCTGGGCAGGGAAACCCAGAGGGCTCCCCTGGGGCCGGCTCCCCGGGCCCCGGGGGAGGATGCCGCCCCCCAGGGCAGTGCCGGCCCCCGCCGGCCCCTTACCTGCTCGGGCGCCCACTCAGCCATGGCCCTGGGTTGGGAGCGTCGAGCCGGAGCCTGCCGGGGAGCGGGGCCGAGCGCAGCGACGGCTCTGGGCTGGGCAGCGTCCCAGCACCTCCTCAATAGGGGCTGGGCACGGCGGCCATGCTGGGGGAGCAGTGCATGCTGGGAGTCCGGCTCGCCGGCCGCGGGGCCCGAGCGCCAGCAGCGCCCCCTGCAGGGGGGAGGGCCAAACGGCACCTAAGGGTTTGCAAACCCCCCCCCCACACACACTCTCCTGCGGGGAGGGAGGGTGTCAAGCCCAAATAGAAACCCGGGGTCGCGTCACCTCTGTGGGCGCTGGCCCAGTGCTCAGCCTGGCTGCGGCCGGCAAGCGCTTCGCAGCCGGGGGGGGGGGTGCACTGTGGCATCGGCAGGGTGCCCCCGTCGATTGCATTTGCATTAACTTTTGCGTTGCCCAGCTCCGAAACAGTTGTATCCTTGCAACCTGAGCGTCGTGCTACGGCAGCGTCAGTATTTAACACGCTGGCGGGTGTCTGCCCAAGGATGGCATCCGTCCGTTCAGCTGCGTGTCATTGACGCAGTACTGCGAACAGCTAACGGGGAGTCTCCTTTCAGGCCAGTGGCAGGGGACTGGTTTTGGGACACACATCGCGGCCACATTTGCCTAGCTTGGTGTGTGACGTTTCTCAGAGGAGAGAAAGTCAGGGGTGTGGTGAAAGAGCCCAGCCTTCCACACTATTGCTGAGGGTGGAAGAGTGTGAAGCAGCTGGTGGGTGGGAGTTTGGCAGCGGGGGTAGGGTAGGGGCTCCAGACGGTCTTAATAGTGAGAGGTGTTCAACTGGGGAAGCTGATGGCTGGGGGCTGGCAGGCATCAGGGGGTACCTGGGAGTTCAAGGTTGGGGGTGTCTGGGGCAGTTGGAAATGAGGGGCAGGTTGGTAGATGGGGGTGCTGCATGATTGAAGTCTGGGGTATCTGGAGCAGTTCGGGTGAAAGGGCAGCTACCTGGGAGGAGTGAGGGGCACCCCAGGGGATGTTTCTTGGGCAGCTGCGCGGGGGGGCGGGAGCTAGCTTGGAGGGATGCCATGTTTAAGAAGGATGAATTCAAACTGGAACAGGTACAGAGAAGGGCTACTAGGATGAGCCGAGGAATGGAAAACCTGTCTTATGAAGGTTTCAGAGGAACAGCCGTGTTAGTCTGTATTCGCAAAGAAAAGGAGTACTTGTGGCACCTTAGAGACTAACCAATTTATTTGAGCATGAGCTTTCGTGAGCCACAGCTCACTTCATCAGATGTGAAGTGAGCTGTGGCTCACGGCTCATGCTCAAATAAATTGGTTAGTCTCTAAGGTGCCACATGTACTCCTTTTCTTTTGTCTTATGAAGGAGACTCAAGGAACTTGGCTTGTTTAACCTAACCAAAAGAAGGCTGAGGGGAGATATGATTACTCTCTATAAATGACAGGTTTCAGAGTAACAGCCGTGTTAGTCTGTATTCGCAAAAAGAAAAGGAGTACTTGTGGCACCTTAGAGACTAACCAATTTATTTGAGCATGAGCTTTCGTGAGCTACAGCTCACTTCATCGGATGCATGCCGTGGAAACTGCAGCAGACTTTATATACACACAGAGAATATGAAACAATACCTCCTCCCACCCCACTGTTCACGAAAGCTTATGCTCAAATAAATTGGTTAGTCTCTAAGGTGCCACAAGTACTCCTTTTCTTTTTACTCTCTATAAATATATCAGAGGGATAAATACCAGGGAGGGAGAGGAATTATTTAAGCTCAGTATCAATGTGGACACAAGAACAAATGGATATAAACTGGCCAATGGGAAGTTTAGACTTGAAATTAGATTAAGATTTCTAACCATCAGAGTGAAGTTCTGGGACAGCCTTCCAAGGGGAGCAGTGGGGGAACAAGACCTATCTGGCTTCAAGACTAAGCTTGATAAGTTTATGGAGGGGATGGTATGATGGGATAGCCTAATTTTGGCAATTAATTGATCTTTGACTATTAGCTGTAAATATGCCCAATGGCCTGTGATGGGACGTTAGATGGGGTGGGATTTGACTTACTACAGAGAATTCTTTTCTGGGTGTCTGGCTGGTGAGTTTTGCCCACATGCTCTGGGTTTAGCTGATAGCCATATTTGGGATCAGGAGGGAATCTTCCTCCAGGGCAGATTGGCAGAGGCCCCAGGGCTTTTTCACCTTCCTCTGTAGCATGGGGCACGGGTCACTTGCTGGAGGATTCTCTGCACCTTGAAGTCTTTAAACCACGAGTTGAGAACTTCAACAGCTCAGACATAGGTCAGGGGTTTGTTACAGGAATGGTTGGGTGAGATTCCGTGGCCTGTGTGGTGCAGGTCAGACTAGACGATCATAATGGTCCCTTCTGACCTTAAAGTCTATGAATCTATAAACTGGCTGGCAGGGAGAGAGGGAAAGTATCCCTGGGGGGATGGTGGGCATCAGGGAGCGGTGGGTGGAACTGGCTGGGAGGAAGAGGTACGGGGGTCAATGGGGGAGCAAGCTGGGGTTTCCCTAGAGCAGCGGGCAAAGGAGTATCAGGGGCAGGGGAGCAGCCTGGGTGGGGGGTCCCTGGAGCAGGGGGGATCGGGGCAGCGGGTGGGGGGTCCCTGGGGCAGGGGAGCAGCCAGGGGGGATCCCTGGAGCAGCGGGGGATTGGGGCAGAGGTCCCTGTGGCAGGGGAGCACCCTGGGGGGGTGTCCCTGGAGCAGCGGGGGATCGGGGCAGCGGGCGGGGGTCTCTGGGGCAGGGGAGCAGCCTGGGGTGGGGTCCATGGAGCAGCGGGGGATCGGGGCAGCGGGCGGGGGTCCCTGGGGCAGGGGAGCAGCCTGGGGGGGTCCCTGGAGCAGGGAGGGTCGGGGCAGCGGGTGGGGGGTCCCTGGAGCAGCGGGGGATCGGGGCAGCGGGCGGGGGTCCCTGGGGCAGGGGAGCAGCGGGCGGAGGTCCCTGGGGCAGGGGAACAGCCTGGGGGGGTCCCTGGAGCAGCGGGGGATCGGGGCAGTGGGTGGGGGGTCCCTGGGGCAGGGGAGCAGCCTGGGGGGGGGGTCCCTGGAGCAGCAGGGGATCGGGGCACCGGGCGGGGGTCCCTGGGGCAGGGGACCAGCCTGGGGGGGTCCCTGGAGCAGCGGGGGATCAGGGCAGCGGGCGGGGATCCCTGGGGGAGGGGAGCAGCCTGGGGGGGGTCCCTGGAGCAGGGAGGATCGGGGCAGCGGGTGGGGGGTCCCTGGGGCAGGGGAACAGCCTGGGGGGGTCCCTGGAGCAGCGGGGGATCGGGGCACCGGGCGGGGGTCCCTGGAGCAGGGGAGCAGCCTGGGGGGGGTCCCTGGAGCAGCGGGGGATCGGGGCAGCGGGTGGGGGGTCCCTGGGGCAGGGGAACAGCCTGGGGGGGGTCCCTGGAGCAGCGGGGGATCGGGGCAGCGGGTGGGGGGTTCCTGGGGCAGGGGAACAGCCTGGGGGGGGTCCCTGGAGCAGCGGGGGATCGGGGCAGCGGGTGGGGGGTCCCTGGGGCAGGGGAACAGCCTGGGGGGGTCTCTGGAGCAGCGGGGGATCGGGGCACCGGGCGGGGGTCCCTGGAGCAGGGGAGCAGCCTGGGGGGGGTCCCTGGAGCAGGGGGGATCGGGGCAGCGGGTCGGGGGTCCCTGGGGCAGGGGAACAGCCTGGGGGGGGTCCCTGGAGCAGGGAGGGTCGGGGCACCGGGCGGGGGTCCCTGGGGCAGGGGAGCAGCGGGTGGGGGGGTTCCTGGGGCAGGGGAACAGCCCGGGGGGGGTTCCTGGAGCAGCGGGGGATCGGGGCAGCGGGTGGGGGGTCCCTGGAGCAGGGGAGCAGCCTGGGGGGGTCCCTGGAGCAGCGGGGGATCGGGGCAGCGGGTGGGGGTCTCTGGGGCAGGGGAACAGCCTGGGGGGGGTCCCTGGAGCAACGGGGGATCGGGGCAGCGGGTGGGGGTCCCTGGGGCAGGGGAACAGCCTGGGGGGGTCTCTGGAGCAGCGGGGGATCGGGGCACCGGGCAGGGGTCTCTGGGGCAGGGGAACAGCCTGGGGGGGGTCCCTGGAGCAGCGGGGGATCGGGGCAGCGGGTGGGGGGTCCCTGGAGCAGGGGAACAGCCTGGGGGGGGGTCTCTGGAGCAGCGGGGGATCGGGGCAGCGGGCGGGGGTCCCTGGGGCAGGGGAGCAGCCTGGGGGGGGGGTCCTTGGAGCAGCGGGGGATCGGGGCAGCGGGCGGGGGTCCCTGGGGCAGGGGAGCAGCCTGGGGGGGTCCCTGGAGCAGCGGGGGATCGGGGCACCGGGCGGGGGTCCCTGGGGCAGGGGAGCAGCCTGGGGGGGGTCCCTGGAGCAGCGGGGGATCGGGGCAGCGGGCGGGGGTCCCTGGGGCAGGGGAGCAGCCTGGGGGGGGGGGGGGCGGGGGGGCCCTGGAGCAGCGGGGGATCGGGGCAGCGGGCGGGGGTCTCTGGGGCAGGGGAACAGCCTGGGGGGGTCCCTGGAGCAGCGGGGGATCGGGGCAGCGGGGGGGGGTCCCTGGAGCAGGGGAGCAGCCTGGGGGGGTCCCTGGAGCAGCGGGGGATCGGGGCAGCGGGCGGGGGTCCCTGGGGAGGGGAGCAGCCTGGGGGGGTCCCTGGAGCAGGGAGGATCGGGGCAGCGGGTCGGGGGTCCCTGGGGCAGGGGAGCAGCCTGGGGGGGTCCCTGGAGCAGCGGGGGATCGGGGCAGCGGGCGGGGGTCTCTGGGGCAGGGGAGCAGCCTGGGGGGGTCCCTGGAGCAGCGGGGGATCGGGGCAGCGGGCGGGGGTCCCTGGGGCAGGGGAGCACTGCGGGGAGGAGGCGGGAGGGAGAGCGGGATCCCGGGAGCGGAGAAGCGGGTTCCAGACCGGCGGCGGCCCGGCCCCCGCTTCCCCGCCCCCGCCCGGCAGCCCAGCGACCCCGGCAGGGCATCGCCGCCCGCCGCGAGGTGAACGCACGCGGCAGCGCCCCCGGCGGCTCGACGGAGGAACTGCAGGGGGCGCCAGCCGGAGCCGGTCTCTGCGTGCCGTGGGGAAAGGTCCGGGGGGCGGGGCTGCAGCCCGGCCCCGCCCCCGCGTGGAACAGCCGCCCAGGAGAGGGCGCAGGTCACAGACCCTGCGGGACACCCCCCCCGCCCGCCCGCCTTAGCTATGGGGTAGAGCGGGGGGCGCCCCTCACCGTCCCTGCAGGGTCTGGCTAGACCTCCCCCCCCCCCCCCGGTTACAAACGTGCCCCCGGGAGAGCAGGGCCCTGATGTCCCGGACCCCTGGCAAGCGGGCGCTGGGCGGGTTCCCTGCTGTCACCCTCCCCTGGTGCCAGCCACTGAGGTCTCACACCCCTGTCTCAGTGCTGACAGAGGGAGGCCGGGGCCGTTTGCTAGTCCCTCAGCCCCAGGCCGGGGGTGGCAGGCTGCGTCCTACCCTCCGCCCTGGAAGATCTTTCAGGGCTCGGCCCCAGCAGCCCAACACCAGACACCTCCCCAGAACCAGATGCGGGGACTGGGACCGGCCACCTAGCACCCCTCGGCCATTCCTAGGAGATGGGCCCCCTAGACTGGAACAGAGGGAGAATAGGGCGTGCAGGCCAACATGGGCACAAACTTGGCGGGGGGCAGCCAGCACAGTGGCCATACAGAACCACAAGCTTTTCAGGAGCACACACTGGTGGTTCCATGCACACTAAGTCTTAAACTTCAGGTTAATGCACAAGATTCACTTAGCATTTCATACACCTCTGAATGCATCTGATGAAGTGAGCTGTAGCTCACGAAAGCTTATGCTCAAATAAATTGGTTAGTCTCTAAGGTGCCACAAGTCCTCCTTTCCTTTTTGCGGATACCGACTAACACGGCTGCTCCTCTGAAACCTCTAACAGGAGTACTGATAACGACAGCCCTGGACTAGTGCCTTCAGCGCTCACTGCCTCAGTTTCCCCATCTGTCCATTTCCCCAAATGTCCAATTTACTGATCTCACAATGCTGGGTGTTTAATTAATAGACCTGACCCTGAAAATGGGTCTTTCACCTGACAAGCATTGGGAAAGTGCTAGTGAAACTCAGCTTGTAGCAGGAGGAGGTTAGAGTGGCGGCAGCCAGGGGGAGTAGAAGATAGACCAGTAGAAAAACCAGAGGTGGGCTGGGTTAGCGGCGCTCATTAAGCAAGTTACACAGGTGGCCGAATGGAAACGCTGGAAAGCTCAGCAGAAAGGGGTATGGTACAAAACACAGACTTGCACCTGACTTGAAACCAAGGGAAAGACGTTTAGTTAGAGGCACCATGTTCATTAAACTGATATTTACAACAGTATTTGAAAACCCTCCTTGTCCGCATGGCTTGGATCATTCAGGAGACACCCTGCCAGGTTTTACTGTCACCAACCCAGCAGCTCTTTAGGATGTTTACTGGGAAGTGTACTCAGAACCCATGATCTACTTGACCAACCCAGAGTGACACTCCCTTCATTTATGAATCCGAATGGATTGTGGCCACCTTTCCACTGGCCCCAAACCAAACAAGCCTGAGCCTCCTGCTATCAAGCTCTACCTCATCAGAGACTGAGCTAAGAGCTGTGGGACTCTGCTCTTTAGCTTTGCCCTCTTCCTGGGAGGATCACCTCTCTTTTCTCTCCCCACCCCCATCATCCCTCCTCCCTGTCCCCTTTGCTCCATTCTCCTACTCACTGCCACCTTCCTCCCCATCCCCCCCACCCACAGGGCTGCCCCTTCCATGCTTTCTTTACTCCATCCAGCTGCTCGATGCAGGCCCTTGGTCCCTCTCGCTTTTAAGCTCTCCACTCTGTGGGCCTAATCCTACAGAGTGCTGAGCTGCACCATCAACTCCCATTGCAGTCAACAGGACCGGAGACCATTCAGTACCTTGTCACATCAGACTCAGACTGTGCATCTGCCTGCTTCATTCCACCCAGCAAAATCCTTCCCTTCCAAACAGGGAGGGGAGGAAGTCCCCCGTTCCACCCCTGGCCCGTAGATAGGAGTGCTGATCACTGTGTTTCAACACCACCGGGCTTTTTAGTCTAGTGCTTCACTCTCCTGGCTCAGAGCGGCAGCAAAAGGAGATGGAACAACAGTGACAGAGGAACCTGTACCCCTTCCAAATATCCACAAGCCAATGAATGACTGGCAACACCTCCCAACCTGAGAGCCCCCCCGGGAAAAAGTTCATATTTATTACCAAAGAGACTTTAAACAGGAGTCAGTTGCACATCATGGCCTGTGTCCTTCAGCAGTGACAAATGATTTGGGGGGGCCCCCTCAGTTTTCAATTGGGCCTTCAAGAGGTCTGATTTTAAGCAAGTGCCAAGCAGACACCTTCTGAAAATCAGGCTCCTTTAAGGCTTCTCCAGCTGGGCTCCCAAAATTTAGAACGTGTTAAAATAATTTTAAATTTGGAAAGCACTTTGGGCTCTACTGATGAAAAGTGCCAGGTGAGAACTAGGTAGTTTTATTAAAAACCCCTAACAGGATGGCAGCATGAAACTGCCAACAGTTATAAAACAGTTATCCAGCGCCGGCTGTAGGCTGGATGTTTAAGGAATTTAGTGGGTTGTTTTAGGCTGCGATTTTCCAAGCAGCCTCAGGGGACGTGATGCCCCGGAGTTGGATGTCTAACTCCTGCAGGGAGACACAGCGGATGAGGAAATATCTTATCGGACCAACTCCTCTTGGTGAAAGAGACAAGCTTTCCAGCTTGATCTGAAGAAGAACTCTGGGGGGGCACGAAAGCTTGTCTCCTTCACCAAGAGAAGTTGGTCCCATAAAAGGAGATTCCCTCACCCACCTTGTCTCTCTCATATCCTGGGACCAACACGGCTACGACAACACTGCACACTCCTGTAGGTCGAATTGGGAATCCCAGCCTCCCTGTACGTCACATGATGCCAGAACCTGCAAGGCGCTCCCAGCCCGGGGACTCCTGCCCCGTCTCTCTCATAAGCAACGAGGTCTAGCCGGGGTGTGCTGCTCGGGGGCCAGGGCGCTGCCCACGGGGCAGTGGTCCCCCAGGTGGATTTTCAGGTGGCAGTTCAGCGACTGTTTGTAGCGGAAGCTCTTCTCGCACTGGGGGCAGCGGTGGAGTCTCTCGCCCGTGTGCACGCGCTGGTGTTTCAGCAGGTGGTGCTTGCGGATGAAGCACTTGTCGCACTGGGCGCAGGCGTAGGGCCGCTCCCCGGTGTGGATGCGGAAGTGGTTGGTGAGCTGGGATTTCTCTGTGAAGCGCTTCCCGCACTCCCCGCAGTGGTAGGGCCGCTCTCCCGTGTGGATGCGGAAGTGGCTGGTGAGCTTGGACTTCTCGGTGAAGCTCTTCTGGCAGGTGGGGCACTGGAAGGGGCGCTCGCCCGTGTGCAGCCGCCGGTGATCGACCAGGTAGTACTTCTGGGTGAAGCTCTTCTCGCACTCGGGGCACTGGAAGGGCCGCTCGCCCGTGTGCACGCGCTGGTGTTTCAGCAGGTGGTGCTTGCGGATGAAGCGCTTGCCGCACTGGGCGCAGGCGTAGGGCCGCTCCCCGGTGTGCGTGCGGTAGTGGTTGGTGAGCTTGGACTTCTCCGTGAAGCTCTTCTCGCAGTCGGTGCACTGGTAGGGCCGCTCCCCCGTGTGGATCCGCTGGTGCCGGACCAGCTGCGAGGGGTGGGTGAAGTTCTTCCCGCAGTCCGTACAGAGCAGCGAGCCCTCACCCTTCCCTGCGTGGAGTCGCTGGTGGACGAGGAGGCTTATCTTCAGCCTGAAGCTCTTCCTGCACTTAGCGCAGGTGTACCCCATGTGACTGACCTGGTGCTTGAGAAGGCTGGATTTGAGGCTAAAGTTTATCTCGCCCTCAGAGCATTTGTAGGGCTTTGCACCTGCCAGGACCTGGCTTCTCTGGGGATGTAGGAGATGGGATTTCTGAGTGAGGCCTTCTCCACATGCTGGAGAAATGGAGACTTCCCCTGGTGTGTGGACTCCCTGGTGCGCTGCGAACAACTGCTTACAGACAAAGCTTTCCCCACATTCATTGCATATATACGGTCCCTCTCCTGGGTGACTTTCCTCCTGATCAGTGGCTGGTGCAAGGCCGCTGAAGTCTCCTCCACACGGAGTGAGCTGGCCCAGGCTGCTTTCTGCAGGGTTTCCCTGCTGTGTCAGTGAGCTGCACTGATTGCCATGGCTCCATCTCTCAGCAGGTGTCTGGAAATCCTCCTCTGAGCTTCCTTGCGCCCCCCTGGGAAGTTCCGGGATGGCAGCACTGTCCTCAAGACACCACTCATCTGCTGGAATATAAAAGGGAATCCAGAGAGGATTTAACAGCAACCTCATCCCAGGACGTTCCTCATTCACCAGGAAAACCCAGGAAGTTGAGAGCGGAGAGGGTGGCTGTCTGCAGAGTGCCTAGCACACTGCTGGAGCCATACAAATGAATAATCATAACCCACCCCAATTCTGCTTCACCATAGCTACCTTGTCCTTACATATTTATCACCTTCCCACCCCCCCATTCTGTTCCTCCAGTCTGTGATCTACTTCCACTGCCCAGTAACATCCCTCTTCTCTGCCTCTGCGGGCAAAGCATTTCCTGTGTACGTAAACTCACCCTTGATGGGATCTGTAGGGATTTCTCTCTCCACCAAGCCCCCCTGACTCTCAGCACACGGTGTTTCCTCTTGTTTAATCCATGAGCTATCGCTGGGAGTAGAAATGGGAGATCCTGTTCACGGGAAGGAGAATGACATTAGGTTTCTCTCACACCCGCTGAACCCTTTAGGGAGGATTTCAGGGCAGATGGCAACACCTGACTGGCGCCAGCACTAGATGTGAAAGGCGAAAACTCCCACAGAGAAGGAACATGTTGATCGAACTCATCAGAAGAGATAACAACTACAAGAGCACAGGAAAATCATGTTAATTTCCTGCCCTCGACGACTTCTTGCTGCTTCCAAGATGCTCTGGTCAGTTCCTCCTCACCTGTGCTGGGATCCGGCGGGGTTTCTCTTTTTTGACATTCCTGCTGTTCCTGGACACGAGGCTCTACCCCGGGTTCAATCCGGGCCTGAGCATCAGGCCTGGAAGCAGCATTGTCTGTCGATGGAAAAGGATATTAAGCGGATTAGGGTTTGGTTAATAATTCACTGAGTTCACACCTACAAATCCACAGAATCTTTAACTAGTTTAAACCCACCCCCTTCCATCACCAGAGGCCATGGGCAGCACCACTGGAAGTAAATGATAGGGTGGCTGCTCTTTTCTTAACGACAGGTCTGACGTGTGACTGGCTCGCTTTGTCTGGGCTCAGGAACAGTAAGCAGATCACAGGAGTGCTCCCCGAATCTGATCAGCCAAGTAGTGCGGAGCCAAACGGGCCCTGCAGGAGACGCTTTAGGTACCCCCCCATCATGCATGGGGAGAGAGATCAGGAAGAGGGGTTCCCTACCTCCTTGTGGGTAAGACCAGAGTCTTCCAGAGGCAGGGCTAGCAGGTGCCTACAGCCTGAGCAATATACTGAGCAGCATCTGGCACTTCCGAGATCTGACTGTTACTAAAGGAATTTTCAACTCATCTTTACCCAGTGAGATCAACGTCTCATAGTTGTTCCTCATTGTGTTCTTGTGAAGCTCCTCCCGCCGTTGCTCTAAAACCCCCCACTCCTGCCCGGAGAAACAGCCCGAGACCTCATCGAACTTCACAGGGACCTGAAATCACAAGCGTCACAGCCTCAGCACCTCCTGCCCCCACTGGGGAGAGTATTCAGCACCTCCCCTCCCCAGCACAGTGTCACACAAACCTCCGTCGTCATCACCTTCAGAGCGTGACGCAGCTCACCCCTGCCTCTCACAGCGCCCCCAGCGCTCCCTCCCATGGCCGTACTCTGCCCAGTTCCCTCTTAACACTCTGTCAGCTTCTCCAGGTTCTGCCTTTATGCCTCTTCTCATGCTGCCCTTACATCTGGAAAGCTTCCAGCAGTGCGTATGCCAAGCATTCTCCCTCCTGCCTTCTCAGGACCCACTACTTTCATCTAGCCTTCCACTGCTGATTGAGCGTGACTTTACTCCCCTCTTCATGCCTTAGCCTGCAATAGTTCGATTGATGTAATAAAACCAAAGACTGACACTTCAACTGATCATTGACCAGTTGCATACTACGAAAACCTGTAGTACTGAACCTGCAGCTTAAGACTTGATGACCACCGTTAAAATCGATAGCTCTAGACTACATTTGCTAATTTCCTGTTCTCACTCCATGGCTCCCGGTACTCTCTCCGGATCTGAGAGCTTGTCACAGCATCTTAGCTTAAGACAGAGTGTCTTGTAGTTCCTCCCCCTTTTAGATGGGTCTGTAGATGGGGAGCAGGAGAACGGAGCTAAGGAGCCCCAACCAGGGCTTCGTTATGCACCAGTACACCCAATCTACCCAAGCAATTTTGTAACAGACCTGAATATCACTGGGCTACACACCCCGTGGACATCTAATAGAGGGGACAGCTTTACTTCTGCTCCTCAGTGCTAGCTGGGATATTGTTACCTTGGGGACTTCTCCCTGGGTGCCTGGGGGAAGTTTTAGGATCCAGACATCTTTTTTCTTCAGCAGGTTCTCCATGTTCTCCAGCCTCCTCTGCAGCAGCCCATACTCCTGGATCAGAGTTCCCAGCACGGCCCACTTACTCTCCAGCTGGTTCCCAAACTCCACCACTGTCCTCTCGCAGCCAACTAGTTTGTTCTCCGCCATCCCCATTCTTCCCTCTAGCGTCAACAGTCGCGTGGCATGCGACTCCACGGTCGTCTCCACAGTTACCTCTGGCCACATGGCAGTCTGTTCCAGCGGCAGCTGCATTCCTGCCTCAGAAGTATGCTCAGGGGCAGTCGGGGGGTTAAAGGCACTGGCTGCTCGGCTGTGACATCCCATTGCGGAGCCTGCTTGCAAGGAGAAAAGAAGAGATCGGCCACAAAGAGAAAGGGCGTAAGGCCCGCTCATGTGTTCCAGGCTGTTCCATGCTCTCTGGGCCCGAGAGTTAGTCTTTTACGGCTGCCTTCCAGATGCAACAACAAAAATGACAACAGACCCTTCTCTGTCAGCCTCACGTTGGTGGGTTTGGGACTCTAACGATATAAACTTCCCTGATATTCTATGATTCTATGATCTCCCGCACAGCCTGACCGTGAGCAGTATGACAGGTGCGCAGGGGGGGAGGAGCAGAGTGGAAGGGAGCCTGGAAAAACCAGCGAGATGGGTGTACTGGAGAGGGCCCAGGCCAGCCTTTGTTCAAGTAGAAAGAGTGGTAGAGCCTGGGGACGGCCAGTCAGGGGGTAACACAAGCCTGGAGGCTCTGGTGCTGCCAATATCTATCTCCTCCTACTCCTCTTCCCTGCTCCCGACAAGCACACGCCAGCCAGCCGAGCTGGGGAAAAACTGAGAGCAGGAAAAGACAGCCCCCCTGTGAGAAAACCCTGCTCGGTCCCTGCTGAGGGCGAGAGACTCTGTGAGCAGGTGTGCGGGTGGCATGGGCCAGCACCACAGCCCTGGTACCGACACCGGGCAGCCAGGCCTGCGCAACCAGGTTGACGCGGCTGCTGCCAGGACGCCCCAGAGCGCACGGCCCCCACATGCTGCTCTGCGGCTCTGGGCTTTTGGGGACACGACAGCCCGCGGCCACCCGGGTAGGTGCCTGGGGGAGCCCGGACCGCAGGGAAACAAGCTCCCTAGGGAGGATGGAAAAGGGCCGTGGGGTGGAAAAGGGGCGGCAGAGACACGGCTGAGGGGTGTTTGCCGCAACTGGCTCAGACTCGGGTCACAAACGGGGACAAAACCACTGTGGTGATGGTGTAGACGGGACCTCCGATCCCTCATCCCCCTGCAGCCTGAATCCTGCGGCTCCAGCTCGGCTCCCAGCCGCTTCCTGGCTTCCCCCGGGGCGGGACAAAGACCCAGGCCGACCAGAGCCTGGGCAAACCCGAGCCCTCCAGCGGCCAATGTCCCGTGAGGGCCCCAAGCCAGCGGGGCTGGTGGGAGCGGGGGCGGGTCCCTGCTCCCCGCCCCCGCCGGAGCCGCCCCCGCCCCGGGGCTCAACCCCGGCCAGCACCGCGCTCCCGGGGCAGCCCGGGCCGGGCGGGGAGAAGCTCCCGGGGCCCGAGGCCCCCCCGCCCGCCGGGCCCTTACCTGGGCAGCGGCCCGCTCGGCCATGGCGCCCCCGGGCGGGGCTGCTCCCGCGGGCCCGGCCCGGCCGAGCCCCGCTCCCGCTGCGGGCTGGGCAGAGTCCCGGCGCCGCCTCGCCACGGGCCGGCCCCGCTGCCGGGCGGAGCAGAGCGAGCGCGGCCCGCAGGGCGGGAGGGAGGGAGCCGCGGCCTGGCTGCCGGGGCCGGGAGCGGCGGGGCGGGGCGGCGGGGAGCGGGGCGGCAGCGGCCCCTGGCGGCGGGTGGGCTGTGAGCGGAGCCCGGCGGGGGGCGGCGGCGGCGGCGCTGGGCCTCGGGGGTCCCGGCGTCTCGCAGCCGGACTCGCCCGGGGACCTGCTGCTGCGGCCTGTTAGCCGCGGTGCCGGGCCGGGGCAGGCGGGCGGCTGGGTGGCGGGAGGGCTGATCGCCTGTTGTGTTCGTTCCCTCTGAAGCCCCTGGCCCAGGGCAAGCCCCTGCGCTGGGTGGACCATTGCCCTGGCCCAGTGCGGCCCTTCTTCGGCTTGGAAGGAGTCGATGTTTGTTGGGACAGGTCAAGTTCACCGTACACAGAAACCTACGGGCCATGTTCCGCTCTGTCTGTGCACGGACAGGCTGCCGGAGAACTTATTAGTGTTTGGTTTTAAATGAAGGGGAGTTCGTATTCCTATACTTGGACTTGTTGACAGTTGGTGTTTTAAGGGTGATAAAGCATTGTCTCTTTGGCTCCCAAATTAGACTGTTGTAAAATCATTGTTGGCTGACCTCCCCCTCCCCAGTATCCCGCAACTGCGAACATGTACATTGATTTGAAAACACTTACTACCTGCCTATCTGGAAATTTCCACTACATGCATCTGACAAAGTGGGCATTCACCCATGAAAGCTCATGCTCCAATATGTCTGTCAGTCTATAAGGTGCCATGGGACTCTTTGCTGCTTTTACAGATCCAGAGTAACACGGCCGCCCCTCTGATACTACTCGTAACTTTTCACAACTGCGAAACATTAAAATCAATAAGTATTGGGGGGGGGGCTTTAAAATGAACATTGACATTATAAAATTATTTTTAAAAAAATCAAATTCTGCTAAATCTATGGAAAAAAGTCAGGACACCATGATTCTAGTCTCTATCTGCCACCAACCTGCGGGGAGATCTCTTGCACAAGTCTCCACTCCATGCCTGTTTCCCCTCCCACCGTTTGTCTTTATTTAGGTTGTAAGCACAGTGCCCAGGAGCCGGCTGGACCATTAATGTTGATTTTCAATAAGTCTTGGAACACTGGGGAAGTTCTAGAAGACTGGAAGAAATCTCATGTGCTAATTTTTTAAAAGGATATTTATAGGCCTGACATCAGTCTGGGGCAAGATAATGTAGTGGCTGATACAGGACTTGATTACCAAAGAATTAAAGGTTTAGGGTAACACCGTGTAATGTAAGTCTTCTAACCAATTTTTTACATGAGCTTTCATGAAAGCGGCCCACACCCCCTTTTTTTTAAAAGGGGGTTACTAATGCAAATCACCATGGGTTTATGGAAAACAGATCCTGTCAAACAAACTTGATTTTTTTTATGAGGTTACAAGTTTGGTTGATAATGGTAGTAGCAATGGCATAATATACTTAGTCTTCTGTAAGGCATTTGACTTGGTACTGCACGACAATTTGATTAAAAGACTAGAATGATATAAAATTAACATGTCACACATTAAATGGATTCAAAACTGGCTAACTGATAAGTCTCAAAACATAATTGTAAATGGGGAATTGTCATCAAGTGGGAGTGTTTCCAATAGGATCCTGCAGGGATTAGTTCTTGGCCCTACACTATTTAACATTTTTATCAGTTTCCTGGAAGAAAACATAAAATTGTCACTGATAAAGTTTGTAGATGACCCAAAAATCGGGGGAGTGGTAAGTTATGAAGAGAGCAGGTCACTGATTCAGAGCATTCTGGATCTCATGGTAAACTGGGTGGAAACAAATATGTATTTTAATATGACTCAGTGTCAACATATACATCTAGGAACAAAGAATGTCGGCCATACTTACGGGATGGGAGACTCTGTCCTGGGAATCAGTGACTCTGGAAAAGATTTGGTGGTCCTGGTGGATAATCAGCTGAGCTCCCAGTGCCCTGCTGTGGCCAAAAGGACTAATGCAGTCCTGGGATGTGTAAACACAGGACTCTTTTTTGAAGCAGCAGAGAGGTTGTATCTCTGTATCTGTATCTCTGTATCTGGCTCTGGTGTGACCGCTGCTGGAATCCTGGGTCCATTTCTGGTGCCCACAATTCAAGAAGAGTGCTGGTAAATTGGAGAGGATTCAGAGAAGAGCCATGACAATAATTAAAGGATTAGAAAACCTGCCTTCTAGTGATTGAGCTCTTTGAGTCTATCTATTTAACTCAACAAAGAGAAGGTTAAGGGGCAACTTGATCACAGTCTATAAGTAGCTACACGGGGAACAAATATTTAATAATGGGCTCATCAATCTAGCAGACAAAGGTATAACATGAGCCAGTGGCTGGAAGTTGAAGCTAGACAAATTCAGATTGGAAATAAGGCTTAATTTTTTTAATGGTGAGACTAATTAACCAAAAGGGTCGTAGTAGATTCTCCATCACTGACTATGGAGTGTTTGGTGAGAAAGCGCTTATCCCTGAAATCCTTCTTTCTCTGAGTGCAGTGGGACGGCATCTCTGCTGTGTGAAGGCTGGTGTGTTCTCAGCGAAGCTCCTCTCTTGCCATGGACAGCGGTAGAGTCTGTCTGCGTGGGTTTTGGAGCGCCTGGTGAGCAGATGTTTCTCAATGAAGCCCTTCCCACACAGAGTACAGCAGAAGGGCCTCTCCCCGGGTGGGTCCATTTGTGAATGGGGAGATACGATCTAAATCTAACACTTTTCAGGCACTTAGAGCACCGATACGGACTCCCTCCAGGCCTTCCAAGACCCTGCTCTTGGCTAGAGCTTTCCACACAGCTATATGGTTCCTTTGCCACGTGGGTCGCTGGTGTTCAGTAAGATCCAAGATGCATAGATCCTCACATTCAGTGCATAGCAAGAGTCAGAACTTTGGCACATTCCAAGAGATTCCTCTGCCTTTGCCCAGGATCCGTGGAGGTACATGGCCCCTCTTCCATGTGAGCGTCCTCCAGAACAAAAACAATGAGGAGTCCTTGTGGCACCTTAGAGACTAACAAATTTATTTGGGCATAAGTCTTTCGTGGGCTAGAACCCACTTCATTGGATGCATGGAGTGAAAATACAGGAACAGGTATAAATACATGAAAGGATTGTGATTTGAAAGGAGTTCACTGCAACCTCTCTTATACCGAACAGAGTCCTCAGGGTTCTTTCCAGTCCTGTCAGTCTGCTGTCTCTCTCAACTCTCATGGGTCATTTCCTGCTCTACCCTTTGGAAAACCTCTTTATGATGGATTGCCCACCCCTCACTCCAGGGTGCCACCTGATGTACTGGAGTCCCACTGAGACCACCTGTTCCACCAGCCTAGGCTCCCTCACCCCATCCTGCTATGCCAGGCCCTCAAGCCTCCTCTAGCACACACACAGGTAGGGACATGCCCAGCTGTAGGAAGACACAGACACTGAAGACTGCACTTGAGTGCTGGGCAAGCCCCAAGCTGAGTCTGCATGGGAAGACTCAGCTTGGGGATTGCCCAGCACTCAAATTCACGCCCCCTCTGGAGTTTAAATGCAAAACTGTATTGTTTTGCGCTGCACAGAAATCTGTACAGCATAAGCTCAGGAAAATCAGCCCCTCCCTCAATGTGGAGGAAGATATGCATAGCTTTTTGCCACCCTAGTTATTAATTGCACAAACTGGTTTATAGAAAACAAAAACAAGTGTATTAATTACAAGGAATAGATTTTAAGTGATTATAAGGAATAGCAAACAGATCAAAGTAGATTACTGAGCAAATAAAGCAAACACACAAACTAAGTTTAATACACTAAAGAAACTGGCTACAAGTAGTAATTTCTCACCCTAAATGTTGTTTTAAGCAGGTTGCAGAAATTCTTGAAGACAAACTTCTTTTGCTTGCAGCTTAGAATTCCAGATATTCCTTTCACAGACCAGACACCTTCTAGCCTGGGTCCAGTCCTTCCCCAGTTCAGTTTTTTTTAGCAGTCATCTTGGGCCGGGATTCAATGAAGAACCAACTCTGATTAACTCACACCCCAGCCTTAAATAGGATTTACATATGGCAGGAATCCTTTGTTTCCCAGTTTGAACCCCACCCCCTAGTAGTGGCAAAATACTAGCAGCCCAAGATGGTGTCCAGTAGCAGGTGACATGATCACATGACCCTGCAGTGTCAAAGCAGCATCCCAGGAGGCTACTCAGGAAGGTGGGAGATTAGCATCTTCAAAGTCCTATTGTTCTCCCTAATGGCCCATTCAAGCTGATTGCATACTGTCTGGTGGGCATTGCCCAGGTGTAAACACAGTTGTAATTGTTACTTTGTCAATATTCCTAACTTCAGATACAGAAATGATACATGTCTACAAATAGGATAATCATAGTCAGTACATCATAACCTTTCCAATGATACCTCACATGACTCATCTGCATAAAACATACCTTAGTTATGCCATATTCCTATCATAACAATATCTCGATGAAGAATATAGGATGTGGAGCACACTCCTCTTCTGAGCGTCCCCCTGGTGGTGGTAGGCTTTTAGGCTGCTTCTCAGTTTTGATCATGGTTCCCCCATCTGCTGGAATAAAGGGAGGATCTATTTCCAAAATCTCTTATGAGGAAAGCCTAATTATACTCAGTAATAATAGCCATAGAGTTGGGTGACCTCCAGCACAGGAACTAGCATAATCTTATGAATATGCTGGCTAAAGTGAGTCTAATCTGTTAACGACATCAAGAGTCTGAAATTGATGGTAGTTAAGAGTCTTTAAAGCAAATGTAAAAGGTTAAGTTTTTGGTAAATCACTTACCTAGGAGATCGAGAATTAGCACACAACTGCATCTCAGGGTACAAGGGAGAACAACAGGGACAGAGATTCCTTCAGAGTAAGGCCACCCATTAGAGTTGTCGAGTGGTTGGAACAGACCAAGGGGTCAGGTACTCTTGGACATACTCCTGGCTCCCCACTAACTTCCTGCCTTCCACAGGGAGCCAGTGACAGAACTGGGACTAGAACCCAGGTCCCCGACTCACAGTCATTTCCTATGACCACTGGAGAAAGCTGCCTCTGTTATGAAGCTGCCTCCGTATCAGTCACATGCACCTGTTCCCTTCAGAAATCTGTCTCTTGCCAAAAAACTAGAGCAATGGTGGTGCAGCTCCTCCCCTTCTTCTGCTTAGTAAGAACTTCAGAGTCTAATCGGTTTCATCTAAATCCTCACAGTTTCCTTATGCTCTTTACTAAAAAACTCAGACACTCACTTGGATGCACCTGCTCCTTCTCTCAAGATGAGTATAGCCCAAAAGAACAATAGCGTGTTGTGACGAAGTAGGACTGTTCTTAATGTTTCCTCTGAATAGTGTGGGGGTGCCTCAGTTTCCCCTAGGCAGTTCTTAAGTATCTAGGGGGTGGAGTAAGGGTGTATGATCATTGCAGAGCCCTAGAGGGCATGTGTGTGCAGGAGTCTGGACACAGAGAATGGCCGACACCCTGTTTCCTGGCAACTGATGGCCTGGGCCCTTCCCCCCCTGCAAGGTGAGAGCTGAAGGGTTGGAGAACAAAGGAATCAGGTGACCACCTGGCCTGGGAAAGGAACAAAGCCCAGAGGAGGAGGGGCTGGAGGGGGTTTTCAGTTTGGGGCTGGCTGGGACATGGAGTGAAGTGCAGACGTGGTTGTCTGGCTCACTGCCCCCCAAAATGGACCCAGCTGAGGGGTCCCGTTCTCTGCACCTGCAAGCTCTGTTTTAGACCATGTTCCTGTCGTCTAATAAACCTTCTGTTTTACTGGCTGGCTGAGAGTCACGTCTGACTGTGAAGTTGGGGTGCAGGACCCTCTGGCTTCCCCAGGAGCCCCGCCTGAGCGGACTCGCTGGGGGGAAGCGCACGGAGGGGCAGAGGATGCTGAACGCTCCGAGGTCAGACCCAGGAAGGTGGAAGCTGTGTGAGCTGTGTGTCCTGCAGACAGGCTGCTCACAGGAAGGCGACTGCCCCAGAGTCCTGACTGGCTTCATGGGGAGCAGTTCCAGAGCATCGCCCAGGGACTCCGTGACACGTGTAAAGAGTATTTGGCAAGAGTCAGCCCACCTCCCATTTGGGGCCCAGAGGGGACAGACTAGGAAGGCCATCGCTTCAGCTTGGTTTATGTCAGAATATTAGGCTTATCTAACAGTGGCATTTCATTATCAGGTGCAATCAGTTGCTTTGGTCGCAATGCTGTGTTCTCTGAAGTGACACATGTTCCCTTTCCCCACTCTAGCCACCCCTTGAGCCCCTCTCTGACGGGCTTTGACACATCACTGTGCAGAAGCTGTTTTCCATAATCTAGTTCTTGCCTCTGGTCATTGACCCTTCAGCCACTTTGGACATGTCTATCCTAGAGTTATTTGACAGGTTTCAGAGTAACAGCCGTGTTAGTCTGTATTCGCAAAAAGAAAAGGAGTACTTGTGGCACCTTAGAGACTAACCAATTTATTTGAGCATGAGCTTTCGTGAGCTCCACGGTATGCATCCGATGAAGTGAGCTGTAGCTCACGAAAGCTCATGCTCAAATAAATTGGTTAGTCTCTAAGGTGCCACAAGTCCTCCTTTTCTTTTTACCCTAGAGTTATGTCGCCCTACGTTACGTCGGCATATGGCCACGGCACTTAGTACATCGCTTGTGCGTGTGCATACCTGGCTGCTTGTGTTGGCGGTGCTCAGGGCCGGCCTTAGGGAAAATGGCACCCTGGGCGAACTTGTATATTGGCATCCCCCCATCACTCCTGGCCCCCACGGGCTCCCTGGGCTTCCCTCCCCCCATCACCTCTGGGCCCCGCTGCCTCCCGCAGTGTTTAATTTGTATTGAAAGAGATGCCAGAGCTGAGCCGTGGCTCAAATTAAGCACCGGCAGGGCGGCCTGATGCTGGCGGGTGCTGGCCGGGCGCCCAGCTCTGAAGGCAACTCCACTGCCAGCAGAAGTGCAGAAGTAAGGGTGGCCTGGCATATGGTGTGTTGCCACCCTTCTGCACCTTGGCTTGTGGTGCCTGATGCTCGGGCATGTGGCTCAAGGCAGGCTTCGCACTGTCGCAGGGTGACTGCATCTTGTCAGAGCCCACGGCCCTCCTGCAGCCCTCTGGCCACCCCTGGCTCACCCAGGGCACTGGTTCAGATTTTGGGGGGTGGGAGGAATCTTTATTCATGATTCCAGGGACTACTTAGGCACCTGAAAACTCTAGGGTTTTTTCAGATAATAATTTAGGGATTAGCTGACAGGAGCACTTTCTCTAATTGTTATATAAAGAAAGAAAAAATATATACAGTACAAATGCCAATTAAAGCCACGTTTAAAGTTTATATGTAAATTTAGAACAATCAGGAGATAATACAGCAAGATATTCCCCATCCCAAGCCTTGAGGTGTCAGTTCACTATCTTTAGTGGAGATAAATAAAAATAAATATAATCTGCTTACCTTCTCTAACAGAAACACTGTGTTACTGCCATTATCTCCTCTGTTCTAGTCAATTGTTGTTCATTTAAAACATATTTCAACATGTGTGAGTAAGGGTTTTTTTCTCTTTTATTAAGAAAGGGAATTAATTTTTCTAATTATCTCGGCATCTATGTTTACTGATCACAATCATGTCTGTGACTCACTAACATTTGACTCCATCATTGCTGTTGATATCAGAGCTGGAACTGCGTTTATTTTCATGCAAATTTTAAGCTATTTTACAGATATAACTAAAAATATAATTTGAACATAAGCCACCTTCATCTGCCCAGTGTCTAAAGTTATGTGTTTAGCTAATGTTTTTTAAACTGGCATTACTAAATGAGTACAAGCTAAAGGTGCATTCTAGGAGGATACTATTATTTGCTTGTACCACTTTAAATAATGAATGACAAAGCACAATATGATAATAACAGTAATAATTATAATTACTCCAACGAGGACAGGTTAGGCATTTTAGAACTCACTACTCAAAGAATTCAATGTAAGCATAAGAAAGAAATAAAATTATGAAATGCACAGACCAGTCAAAAAACTAAAATAACAGCACTTTGAAAGAATAAAATTACAGAGACTATATGTGTATTGCAGGAAGTACCAACAAGTACAAACAACAATATAAGTATGTGTTGGGGGGCGATGAGTGTGAAAGAGACAGCATTTGTGAGCTGCCGGCATGTGTGAGCTGGGGGAGTGTGTGAGAGACCGCGTGCTGCCCCTTGAAGAGAGCTGCACTCAAGAGTCTGAAGGAAAGCTCCTTCAGATACAGCAGTAGCCACCAGCAGCTCCGTCCCTCTCTTGGTGAGCCCTGTCCTCACACACACACCCGCCCCCGCTCTGTGGAGACAGGGTACATGGGCGGGGGGGGGGGGTGGAGGCAGCCTGACATCAGAGCCCCTCCCCGCCCCTTTACAGCAGACAGGAAGTTCCTGGGAGCAGCTGGCTAGGGGCAGCTCCAAGACAGGGGGCAGGAGCCATGGGGTTGAAGATGCCAGCAGGGGGAGGGGCACCCCTGCTCCGGAGGTGCCCCATTTGTAACAGTGCCCGGGCTTGCACCCCATTCACCCATGCCTAAGGCCAGCGCTGGCGGTGCTTGCACTCACCAAGAGCACTTGTACTGATGCAGAGTGAAGTGCACCATGGGTAGGTATCTCACTGGAGAACTCGCCACTATCCAGCACAGGGTCTTTTTGAAAGATTTTGCAATGCTTGATGGCTTTGGTGGAATGACAGTAGAATGAGCCTTTGGTCATTTGAAGGGTCGCTGGCGTAGTTTATTTACCAGATTGGACCTCAGTGAGAAAAATATCCTAATGGTTATAGCTGCCCACGGTGTCCTACATAATATGTGTGAAGCAAAGGGGGGAAAGTTTCCACCAGGTGGATGGTAAAGGTGGAGCGGCTGTCTGCTGAATTTGAACAATCAGATACAAGGGCTATTAGAAGAGATCAACGTGGAGCTATACATCTCAGTGAGGCTTTGAAAGACCATTTTAATAGCAAGCCAGAGTAATGTGTGTTGCTGCAGTGTGCTTTACCTGGCCTTGCTCTTTTGCAGCCTAGTCTGAATCTTGTGCTGATTGCTGTATATGTAGGAGTATTGCATTGTCAATGGACCTATTAATTTTGTTTGTGAATGATGTTATGAGTTGTGTGACACAGTGCAGTAACTGGGAATTGGTCACTTTCAGAACTGATCTGTATCAGCCAGCATATGTTGTGAACCAATAAAGATCAATTATGTTCAAAAATATAAAATGTTATTCTGTAGCATTCAAAAGAAAACCATTTCAAATTTTATAAACCTTAATAAATTTAGCAAACAGAACTTATGAAGGGGAAAGAACAGTCATTTCCATTTCAGGTACACATACATCAACTGGGGCTTTCACAGGTCAGTGTATGTGAAGCTGTGATTGTCTTGTCTATGCACTGACCCCTGATGCCACATGGAATGTTCAGGGGCAGGCCAAGGGAGGTCCTGATATTGAATTCTCTGTGGGCTCCAGAGGAAGGTGAGCATGGGATTGTTGAACCTGCAAGTCCACCAGAGTCTGCAGCATCTCTGTTTGCTGTCTGAGAAACGCAGGCATGTCCTACTGCATGTCCCTCTCCTTCTCCTGCATTTTTTCCCTCTCCCCTCTATCCTTCTCCAGGATGTCTGCAAGAGTGACCCTCCAGGCCCTGTGTTTGTTCTCTCATGCAGCACTGGCTTGCTGGATCTCCTGCAACTTGTCATCCTGAGCCCTCTTCTTTCTCCTCCTTATCTGGCGTAGACATTCATGGGTGAGTAGGAAGAGACCCTGAAGGCTGCAGTGGTAGCAGCTGTAGAGAAAACACACAGAGACACCGTGGTCATTATATTCACAATGGAAATCAAAACTTAAGAGGCGGAACTCACTCCCCTTGCTCTCCAAAAGTTGTAAGCACATTCTCACTTCTGCTTGGGATTGCTTGTGCACAGCACCAGTCACAACCATGGTGAATATGGTCTGTCGGGGTTGGGGAAATGAGGTGGGAATAGCTTGGTTACATGGTTCTAGTTGTATAGGGCAGCAGCACTGAATACTGGCACTGTTTTCCACTGTAATTTTAGCTGATATCTCACTCCTGAGGGTAAGAGGCAGACAGAGCTCAGTGGCTGCTGACATCCCCATGCTGCCTGGGCCTGTATACTGCTAGTCTGAGTGCTGCAATATTGCCTGCTGGAATAATCGCTGAGTGGTATGGGACAGTGTCCTGCTGCAGCAGAAGAAAGAAGGCAGCCCTCCCCAGAAACCTTTGGCAGAGGATTGCAGAGTACCTCCATGGAAGAGTCACTTAGATCTCTATGGAGGGTTCATGGGACATCTTAGTGCACATACACAAACTGCTCCGCATGGCCCCCACTAACTCTAGAGTAAAAATGAATAAATCAAAATATGAGTGCTGCTACTCTGGGGGGCCAGCCTTGTAATTTCAAAGTCAAGTGCACACGTACCCAAGGTTCCTTCCCCTGCATCAGGTTTGCCTGTGCTCGACTGATGGGACTGGCTGGACTGCGGTGGAGTAAAAAACAGGTCCTGGCTTGCTGCAGAGCTGGATCCCCCAGTTGCCTGTCCCCCATACTCCTCTTCTTGCTCCCACCTTCTCCTCCTCACTGTTCGAGGCAGGGGCCTGTGACTCAGGCTCTTCTGAAGTATCCACGGTGCTCTTGGGGATGGTGCTGGGGTCTCTGTCGAGGATGGCATGTAGCTCTTTGTAAAAGCAGCAGGTCTGCATTAGGCCAGGGAGTGGGCAGTCAGGCCTAGGCGATGGAGCCACAGTCAGGCCCAGTGGTTAGGGCCAGAGTCAAGGGTCAGAGCTGGAATCAGAAGCCAGGAACCAGAGCCACGGGTCAGAGCCAGAAGCCAGGAAGGCAAAGGAGCAAATATTCCTCTGTCATAGCAGAGCTGTTGGTGGTGGCATGTCGGCAGCAGTTGCTCAGGAACCAGTTGTTTCTAGCCCTGTAGAGTCTTAGCACATGAATGGGTAAAAATCCTTTTACAGATGGGAAAAGTGAGTCTCAGAGAAACTACAGGCCTGAATTTTCAGAAGTACTGAGTGGGGATACAAGAGCAGAGGGAAGGTTTGTGCTGGAACTTCCACTGTGACTCTCTCAGTAGGCTCACTGGACCATTGAGAACGTAGTTCAGACAGTTATCCACTGCATCTGATTAAATTGTGGACTCTGGTGCTGCAATAGCTTTGTCCCAACAACTCCAGCTGCGTGTTTTGTCCAGGTCGGATTTCTTTGTGGGCAGGATAGTAGCATTCCCTTTTTACTGTGGCTTTAGTCACTCTCAGAAATATCTACCATCTAGCAGGGGGTATTCAGAAACATTTTGAGTGGCTGCTTTCGCATCACAATTAAAAGGGAAAATGTTAACAGGGGCAGTGGCCTGGTAGGAGTCTACTACTGATCACCAAATCAAGAGGAGGAGGTGGATTTCCAGAACTAATAACAGAAATACCCAAAACACAAGAAAGACCTTGTAGTGATGGGGGACTTTAACTACCCAGACATCTGTTGGAAAAGCAATATGGCAAAACACAATATCTCCAGTAAGTTCTTGGAATGTGTTGGGAACAATTTCTTCTTTCAGACGGTGGAGACAGTAACCGGAGGTGGTGGTAGGGCAGCCATTTTAAACTTGATGCTGATTAGCAGGAAGGAACTGCTTGCAAATCTGAAGGTGGAAGGCAACTTGGGTGACGGTGCTCACAAAATGATAGATTTCATGAGGCTAAGGCCTGGTCCACGCTCCAAAGTAGATGGGAGGGAACAAATGCCCTCAAGAACTAAATCTAGGGGATGACTAAGGGGGACATGGGGGACATCCACCAATATCTGGGGCAGATCCTCAGCTGCTGAAAACCAGTGTAGCTCCATTGTAGTCAATAGGACTCTGACAATTTACACCAGTTGAGGATCTGGCCCATGCATCCATATTAAGGAAGCACAGGAAAGGGTTAGGGAGGAGAACCTTTAACTGATGAAAGGAAGATGAACCAAGAAAAAATCAGATTGGATCTCACCTTATTTTCCTCTAGGCGCTTACAAATTGTTTAATCGTTTGTTCCAGTATCTTGCCAGAGATCAAAGTAAGGCTGACTGTCTATAATTCCCCTGATCTTCCTTTTCCCCCTCTTTAAACATAGGTACTCTGTTTGCCCTTCTCCAGTCCTCTGAACCTCACCCATCCCCCAGGAGTTCTCAGAGACAATCACCAATGGTTCAGAGATGGCTTCACCTAGTTCCTTAAGTACCCTAGGGTGCATTGAATCAAGCTCTGCCAACTTGAATACATCGCACTTATTTAAATATTCTTTAACCTGTTTTTTCCTATTCTGGCCTATTTTCCTTCCCCTGATTATTAATATTAATCATGTTAAACATCTGGTCACAATTACCCTTTTTAGTGAAGACCGAAGCAAAAAGGTATTAAACCCTTCAGCCTTCTGTGCCATCTGATAAACTCTCCTTCTGTGTCATTAGCTCTCCTTTCCCATTAAGTAATGGACTTGTACGTTCCTTTGTCCTTGTCTTACTTCTAATCTATTTATAGAACCTCTTTGTCCTGCCTTTTATGTCCCTTGCTAGTTGTAACTCATTTTGTGCCTTATCTGTTCTGATTTCGTCCCAGCATGCGTGTGCTGTCTGTTTGTAGTCATTCTTAGCAATTTGTCCATGTTTCCTCTTTTTGTACAATTTCTGTTTGATTTTCAGGTTATTAAAGATCTCCTGCAGTAGCCATATTGGTCTCATATTATTCTTCCTGTCTTTCCTTCACATCAGGATAGTTTGCCATTGTGCCTTTAATATTGTCTCTTTTACAAACTGCCAGCTCTCCTGAACTCCTTTTCCCCTTAGATTTTCTTCCTATGGGACCTCCTTACCTACCAATTCCCTGAGTTTACTGAAGTCTGCTTTTCTGAAGCCCAGTGCCTTTGTTCTGCTGTTCTCACTCCCTTTCTGCCATTAGAATAACGAACTCTGTTATTTCGTGGCCACTTTCACCCAAGCTGCCTTCCGCCTTCAGATTCCCAACTGGTTCCTCCCTGTGAGTCAGAATCAAATCTAAAATAGTGCCCCCCGGGGTACATCCTCCACCCTTCTGAAACAATATATTGACAGCTCTATTTAATTTAGCCGGAGGAGTGGCGTTTCATGCTTAAAAGCAATTTTAGGGATGTCTGAGAAATATGATGGGGTTTCTCAGTGTAACAGCCACATCGTAGAGGTCCAGGTGCTTCACCACCAAGACAGCAAGCAACCCCTGCCTTCCCTTGGGGCCTGATCAGTTCTGTGGCTGCAATGTGGCTCCCTGTTAACAAACTGCTGTGGGAAGGCACAGGGTGGGATTGCGGTAAACCGGGCAGCTGGAACGTTTCATTAAACCACACCAGCATGGACTGTGACCTGGTGTGATTTTGCCATTTAGGTTAGGTCAGCGCTTGGCTGGGAGACCCCAGGGAGAAGCCAGGTACTGCAGAGAACAGTGTTCCTGAGGCAGGGGTGCCTCTCTTGTATCAGTCAGTATGGAGCAGTCCCCCAAGTTTTTAATTCCCCCAGGATGTCTGCACTGCCAATTCTCTGATCCTCAAGGGTCATTCTAGCCCCAGGACCTTGCACCCCCAGAGGACAAGGCAGGCTTGGAGTCCATGGGGTAATATTTAATCATCATGGCCGGGCGTCCTGACAATGGAGGAAGTTGTAGGAGGCGGTGGCAGATTAACTGCGGGAGCTTTGGAACCTGTGTAGAAGAGTGGGGGCATCAGTGCCGGAACTGTGGCCAGGCTCTCTGCTCCTCTTCTTCTCCCCAAGGATCCTCCCCCTGGCAAGGCTGGAAGCCAGAGCCAGGCCATGGTAAGAGCCGCCCAGGGAGCCCAGTCAGCTGTGGGGAGCTCTGGATCCTCCACCTGCCCTGCGCTCAGGGCCAGGGTGCCCGAGAGCAGCCCCTGGCCCATGTTCCTACCCCTCCTGGCATGCCGCCCAGGGCAGATGGAGAGTCCAGGGCTCCCCACAGCAGTCCAGGGCTCCTTACCATGGCCTGGCTCCGGCTTCCAGCCTGGCCAGGGGGTGGGGCCTCGGGGAGAAGAGGAGGAGCAGGGAGTGGGGCTAACTTAAGGCCCATCTCAGCCCCCCATTGGGAAAAGGGAGGTGCTTTGTGGTGGGGGAGCTGCTCACCCTGCTGCGAAGCGCATCCCCTACTGTTCTGTACCTGTCCGAGGCGAGGAGGGACAGGAGGAGAGGCGCCCTCAGGGCAGCAGTGGCCTATGTGAGTTAAGCTACAGTCCAGTTACCACATCTCCACATCACAAAACCCCGCCATTAGCTAACTGGGTCCCTTGGCGCTCTGCATTTAAGGGGGATCCTTGCTACCACAGCCTTTGTTCGGGCAAAATGCACGTTACCATCCACCTTAAAACGTCCCCTGAAGGTCCCCTGAGGTCGCAGGGCAGTTGCCCCGTTGCATTTCTCCATCCCAGTGGGACATCGTGCCGTGTTTTATTACGGCACGAGGACACAAGTGTCATGGGGAAATTATGTTGACCTGGGAGACAAACTGCTTGGAATGTCTCCTGCTCTGTAACAGGTTGGGGCCGTCTCCTGTGCACCCCCTTGTGGCCACTGGCCGCTCCGGGGCACCGTGCCTCAGTTGCCATCTTCCTCAGGCCCTCAAACTCCACACACTGGGTCAGTGCTGGAGATGTGGCTTAGCCTTCTGGCCAAGCCACAAACAAACACGTCCAACTGAAAAGTCCCAGCACATAAAGGGTTCTTCTGCCCTTCATGGGCTTTTCTTCAGTCTGCCCTCTGGGCCCTGTTCTTAATCCCTTTCTGGGCTACCTTTGAGTCTTCTCCCTGCCCCAGTATAGCGCTCTCAGCCCCCAGGCTAGCTCCACTGGTATCCTGTCTGCGGACGCTGGCTCCATGCCTTCTACAGGAGGGGTCGGGCAGCCAGCCCCCTTCCTGTGATTCCTCTCCTAGCCTGAGCTCTCTCAGTCCTTGTAGAAGGCCCAGGTGTCCATTAAAGCATCAGAGGGCCCCTCTAGTCGCACCCCCTCAGACTGGGTATGTCTACACTGCAGCTGGGAGCGTGCCTCCCGGCCTGGAGAGACACACTCATGCGAGCTCTGCTCAGTGTAGTGTGCTAAAAAGAGCAGTGTGGACTTGGTGGCATGGATGGCGGCCGCCCAGGCTCGGACCCCAGGGGTCTCGGACACCAGTGGCTAGTCTGAGCTGCCGCCTATGCAGCAGCAGCCACATGGCTCTTGTTAGCATGCTGGCTCAAGTAGAGGAAGAGGTATGATATAGTAGAGGAAGTAGCATACCATTTTACAGAAAGGGAAACTGAGGCACCAAGCAACTAAGGCCAAAATATTCTGACTTGGGTAGCTAAAGTAGACCCCTGTATCCATATTAAAGCACTTAAATAAGTAGCCTCATTTGCAGACAGGCTGAGTACCCAGCAACTCCCCCTGAAATCAATAAAATATAATCCAGTTCCATACCATTCAGCACCCAGGTTTGAAAGGTTTGGCCTAGCTCATCTACCCAAGGTCAGACAGTGAGTCAATTACAGAGCTAGGAATGAAGCCAAGCTCTCCTGATTCCCAGTTTTGGATTTCACCACCAACACCCTCCTCCCTGGCCCCTTCAGACAGACGTTGTGTCTGAAGACTGCACAGTGTGTTCTTCTGTTGCTGGACAATCTCACTAGCCTCTCCCACTGCTGAGGGCTCCGCGGCCGACACTTCTGAATCATGTGCTCTCTCCAGGTACTCACCTGGCTCCAACACCTGAACACCTCACGCTCTGTAATGTATTTATCCTCACAGCTCCTGGGAAGGTCAGGACGGGCTATTAGAATTGTATAGATGAGGAATTCAGGCCTGCCTGCAGGGGTTGGGTTTCTGTCCAGGAACCGGGCTTAGTTGCTGGCAGGAATCAGTCTCATGGCAGGAATCAGGCTCACCTTCTCTGTGGCCGGTGTCAGGGTCCTGAGTCCCAAAGAGATCTTGGCTCCAAGGGAGGTTGTGGAATCCCCATCACGGGAGGTTTTTAAGAACAGGTTGGACAAACACCTGTCAGGGATGGTCTAGGGGTTTATTTGGTTCCGCCTCTGCACAAGGGGCTGGACTTGATGACTTCTCAAGGTCCCTTCCAGCCCAGCATTTCTATGATTCTATGAAAATCTTCTCCAGCTCCTCAAAAAATGGACAGGTCACATTACTACGACCAGCACCCCTGGTTTTAATAAAAAGAAAAGGAGTACTTGTGGCACCTTAGAGACTAACCAATTTATTTGAGCATGAGCTTTCGTGAGCTACATAGCAGTGGCCTATGTGAGTTAAGCTACAGTCCAGTTACCACATCTCCACATCACAAAACCCCGCCATTAGCTAACTGGGTCCCTCAGCGCTCTGCATTTAAGAGGGATCCTTGCTACCACAGCCTTTGTTCGGGCAAAATGCACGTTACCATCCACCTTAAAACGTCCCCTGAAGGTCCCCTGAGGTCGCAGGGCAGTTGCCCCGTTGCATTTCTCCATCCCAGTGGGACATCGTGCCGTGTTTTATTACGGCACGAGGACACAAGTGTCATGGGGAAATTATGTTGACCTGGGAGACAAACTGCTTGGAATGTCTCCTGCTCTGTAACAGGTTGGGGCCGCCTCCTGTGCACCCCCTTGTGGCCACTGGCCGCTCCGGGGCACCGTGCCTCAGTTGCCATCTTCCTCAGGCCCTCAAACTCCACACACTGGGTCAGTGCTGGAGATGTAGCTTAGCCTTCACGAAAGCTCATGCTCAAATAAATTGGTTAGTCTCTAAGGTGCCACAAGTCCTCCTTTTCTTTTTGCGAATACAGACTAACACGACTGTTACTCTGAAACCTGGTTTTAATGTAAGTCCGAATGAACTGTTTGTTTTTATCCGGCACTGATTGGTGTCCTGGTTCTGGCCCCTCACAGTCATCTGCTTAGCAATGGCCACAAAAAGAGCTTCCTGTACCGACTCCTCTCCACAGATGTGATGAGATTCAGGGTCTCAGCATGGTTCCAAGCAACTGCTCAAGGCATGCTGTAGAGGCTTCTGGAGTAATATCACAGCAAGGCGGATATACTCAAACCCAGGACCAAGGGGGCAAAGTCTGGCCCCACACCAGATTTTAAATGGGGGACAGGACATCTGGTCAATGTGACCCCAGAGCAGCGGACGGCACACAGGTAAACAGACAGGTCATTAATGGTTGCCTGCAAAGAAATGTGGGATAGTAGTTGGAGGACTGCCAAAGTAATACGCTGCAACATTGCCTGCACGTGAGCAATTGCCTAAACTAACTCAATTTGCAGCAAACGTAGTTCTCTTTGAAAGAGGGCTCCTGTGTCCTTGATAAATCCAGAGTTTTAGTGGACTATAATGAATTGCATCGTGTGTACGCAAGTATTTTCAAACTGGTTTAACTCCCCCCAATCCTATGTCGACAAGCAGGCCTGGGCTGTATCCAAAGCCCAGTGAAGTCAGTGGGAATCTTCTGATTAACTTTAAAGGGCTTTGGGGCAGACCCCAAATAACTTGTTCAAGATGTGCAGGCTGTCCATGGCAGTGTAGGGCACTGAACCCATGGCAGAGCACTAACCACTGGGCCAGGCTTCCTCTCCAATCACAAATAAGCATGTGAGGTCTTTAAAATCATTTTGTGGTTCCCATCTTGTGATGAATGAAGCCCGGCTTGCTATTTCCTGGGGAGAGAAACACAGCTTCGCCAATGCTTATCACACGGTTTGTCCAAACTGATGCCTCATGGTCCATATAAGCTGATGCTGCACAGTCCATATAAGCTGATGTCACTGATATAATATTTAGCACTTTATTCTCAAAGTGTTTTGCCAGCAGTAACTGCTCAGATACTACAGAGATGAATGCCATGGATATGCCTATAAATAAATATTAATGACCCGGATCCTGAGCTGTGCTTCAGACGCTTGCTCCTGGGGCTGTTTTATATCAGCTACCCATGGCCCCAAGGGGCCTTTCCAGTAGCCAGGGATCAGCATAACATAGGGATGCCTGTGCCACCCCCTGTTTTCTTGGCTATGTTCTCTGCTAAGATGGGGGCATGTAAGAAACATTATGGTGGCTCTATGCCCCCCCAAGATATTCCCCTACACAGCCTTATACTGGGCTTCACAAGCCATAGTTAACCCTCCTGGCATCCCCCTGAGCTGAGAGGCAGGCGGAATTAGCTCCGTTTCTCAGGGGGAGGAAGTGAGGCACACAGAGCTTAAGTGATGTGCCCAAGGCCGCAGAGCATTGTGTTGCAGAGCCAGGACCAGGAGCTGGCTTAGCTCCTAGCCCCATGCTCAGGACACACCTCTCTCTGACGGACCCCCCCAACGACATGACACTGAGCTCCAGCTACTGACACACACAGACCATTTCTGGGCCCGGGGGCTGCTTTCTGCTGCAGCTGGGGAGGCGTGACGTTCCCATTGCATGCCTCCTACTGAGCTTGAGAGCCCCAGCCCTCGGTCCTACCAGGAGAGAGAGGCCTGGCTTGGCTTAATGGAGGGGTGCCAGGGCCTGGGAACGCTTTGGGGTTTACCTGAGAGTAGTGTGGGACCCAGAAGTCTGTTGGCAGGAGCCCAGCTTCATCGCTGTCCTCGTGCGGCAGGCCGAAGATCCAGGCTACCCCAGAGGAGGGTAAACAGGGTGCTCATCGGGAAGCCTAGAAATCCGTTTGCCAGGGGGAAAAAGGTGGAATTTGCATTTTTACAGAGAATCTTGAGTTTTTACATTGTGTGAAAAAATAAAAGCCTGTGTTAACAAGTCACTATTTTTTACTGACAGCACCTGTGTCCCCTAGTGAGTGCAACCTCCCCCTCCTGGGGTCGATTTTTGAAGGTGCTTTGAATGTACAGCGGAGCCCCGTTTATCTGCTGGACCTGGGCCCGGATGGATAACCAAAACTCGGGAGAACCGGGAGAACCGGCAGAGAGCTTTCCATCCTTTGTCCTCAGATTCTGACCGCTCCCGGCCCAGTTGCTGTCAGCCCAAGGAGGCCGGTGGTTCGGGTCATACAGGAGCCGGATAACGGAGGCTCCCATCAGTGGGGTTCTCCGGGGCATAAGGAACACATTGTGTTCAGCAGGGATACCTGGATATGGACATCTGTGGCTAGGGAAACTCACGTTCACTTTAAACCTGGAAAAACACGGATTTTTAGGGGTGAATTTGAGGGGTTTATCACGGAAGATCCCGATCCCCGGTGATCCGGTTTCGCACGCCTGGGGCCGCCCCAGCGATCCGGTTTAGCAGGCTGGGGCCGCCTGGCGCTCTTGGGCTCGATGATCCGGCGCCCCCTCCCGGCCGAGGCATTGCAGTGACCCGGGCTCTGTGCCATGGCCGCATGCCCGGAGCTCGCCCCGCCGCGCCGCTTTGTGTCCAGACCTGTGCGCGGCTGGTGCGGGCAGATCCGGAGACATCCCGGGTTCCGCGCTCCGCACATCGCCCGGCTCCGGCTCCGGCTCCGACCTCTCCCCGCTCGCCAGCCTTTGTCTCCGTCCGCACCCGCCTCTCGCCCCCGCCCCCTGCTCCAGTTCCAGCCGGTGCGCGCCTGAGCCCGGCTGCGGCTGCCCTGGGGAGCGGAGCCGCCGAGCGGGGCGGAGGAAGGTGGAAACCCCCCCGCTGGAGCCGGAGCCGGAGCGCGGCTGTCTGCGGCTGAGCAGCCCTGGCCGCTTTGCCATCTGCCAGCCAAGCCTTTCTCCGCCCGCGGCCCGTCCGCGGGGCACCAGGACAATGCCTGGAGGGGCCTCGGCTCAGGTAGGGCATTTTACAATCAACTTCCCCGGTGTGGCCGCGGAGGCGGGTGCGGGGCGATGCGCCGCGCCTACTGGCAGCCGGGGCCGTTCCCCTCTGCACCAGGTACATCAGGGATGCGTGCAGACAGGTCCGGAGTGCCCGGAGCGCCGGACCCTGGAGGCACACGCAGACTGGCTGGCTAGCTACAGATAGGGCTCCTAGCCACAGCATCTGAGCCTCTCCCAAGGGTTTTAACCAAACAAGTAACAGTAACAATGTCTTCCTTCCTAGCCTATGGGGGGAAAGAACTCGATTTATTCAATTGGGGGGGGGGGCATATGTTTGTTTATGTGAAAAACTCCTTAAGGGACCAATAATGGAACAGTTCTAAAGCTACCAGCAGGATTTGAACCTGGGTGCTTCAGAACCAAAATAGGAGAGGCCACCACTTGAGTGGAAGGGGCAGCACTATTACATGGTAGCAATAGAAGGCTATTATCCTCTATGCAAATCAGCCACTGGCAGGAGGGGAGCACACTTCATAAGCATATTGCATTAGGATGTGGTATGAGTTTTGCATGGGAGGCACAGTGCACCGAGGCAGAAGATTGGTGCATACTCAGTGCAAGAGAGAATATCAGAAGAATTTGCGAGACACTGGGGAGGGTCAGTAGGTGTGCATTGCACCTGGGAGAATTACAGTTCACTGGGTCCATGTGAACTGAAAAGATTGGAAACAGAAAAGGGACCAGATAGGAATAATCCGTCTGTGAAATCAAAAGATAAGGGCAGGAGAAAGGATGACCTTGCGGCAGCTGTCTGGGGTTTTTCTCTGGAGCTGAGTTAGTAACTGGGTTTTTGGGTCGGTGCCCAAACCGAAACAGCCAGAAAAAAATCTCATTGGCTTCATACCAAAGCTGAATTTTAAAAAAAATTCTCAGCAAAATGAAAAACACAGAAATTTCATCTGGGTCCAACTAAAGATTTCAAATGTCGATTGGAAATAAGATTTGGTTTGGAAATAGTCATTTCAGAACGAACTCGCCAAACGCTTCAAAATGTTCCACCGTTTCTGAAATGTTTGTTCGTTTTGGGTTTTTGTCCAAAACTATTAATTGAATTCGACTCACATCCACAAATCATTTCGGTGCCCTGGAAAAATGCCTTTTCCAGAAAATTCACTATTTGCCAAAAATATGTTGCCTGCATCTAGTTGTCTCCCAGCACCTCTCGTGCCAAGCAGAGGGGGGACTTCCAAGCCATCCTGCACTTCAGAATGGCCTGGACCCATCTGAGTAGGACACCTCATCACAGCAGCTAAGAGGAAGAAGAAGGACTTTGAAAATTATGGTGATTTGGGGTAACAAAAAAATGCTGTAGGAAAAGGTAAGGCCGGGCGTGAATGCAGGGGATGAAATCAATGAGGGCTCCACAATGGCTCGCCTAATAACGTGCTGCTTAAATCTGGCCATCGGTCAGAAAATTACCAAAGAGGAGGTGTGGTCGCCGAGGCTGGAGCTGTCGATGGACAGCAGGAGACGGGATACATGCAGAGAATCAGAATATATACAAAGCAGCTCATCCAGATAACATGCATTGTAAGGCTTGAAAGGAATTCGCTAATGACCCTAGAGGCCTGAGCAGACAGGAAGAAGGTAGATCTTGGTGCATTGAAAAAGAGAGAAAGCTTAGCAATCGCTGTGTGGTTTGTCACACTTTAATCTCTAGCAATGTCTACTGCTATATGGATAGATATTGATGGTAGCCTAGAGACTGACGTCAAGATCTGAGCCCCATTGCGCTAGGCACTGTAAAGACATGTGGTAAGAGATGGTCCCCTCCACCAGAGGTTACAGTCTAAATAGACAATGCTGGGGAGGGGAAACAGACAGGAGGTGTTTTGCCCAAGGTCACGCAGCGTGTTGCCAGGAATAGACCCCAAATCTCCTTCATTTCAGTCCAGTTCTCTCTCCACTGGATGACACTACCTTTCCTCAATGGAAGGAATATTAAGCGTTAAAAACCCTGTAAGCAACTGGAGGCTGGTGGAACCATGAGCAATAGGCAGCGAGGGCTAATAAAGAACCAATCACGCCAGACAAATGTTATTGCTTTTATTCGGATGAATTCACAAAAGTAGCGGCTGTCAGGAGCTCACTGGCAGCAGTGAAATTAGACGCTAAGGGAGCCTAAGTGCAGGGTGTCACGAAAACTTAAGTTTACCACTAATTGGAACTGGTTTGGCCACGGAGGTATGGCTTGGAAATAGGGGGTGCAGTGGGGTGGGGTTATAAACGGAAATTAAGGGGACTGCGTCACAACGCCAGGTGAAGCTGGAGAGAGATACTCAGGAGGGTTTTGCTGGGCTTGATTTTAGGCTGGGTTTTAGTTACGGCGTGTTTCATGATCTGGAAAAAGAGGGGAGAGGCCCACAAACTGCATGCACCAATGGCATTGCAATGGGAAGCCTTTTCAACGCCAGGGAGGACAGAGGAGGATATGAAGGGGCCTAGAGAGGTCGGTAGGCTGGGCTGGAACCCCACAACTGCCAGGGACAGGTGGTGACTGAAGCAGCAGGTGCTGAGCGTTTGGTGCTTGTGATTGCAGGTGCCGGTGACGTTCGATGATGTCGCCATCTATTTCTCCCGGGAGGAGTGGGAGATGCTGGCGGAGTGGCAGAAGGAGCTGTACCAGGAGGTGATGAGGGAGAATTATGCAAATCTGATTTCTCTGGGTAAGGATCAGCCTTCGTTGTTTTACTGGGTGCAGCAGGATCATTGAAATCCCTGGGCTGTCTTTAGTCTATTATTATTCATTATTTGTTTTACAGTAACCCCTAGGGGCAACCAATCCAGGATCAGAGCCCCACTGTGCCAGGTGCTGTATACACTGGCTTTAAAAAGCTAGTCCGTGCTCCAGGGAGCTCCCAGTCCTAGGATAAGTCTTGCCTACTAAGCATGCAATGGCCCAGATCATCAGCTGATGCAAAGGTCCGTAGTTCCATTGAGGTCAATAGAGCTATACTGATTGATCCCAGCTATGGTTCCGACCCCTGGCGTGGCATCCCTGGGGAAAGACAGTGTGCTCCTGAGGGTCAGTAACAGACGACCACCCCCGAGTGATGCTGCACCCCGTGCTGCTCCAGCCTTGACCCTCTAACCTCTTGCATGTGGGAAGCACAACCCTTTCTAATGCTGCGGTCACTGATGTGAGCCTCCGGCACCTACCCAACCCCCACAGAGGCTTCCTGTCTGAGCCCCACTTGGTAAAACAGGAAGCCTCGTTCTTGGAACCGCTCCGCAGCAAAGCAGGACACTGGAAAGCAGACAGGCGCTTTCGGCCCTCAGTGCTGCTCTGTTATCAGTGGAATGAGTCACAAGCAGAAGCAGGTCATTTCTCAGTTTTCCCGAATGGAGGGAGAGAAATTCGCCCATCACATGGCTAAAGGACCAGACGTGTCCCGCTCATGGTAGGGGAGTGGACTGCTATAGACCAGCAAATCGGGAGGAGGAGGTATTTTTAGAACAAATAACAAAAGCATCCAAAGGACAAATCCCAATGGTAACGGGGGACTTTAACTCCCCAGACAGCTGTTGGCAAGGCAATATGGCAGGGCACAGACTCTCCTAACAGCTTGGAATGTGCTAGGGAGAACTTTTTGTTTCTGAAAGTGGAGGAAGTAACTAGGGGGCTGCCATTTTAGATTTGATGCACGATTTGTACGCATGATTTCTCCCTGTCATATAAGAGGCTAACAACAAAAACAGCACCCCGAGCCCAGCGCCGCTCAGGCCTAGCACTCCAGGCTGTCGCCTGGGTCACCTGCCCCTAAATCCAGGCCTACCACAGAACACCCTGCCATAACAGAAGGAGGGGGTAAAACGTACTTTGTTGCGGGTGGGATGGGGTGGGCAAAAAAACAGACTGTGGGAGTTTGCAGGAAAACACTACATCTCTTGTCAGTTTACTAAGAGTAGCCTATTTGGGAAATTGCTCATTTTGGGAAATTGCTCATTGCTCAATTGTTTGAGTTTCTCTTTCCCAGCCGTGTTTATTTCCCTCACTCCGAAGCCGGTGCAGTACACCAGCCCAAGTCAGGGCCAAGAATCACACTCCTGGGTCGTGCTGTTCTGTGATGCCACATATGCGCACTCAGTCCCTGGTGTATCAGCTTGCTGCCAGGGCTGTGAGCAGTTTTTCCGTTAAATGTTTTTTGAAAAGCAGTAATAATCCTGACACATAAATAACTTGAATGGGATGTTTCAAAGTTCTCAAATCGGTGCTCAGAGTCCAATATAGCTGCCTCAGGAGATCTTTAATGACCTGAAAATCAAACAGGACTTGCACAGGAAGAGGAAACATGGACAAATTGCTGAGGATGACTCTAAAAAGACAGCACCCGCATGCAGGGACAAAACCAGAAAGGCTAAGGAACAAAATGAGTTCTAACTAGCAAGGGACATGAAGGCATTAGGAAGACATTAATAAATAAATACATCAGCAGTCACAGAACACAAAGGAGAGTGTGGGTCCAGTACTTAATGGGGAAGGTTTTGCTTCAGTCTTCACCGAAAAGGTTAATAATGACCAGATGTTTAACACAATTAATATTAACAACAGGGGACAGGAACACAAGCAGGAAGAGGGAAAGAACAGGTTAAAGAATATTTAGATAAGTGAGATGTATTCCAGTCAGCTGAGCTTGATGAAATTCACCCCAGGGTACTTAAGGAAGTAGCTGAAGCAATCTCTGAACCATTGGTGATTATTTTTGAGGACTCAGGGGGGACGGGTGGGGTCCTAGAGGACTGGAGAAGGGTGAACATATAGCCGATATTTAAAATGGGGAAAAAGGAGGATCCAAGGAATTATAGACCAGTCAGACTAATTTCGATACCTGGAAAGATACCGGAATAAATTATTAAACCCATCAATCTGTAAGCCTCTAGAGGTGGTGAAGATGATAAATAATAGCCAACATGGATTAGGCAAGAACATATCATGCCAAACCAATCTAATTTCCTTCTTTGATAGGGAAATCTGCCTAGTAGATGGGGGGAAGCAGTAGATGTGATATATCTTGACTTTATAAAGGCTTTTGGGACATCCCATGTGACATTTTCATTAGCAAATTAGGGAAATGTGGTCTAGATGAAATTACTATAAGGTGGGTGTAGAACTGGTTGAAATTCCGTACTCAGAGTAGTTATCAATGGTTCGCTATCAAACTGGGAGGGTGTCTCTAGTGGGATCCTGCAGGTGTCCGTCCTGGATCTGGTACTAGTCAGTATTTTCATTAATGACTGGATAATGGAGTGTAGAGTGTGAAATGTACAGATGACACCAAGCTGGGAGGGGTTGCAAGCACTTTGGAGGACAGGATTAGAAATCAAAACAACCTTGACAAATCGGAGAATTGGCTGAAATCAACAAGATGAAATTCAGTAAAGACAAGTGCCAAGTACTACACTTAGGAAGGAAAAATCAAATGCACAGCTACAACACGGGGAATAACTGGCTAGGCAGTAGTATTGTTGAAAAGGATCTGGAGGTTGGACTGGATCAGACTGAATTGAATATGAGGGACACAGGGTGGGTGAGGTAATATATTTTATTGGACTAACTTCTGTTGGTGACAGAGACAAGAAGTTGGTCCAGTAAAAGATATTATCTCACCCACCTTGTCTCTCTAATATCCTGGGACCAACGCGGCTACACCACATCCCGCTTTGCTCAGCACTGGTGAGGCCCCAGCTGGAGTTCTGTGTCCAGTTTTGGGCACCACAATTTAAGAGATGTGGGAAAACTGGAGTGGGTCCAGGAGAGCGACAAAATGATGAAAGGTTTAGAAAACCTGACCTACGGGGAAAGGTTGAAAAAATTGACGTGTTTAGTCCTGAGAAGATGGGGGCAGGGGAAGGGGGATGGACCTGATAACAGTCTTCACATATGTAAAAAGCTGTTATAAAGAGAACCGTGATCAGCGGTTCTCTATGTCCATTGAGGGTAGGACAAGTGGTAATAGGCTGCATTTGTAGCCAGGGAGATTCAGATTAGATATTAGGAAAAACTTTCTGAGGATGGCTCAGCCCTGGAACAGTGACCTCGGGAGGTTGTGGAATCCCCATCATTGGAGGTTTTTGAGATCAGGTTGGACAAACACCTGTCAGGGATAGTCTGGGTCTACTTGGTTCTGCCTCAGCGTGGGGGCTGGACTAGATGACTTCTTGAGGTCCCTTCCAGCCTGACATCTCTAGGATTTGGGAAAGCATATGCTGGCTTGAGTGGGACTTACGTTGTGCCTCAGCCACATGCTGGCCCCCTGCACAGGGTAAATTTCACCATTTCGAAATCGCTTTAAGATTGTTGCTAAAAAATCCACCTTCTGCTGTTACTGTGCACGACTTTGAGAGGGTCAACAAGCACGTGGACAAGGGGGATCCAGTGGATACAATGTACTTAGATTTCCAAAAAGCCTTTGACAAGGTCCCTCTTTGACAAAGGCTCTTAAGCGAAGTAAGCAGTCATGGGATAAGAGGGAAGGTTCTCTCATGGCTCGGTAACTGGTTAAAAGACAGGAAACAAAGGGTAGGAATAAATGGTCAGTTTTCAGAATTGAGAAAGGTAAATAGTGATACCCCCCCACCCCCGGGGGTCTGTACTAGGCCCAGTCCTGTTCAACATATTCATAAATGATCTTGCAAAAGGGGTAAACAGTGAGGTGGAAAAATTTGCAGATGATACAAAACTACTCAAGATAGTTAAGTCCCAGGCAGACTGCGAAGAGCTACAAAACGATCTCTCAGAACTGGGGGCCTGGGCAACAAAATGGCGGATGAAATTCAGTGCTGATAAATGCAAAGTAATGCACATGGCACAACATAATCCCAACTCTACATAGAAAACGATGGGCTCTAAATTAGCTGTTACCGCTCAAGAAAGATCTTGGAGTCATTGTGGATAGTTCTCGGAAACATCCACTCAAGGTGCAGCAGCAGTCAAAAAAGCAAACAGAATGCTGGGAATCATTAAGAAAGGGATAGGTAAGATGACAGAAAATATCCTATTGCCTCCATATAAATCCATGGTACGCCCACATCTGGAATACGGTGTGCAGATGTGGTCGCCCCATCTCAAAAAAGTTATATTGGAATTGGAAAAAGTTCAGAAAAGGGCAACAAAAATGATTAGGAGTATGGAATGGCTTCCGTATGAGGAGAGATTAATAAGACTGGGACTTTTCAGCTTGGAAAAGAGACAACTAAGGGGGGATATGACAGAGGTCTATAAAATTCTGACTGGTGTGGAGAAAGTAAAGAAGGAAGTGTTATTTACTCCTTCCCATAACACAAGAACTAGGGGCCACCAAATGAAATTCATAGGCAGCAGTTTTGAAATAAACAAAAGGAAGTATTTTTTCACACAACGCACAGTCAGTCTGTGGAATTCATTGCTAGAGGATGTTGTGAAGGCCAAGACTACAACAGGATTCAAAAAAGAACTAGATAAGTTCATGAAGGACAGATCCATCAATGGCTAATAGCCAGGATGGACAGGGATGGTGTCCCTGGCCTCTGTTTGCCAGAAGCTGGGAATGAGCGACAGGGGATGGATCACTTGATGATTACCTGTTCTGTGCGTTCCCTCTGGGGCACCTGACACTGGCCACTGTCAGAAGACAGGATACTGGGCTAGATGGGCCTTTGGTCTGACCCAGTGTGGCCGTTCTTATGTTCTTATCACTCTCAAAACATTGTGGGCCAGACTCATTCCTGATGTTCAGGGAAGTCAGTGGAGCTACTCCAAGGATACATGTGAGTCTAGGATTTTCCTTCAGTTTATCCAAGAGACGGTTAAGAGATGCCTAGATCACAATCTCTGAGAACCTCCATGGAGAGGAGATTTTTGATAGTAGATGCCTCTTTAACCTAGCAGACAAAGGCCGAATGGTAGGTGAAGCAAGGGAAATTCAGGTTATAAATAGGTCACACATTTTGTAACAGACAGGGTAATTAGCTATTGGAATAACTAACCTAGGGATGTGCTCACTTCACCATCACTTGAAGGCTTTAAATCAAGACTGGATGTCATGCTAAAAAGCATGCGTTAGCTGGCCCAGAAGTTTTGGTCTGGATGTAGAAATCACTTGGTGAAATTCTCTGGCTTGTGTTCTGTAGGAGGTCAGACTGAAAGATCGGAATGATCCCTTCTGGCCCTAAAATCTATGACTCGTTACCACCACCCCATCCATAAATAATGCCTGGACTCTTTTCTCCGTCCAGCAGGGGACTGGCCCAGGCAGAGAAGCAAGAAGAAAAATGAGGAGGAATGTGCTGAAAAGTTGGAAGCCCCTGAGCTTCCGACTGGAATCGGCTTGGCCAAAGGCTCAGAGAAGGCAAAGATCTGCAGCACTCGGATCGCCTGCGTCCCAGAGCCAAGCAGCGAGGAAGGCGGCTGGCTGGGGCAGCTTGTTGAAGGTGGAAGAGGGAACAGCCACTGCATGCGGCCCAGTGGGAATCAGGGACCCAAGAAAAGGGCGAGACCACACAAGTGCGATGAGTGCTGGAAAAGCTTCACCTGGAGATCGGAGCTGGTTCAGCACCTCAGGACTCACACCGGGGAGCGGCCGTATAAGTGTGCTGAGTGCGGGAAGGGCTTCAGTCAGCACGTCAACCTGACCATCCACCAGCGTATCCACAGCGGCGAGCGGCCCTACCGGTGCAGTGAGTGTGGGAGGGGCTTTACCCAGCATATCAACCTGACCCTCCATCAGAGAATCCACACTGGGGAGCGCCCGTACCAGTGCTGTGAGTGCGGGAAAAACTTCATCCGCAAATCCAACCTGGCCAAGCACCAGAAGATCCACACGGGCGAGAAGCCCTTCCAGTGCGCCCAGTGTGGGAAGAGCTTCGTGCACAAGTCCGGCCTGGTGTCGCACCACAGGACCCACACAGGGGAGCGGCCGCACCAGTGCGAGGCGTGTGGGAAACGCTTCGGCCACAAGTCGGGCCTGCTCTCGCACCGGAAGACCCACACGGGCGAGCGGCCCCACCAATGTGCCCAGTGCGGGAAGAGGTTCCGGCATAAGTCAGGCGTGGCCTCACACCAGAGCACCCACACGGGCGAGCGGCCTCACCAATGCTCCCAGTGCGGCAAGCGGTTCTCCCGCACCTATGAGCTCGTCTCCCACCAGCGCCTGCACACGGGGGAGCGGCCCTACCCATGCGCCGACTGTGACAAGAGCTTTGTGCGCAAATCTAACCTGGTGAAGCACCAGCGTGCGCACACGGGGGAACGGCCGTACCAGTGCGGCCAGTGCGAGAGGAGCTTCTCCCAGAGGTATGAGCTGGTGGCTCACCAGATCACCCACACTGGGGAGAGCCCCTATACCTGTGCCCAATGCGGGAAGATCTTCAGCCAGAAGTCAAACCTCGTGAAGCACGAGCGCATCCACACCGGCGAGAGTCCCTTCCCCTGCACCCAGTGCGGGAAGAGCTTCAGCCAGCGCGCCAACCTGGTGAAACACCAGCGGATCCACACCGGGGAGCGGCCATTCCAGTGCGCCCACTGCGGGAAGAGCTTCAGCCAGAAGTGCGAGCTCGTGTCGCACGAGCGGATCCACACTGGGGAGCGGCCATTCCAGTGCACCCACTGCGGGAAGAGCTTCAGCCAGAAGACGAGTCTGATCGCTCACCAGAGGATCCACATGGGTCAGCGACTGAGTGAATGTGCCCAGGGCGATGCCCTCCCATCCAGCTCTGTCTGGCATTCCAGCTGATGCCATGGGGGGCTGACGTGCAGATCAAGGGTGGCGCTGGGTATGGATCCATCAGTAAATATCTTCTTGCCTACCAGGGAGCAAACAAGGGAGGAACTAGGGCTTTCAAGTGGGGACAGCTTGAGATTTCCAAACACATCCGAGAAAGATTTGAAATGGCTCCTTGAATCTCCCTTGTCAGGAGAGGGTGGATATTTCAAACCTGTCTTCCGGTTAACAATCAGCAGATTGGGAAACACCATGTAATTGTTGAGAAGTCCAGGAAACATCTGGCAAAGCAGGAACCATGTTGAATAGCAGAGTGTTCCCCCAGGAGAAGAGGGGGCAGATTTGGAAGACGCAGGGCTGATTCAAACCTTGGGTTTTCCAAATGTCTGATGATGAACCTTGTGAGCTTGACTGACTCTCAGGAAGACTGTAAGATGGGGGTAGACCCCTCATCAGTACCCTCAACTAGCCAATGGGAACATGGAGGGCTGGAAGGGGTGGAGAATGATTAATGGGGTATGAAGAACAGCTGGTCAAATAATATTCAGCAAATATATGATCTGGTTCTTGTTGAGCAATGAATCAAAGAAGTAACTTTTTGAAGCGTTCATTCAGCTGTTGAAAACTGTTCCTCAAAGAAATTATATGGGGCCAGGTTCACAAAGGTGTTTAGATGCGTAAAGATGCCGATAGGTGCTAGTGAGATTGACAACAGCACCTAGTGAGTCAGGCACCCCACTCCCCTTGACTCTCAGTGGTATCTCTGGCCCAGGTCCTCAAAAGTAGTTATGCACCTAACTCCCAGTGGGAGTTATACTTGGAGGATCTGGCTGGAGGCACCTAACCTGCTTAGGAACTTTTAAAAATTCTTGTATGCGCTTAGCTGCATCTCTAGACACCGAAATGCTTTTGTAAATCTGGCTGTTGACCAGGGCTGGCCATACCATGAGGCAATCTGAGGCAGCCACCTCAGGTGCCAGACTGGGGGCGGGGCGGCACCACTAGGACCCAGAGTTTCAAAGTTTTGGCCCAAGAGAGGGGGCATAGGGGCGTCATTTTGAGCTCCCCGCCTCAGGTGCCAAAATGTTGTGGGCCGGCCCTGCTGTTGACCAATAACAGCAAAGGCCAGTGCGTAATGCTGAGCCCTTTCCCTGGTCTTCTCCCAGAGGCAGTTCTATTTCTGTGTGGCAGGTTTAATCACATCCTGGTGCGATCAAAAGCCATTATGCCTGATGCTCTTTCAGTGGTGAGTAAGAAATAATGTCAAAACTATCCCAATAATAGTTATTTCCTGGATGCTGAATTGATTAAACTTATCCCAACTACTTCATATATATAAACCCGTTCTTTCAAAAACATCAGTAAAGGAGGACACTGCCCTGATTATGTGGAAATATATATGCTATGACATGGCTAAGATCATGAAACCATGTGTTCTGATAGCCTTCTCTCCAGTGTGGTCCCCACACATAACCCATTAACTGAGAGACTCTTTTCAGAACCATTGTTTTAAATTAACAGTATCAACTGGATTTAAATTGGTGTCTTCTTTAGCCCAAAGAGGAAGTTATATTTTCTTCTGATCTGTCTGGATAAACTTAACACAGTGGCCTCAAACTTGTAAAACTGCCTCTCAGGCTGGTATTCCTCTCTGCGCTCCTCACACGTGATCTGACTCACCTCTTTAATGAATGCTGTTTCCTTTTTATTTATGCACTGATCTAATTATTTCCATTATGTACCATATAAAAAAGCCTTCCCCGTGTTAATAGATGCCTTTTTAAAGCACAACGTGCAGTTCAAAGATAGGAAAATTCTTCACGGTCTTTGACTCATTGGCTTTTTTTGGTCTGCTTTATGTTTTGCTTCCTGTAGTGTAACTTCCATGTCTTGCTGCCTGCACGGAGGCCTTGGTGTGGAGCAGGGAGCTGGCTTGGTTTGAACTCTGCAGTCCTTATTGCCCAGGGGTTGGGTTATAATTTGGGTATGATTCTGTAAGTGCTCCGTGCCCGGGAGTCTGGTTGACTCCGAAGACAGTTCTGTGATTGGAATGCTCATGGGACTGGGGCCTGGTGTTTCAATTCCTCTTAGCCATGGATGGCTCCCACCTCTACGTCACCTTCTCATCTGACAGGAATGCTGTGACTTCCATTACGCCGGAATGGAGAGCTGGGCAAGGAGCAGCCGGCAAACGCTCAATCCAGACAAGGCACAGAGGTGATGCAAGTGGACAGGGGAAGTGTTTTGAGGAACTGTTTGCAAAGGTGACCTGGCCCTTCACTGACAGAGTACGTTTACCCTGCCACTCACAGCAGAATCCTGCTTGGTTACTCATTGCTCTTGAGTTTCAGCTAGCTGCGGGGATCAGAAAAGCCAGCTGCTACTTCCCATTAGCCAAACAATTATGCTCATTCCTTTCTGATGTGGACCCAGCCACAGAGACCCAAGAATGTGTTGCAACCTTCTCTATCTGGGCTTACCAAGGAGCTGCATCTTCTAAGCAAAACTGTCTGGCATCAGTCAAACAATGGGTCCATTTCTAGGTGCTTGCCCTGAATGGGCTAGAGTCCAGAGACCTCTGGGACCACCTGTCTTCTCCATTCCCCGCTATCCTTCCTACACTCAGCGGGGACGCTGAGGGTGACAGAGCCCAGATTTCATCTTGTGGCAGCAGAAGAACAAGGTTCTTGGTGAAAAGCCCACGCTTGTGACAACCACTTCCCCAGCACATCAGCTCGATACACACATCTCACTACCTCGAAAGGATGCTGTAAGAAGACACCTGCTTAAACTAGCATTTCCCCATGCAACCAGGTTGTAACGACGCCGTTCTCACACATCATCAGCTACCAGTGTCAGAAAACAGATTAAAGGGAGAAAGGTTCAGAGTTTTACCTCCTACATGTAAAATGAAGGCTCAATACCCTGAGTCACTCCGCCCCTAGCGATGAGTGAGACAGCAATACCTACGGATAAATGAAATCAAATAGTGCATTCAGGGAACAATGCCAAAGCCTCCTTGTCGCTAACTTCACCATGTCAGTTCAGATACAGGGCAAGAACAGGCTGTGTAGCTGAGTGGACAAGGTCTCTGGATCAAATTCTTCCTGGACATAAGCAGACAAAACTCCCATTGAAATTGCTGGGAGTTGCCACCACTCACACCAGAGTGGGACTGGATTTCGGGGCTTGCAAAGGTGGTGAATTCAAATCCTGTTACTTGAGGATACTTTCTTGTCTTGGCATCAGATCAACTGTTATGTTTTCACTACTTAATTATCATCATCAACCAAAAATGTGACTTTATCCTTCAAACACTTAGTATCTGGAGTGATGCTTTCTATCATGTAGGCAGTTCTCCTCCTGTCGTGAATATTTACGGGATCAGAGTCTTGCTTTGTGTTCAATGAAAGTATTTAAATAGTTTTCAGAGTAACAGCCGTGTTAGTCTGTATTCGCAAAAAGAAAAGGAGGACTTGTGGCAACTTAGAGACTAACCAATTTATTTGAGCATGAGCTTTCATGAGCTACAGCTCACTTCATCGGATGCATACCGTGGAAAATACAGAAGATGTTTTTATACACACAAACCATGAAAAAATGGGTGTTTATCACTACAAAAGGTTTTCTCTCCCCCCACCCCACTCTTCTGCTGGTAATAGCTTATCTAAAGTGATCACTCTCCTTACAATGTGTATGATAATCAAGGTGGGCCATTTCCAGCACAAATCCAGGTTTTCTCCCCACAAACCCACTCTCCTGTTGGTAATAGCTTATCCAAAGCGATCACTCTCCTTACAATTGGCGAAAAGAAAAGGAGGACTTGTGGCACCTTAGAGACTAACCAATTTATTTGAGCATAAGCTTTCGTGAGCTACAGCTCACTTCATTGGATCCTTACAATGCGCACGATAACCAAGGTGGGCCACTTCCAGCACAAATCCAGGGTTTAACAAGAACGTCTGAGGAACAGTGGGGGAAAAAACAAGGGAAAATAGGTTACCTTGCATAATGACTTAGCCACTCCCAGTCTCTATTCAAGCCTAAGTTAATTGTATCCAATTTGCAAATGAATGGCAATTCAGCAGTCTCTCGCTGGAGTCTGGTTTTGAAGTTTTTCTGTTGTAATATCACAACTTTCATGTCTGTAATCGAGTGACCAAAGAGATTGAAGTGTTCTTCGACTGGTTTATGAATGTTATAATTCTTGACATCTGATTTGTGTCCATTTATTCTTTTACGTAGAGACTGTCCAGTTTGACCAAGGTACATGGCAGAGGGGCATTGCTGGCACATGATGGCATAGATCACATTGGTAAATGTGCAGGTGAATGAGCCTCTGATAGTGTGGCTGATGTGATTAGGCCCCATGATGGTTGCCAACTGTGCCCACATATCTATTCAGGGGACACCAACAGGAGAGTGGGTTTGTGTGTGTGTGGGGGGGGGGCATGGGGAGAAAACCTGGATTTGTGCTGGAAATGGCCCACCTTGATTATCATACACATTGTAAGGAGAGTGATCACTTTAGATAAGCTATTACCAGCAGGAAAGTGGGGTGGGGGGAGAGAAAACCTTTTGTAGTGATAAACACCCATTTTTTCATGGTTTGTGTGTATAAAAACATCTTCTGTATTTTCCACAGTATGCATCCGATGAAGTGAGCTGTAGCTCACGAAGGCTTATGCTCAAATAAATTGGTTAGCCTCTAAGGTGCCACAAGTCCTCCTTTTCTTTTTTAAATAGTTTGTTTCTCAGTGAAGTAACTAATCATACAGTACATCATAGATGGTTTGTTTGGTTATTAACTATTGTTATTTGATTGTATTATTTATGTAGTACCAACGCTGTACATTAAATGTTACATGCATGCAGGTCGTGGTCTGAAGATCCTTGCTGGTGTCTATCAGATTAGCTCTACTGGCTTCAAGAGCTGAGGATCTGAGTGGTGGAGAGAGGACTTTGCAAATCTATTCCTACGCATTGTTTAGTTATTGGCCATAAAACGCTTTGAAACTGGCAGGTGCTGTATTCCATAGAGTGGTTGCCATTTGTAACAGGTCGGGGCACTCACTGACACAGTGCCTCCTGCTGGTCAGTCCAGGAATTAGCTCATCCAGCTCAGGAGCGCCCTCTTCTGGCCGATTTCCCTGCCCTTACCTGCCTCTCTGTAGTCCCTTCATCTCCACCACATATAGGCCCCATGTCCATCCTGGACCACGGTGCCCCTTACCTTGGGGAGCTGCCCCTCACCCAGAGAAACCCACTCTCCTGAGCCCACCTCATCTCAGTGACTACTGCCAATTGTCATCTAGCCCCTTCTCTCAGGGGCACACCGAAGTCTGAAATGGCCACTCATCACTGGCAAGGGGGTGGTTGGACCTGCTGCTTTTTCTTGCCCTGGCTGCCTTCCTGCAGCCCTAGTACGTCCTCAGGCCTTTGCTGCAAGGCCTCAGACTGGGAGGTCGCCAGGCCAGAGCTCCCCAGCTCAGCCTGCCCTTCCCCAGCACTGCTCTGTCCAAGGTACCCCTGTCCCTACCCAGCAACTAGGTCCTTCTTGCTCCACTACTGGAACAAGACTCACCTCCTTCTGCCCAGGAGCCTTTCTTATACTGGCCCAGACGGGCCCTGATTGGCTGCCTCCAACCCGCTCATGATTAGCTCCCTGGGGCAGCCCTCTCCCAGGGCTGTTTTTAACCCCTTCCAAACCGGAGCAGGGTGACCGCTCCACTACACCATTATACAGCCAACATTTATCGTCACCCTAGAGATGATGTCACAGTGATTTCCTATGCTAAGCATGTCTCTGATAGGCCAAAGTTGGTAGCGGCTTGCCTTTCATTGGTGATCATCAGGGATCCTAGTTGTCAGTGATAAACAAACTTCAAAATTCTCCAATAAAAAAAAAATCCATGTTTTCCCACGATTAAAATTCAGGTTATGTTTAGCGCTTTCCGTGTGTCTACAACTGTCTGCCTTCTCACAGAGTCTACAGCCTTGCTGTGTACAGTACCACACAGCACAGTGCCATCCACATGACATTTGTCCTTGCCAAACTCAGGGACACGGGGTTAGGGGTGGTTTTCAGGTTTGTGGCCTCTTTTCATAACTTAATTACTCACGGCTGGAGGCTGAAGTGAAATTTGAGATGCATTTAAACACGAAGCTCTATACACCAGAAGCAGTTTGTTGGAGTGTGTTTAGCTATGTACATTTAAAGCACATTCAAAAATCAACCACAAGAGGGGGAGGCTGCGCGCACTGAATACGTGACACTGGTACTTTCAGTAAAATCTAGTTAATAGTTAATATATGTTTTAATTTTTTCAGAAAATGTAAAAAACAAGATTCTCTGTAACAACACAAATCCCGCGTTTTTCCACGGCAAGTGGATTCCTAGGATCCCTGGTGATCATTGTAAGAATCAAGCACTATTTTTTAGGTTTGATTTTTAAAATAAGCAGCCTGATCCAGCTGCCATGACCCTTGCTCAAGCCAGCTGTCCCACTGAAACCAGTGCCCCTCCTGATCCCGGTGGAAATACTCCTGCTGACTGACACTCGCATGAGCCAGATCAGAATTCAGCCCCTTAAAGTCAATGGGGTGACGTTTTTCATTCATATTATTGTCATTATAGTCGCCTCTGGAGGGCCCTCATATCGAGTTCTGCACAAACACACAGTGAGAGAGATTTGCTGCCCAGAGACCCGGCAGTCTAGCCAAGACAGCTGCAGGGCTGTAAGGCGACAAAGACACAAAGTGGTGCAGCGACTTGGCCGAGATCACACAGCTGGTCAATGGCAGAGGTGGGCCTGGAACTCAGGTCTCTGAAGGGTCAGTGTAGACCTCTGCTTACAGCCATCTTGAGCAGGGAGCACTGCCATGGGGACGGGTTGCAGGCTCAGGCCCTGTGTTTGTATCGCAGACTAATACCTCGGCGTTACAGACACGCTAGCCAAGGGGGCATAGCCTGGGGGAAGAAAGGCCCCGAGAGGAACATTTCTTCCCTTTGGACTCTTGCATCCCTCAGTGCTCTGCTGCATTACTTGTGCCGGGTGAAATCCACGCCCTAGGGCTTGAGTGGCATGTGGAAGTTTCCTAGGTCTCCCATAGCCCCTGGCTCAGAGCTGAGCCCCAGCTGCTGTGCCAAGACCTGGCCCTTCCTATTTATTGCAGATGTTTAAAAAAGCTTTTGTGTTGCAGAAGCAAAAGCGCACAGTGAGGGCTGGTTTCTTTGTAGGGGCTTGCGCATGGACATAGGTCTCAGCGTGACCCAGCGAAATTACTTTGTAGCCCTGCTCTTTGGTTTGGATTTTTCAATGTGGAATTGTCTCAGTATGTTTCTGTTGCATTCAGGGCACCTTCCCTTTCGGGCCTGTAACTGTGGGTCAGTTGTACCAAAGGACTGTGTAGCCTAACGGGTAACGTGTCTGGTTTGAACTTCCAACTCTTACTGGGGTTATACTTTTATTAAATGTCTAAGCAGACTGCTCCATCACTGTGCTTCTAGATAAGTTCATCCTTGAACCACTTCTGTAAAGGGGAAAAAATCCAAAACGTTTGCAACATCAGTAGATCCAAGCTGGAAAATAAAAATTTCAGCCATATAGAGATGCCTATGCAATCCACTGGCAAAGCATGTGTCATGTCCCCCTCAACTGGCTGGCTCCTATAAGGATAACGGCCTACTACTGCTGTTGCTGTTGAAGTTACTCCTTTAACTCAAGTGGTAGAGGTTGGTTCAGTAGAGCTGAAGGTTTGGGATGGAAACCCTGCTGAAGACCTATGAGGCAGGGGTTCATTACATCTCAGCAGCTCGGTTAGAAAAGGGTTAACATATTACGTTTAAAGGGCAACATGCAGATACGGTAATTTGGTCTCCCCTTCTGCGATTGACTGAGGCTTGATCTACACGACGTACCTACTTCAGTCTAACTATGTCGCTCAGAGGCATGAAAAATCCACACCCCAGAACGATGTATCTATGCCGACCTTCACCCCCACCCCCATGTAGACAGCGCTATTTTGCTGGGAGAGCTTCTCGGGCCGGCATAGCTGCCGCCTCTCCCATCGGCTTAGAGCGTCTTCACCAGATGTGCTACAGCGGTGGAGCTGCGCCGATGTAACTGTAGTGTAGACCTGCCCTAACTCACTCCTGGGAGCTTTAAACTGGGGAGTGGCAGCTCCGTGTGTCACATCA